CCCAAAACATGTTAACCAATAAATCAAAATCACCCTGGAGTTTTCGGGCACGAACAGCCAAAACCAAAACCTGATTTTGTGTAACCTCACGTTTTTGTTTTCGGTCGCAGGAGCAACAAAGTGGCGGATGGCATCCTCGTACAACCTCATGATTTTTGTTCTCGGGCACGAACAGCCATTAGGGGTACCTTCTTGGGGTCTTTATTAATTGTAAGGGAATCCTTCGGTTTGGGGGGTCTTTTTTGGGGGTCCCTGGCTTCGGTCATCCAGGACGCAAAAAAAGTTTTTTCTGGCCTGGTCAAGCTCCACTCCGAGTTCATCTACAAGCAGGCACTGAGAGCACCCGTTTCAGGACTTTAGGGCTTTGGGCCTTGGGAAGCTCTTCGGACCAGTTTCCAAAGCTTGCACGCTTGTGCATTGCACGCCTCACCATGCTCCAAAGCCGAACATTATCCCAGTGAAGCCTTTGCGTCTCCAACCCGTGTCTAGAAGTCCCGAACATGGTCGCATACATTCTGCCATAGTGCGATTTGAAGGTACACAGGGGTCAGGCTTCTAGGACTCCGCATCCGTTCGGATAAAAGCTGCCCCAGATAATCGAACTGTCGACAAAGGTGCTTGCATACCCCTGGATGGTGCAGAGATTGCTGCAAGCAGCCGTCATATTGCTGCAGGGCCGCGTGGTTTCACAATGCGCAATGGCTAACAAGTAGGTTGAGAGTTTCTAGGTCCAATCTTTATCAAGGGCCTCAAGGGATTAAGACTCGTACCGCTAAGGTTGTACCCCTAAAGGTTTTCGTTAATACACTCCTAATTTGGCCCTTATATTACCTGAGGAATCCTTATAAAGGGTCCCAAGGCTACAACCTTAAAGGTATCACCCTCAAACTTTCGGAGCTGGGGGGCTTGCCTGAACCGGGCTCAAACTGCGCCGAGGACAGAGGGCAGGTCTGTCTTCTAGTTTTTCGGGGGGGTAGGCGCAGAGGACATGTTTGTCGTCTTGGATGACAACTTGCTCTGAGACTTCTTCGGGGGAACGGGCATGAAGGACGGGTTGTCGTTTGGACGACAGCTCGTCTTCGGACTTTTTCGGGGCAGCTGGCACGAAAGAGGGCACGGACTGAAGCCTTCAACCCCTACGTCCTATGCCTTCCCTAAACCCCAAACCCTAAACCCTAAACCCGAAACCCGAAACCCGAAACCCGAAACCCGAAACCCTAAACCCCCCCAAAACAGGGGAGAGAGAAAGAAAGCCGCAGCCCAGGTCATCAGCTCTTGAACCTGAAGCGCTTCGGGCCGCTGGGGCTTCAAGGGTGTAGGGTTTAGGGTTTAGGGTTTAGGGTTATGGGTTGAGAGTGGTTTGTGGAAAAGTCCTTAACAGGGACTATAGTACCCCTATGATGGTCCCTGTTAAGGACTGTGTTAGTATAAGCGGGAACATCCCAAGTTTAGAGCTTTATAGGTTTAGGGTGTATGGGCTTAGGGTCTATGCGTTGAGGGTTTCTGGCTGGAAGTAGCTCCCAAACCTTGTCTGTCATGGTCTTCGGGGCGTATGACTTCAACAAAAGCATCTAAACACTGCAATATCCACGTAACCCGAGACTAACCTTGAGCCGCGTCTGTCATTAAGCCAACGGGTTTAGGGTTGAGGGTGTCTGTCCGAAAGGCTTTTAAAGCCCACACCTAACCCGAAGGCCCAACCCTTATAGGCCTTTATGCACCCCGCGCTGCTTTGAGGTAAGCAGCAACATCCTGTGTCCCTGTATGTAAATCCTGGCACCAACGCAGGTCACAGAGCTGGCTGAAGAAGGCCACCCTTAGCATCATCGCAGGACTTTCAGGGGGAAGTGGGTAGAGAAGGGGGGGTTGGAGTGTAAGGGCGGGTTCTGAGAGATTGAAATCGTATCTTGGATTCCTTTTTGTATTGCAGCCTACTTCCTGAACCTTCAGATCTTTGCTTAGTCGAGAGCTGGCACAAACTGAATTATGCGGAGGCTTGAGGGCTTTCAAGTTCCGGGGCGTTCTAGGTTTGGGTTTTGGGCCTAGGGTCTAAACCTGAATCCACAACCCTAAACCCTATAAACCGTGAGCCCTTTCATTCGAGAGCCCAATCTTAAGCCTTGTGGCCGGCAACCTCCACGAAGCCAGTCCATGTTGTTGAAGGGTTTGTAGGGCTTGTTAGGGTTCCTGGGTCTTTATAGGTTTTTCTACATGTTCTAAGGCTTTCAGGGTGTTTGTAGGATTTGGTCTGGCTTTGTGGTGCTGCAACTCTGCTCCTTGCAATCCTATCGCCGTAAGCTCTGGCGCTGTAGATCGCAGACCGTGGAGATTTGATACAATCACGTTCTAACATAACAATGTAGCAACAGAATTTGTATACAGGTATACGCGTAGTACAATTGTAAAGTCAAAAATACAGAATACTAGTAACACAGCATATAATAACATAATACTTCACTATAATCATGGATTCATTGAAAACAATCCGAAAGACTCGACGAAGACTCAGCCAAAAAGTACTGCAGCTGCAGTGCAGTCCGACTCTGCGGCGTTTGTTTGTAGGGCTGTACTTCGGTAGGTTTATGGGAGCCTCCAAACATCAACGCGGACCCGCCAACAAGGGATCCCTAATTTTCAGAATCCCCATCTCCACCCCACGTAACCCTGAGCCCTAAACGTGGCTACTCTACGCAAGCCCCTAAACCCTAAACCCTAAACCCTAAACCCTAAACCCTAAACCCTAAACCCTAAACCCTAAACCCTAAACCCTAAACCCTAAACCCTAAATCCTAAACCCTAAACCCTAAACCCTAAACCCTAAACCCTAAACCCTAAACCCTAAACCCTAACCCTAAACTCTAAACCCTAAACCCTAAACCCTAAACCCTAAACCCTAAACCCCAAACCCCGAACCCCGAACCCTAAACCGCCCAAGACCACACCAGGACCCATGGCAGAGTCCACGATCTTGGACTCGAGGCCTGTCATGGCAATGCCGGACGTCGGGCTTAGGGAAGGCGTCCATCTGAGCGACTCAGGTTCCGAAAGCCCTAAACCACGAAGCTCTAAACCCTCTAAACCCCCTAAACCCAAAAGCCCTGAACTTGCAGACCCTGAACCATAAACTCTCAACCTTGAACGCCCCAGTGTTATCTTTCAGGAGTAGTGTGGTCAGTAGACAGTCCCGTGTTTCAGGTGTGTTAGGCATGGACACAAGTCGGGAGTTGGGCCAGTTGGTTCAGCCAAGGGTGATAGGGGTGTCGGAGGTCATGTGCCCGAGGGGAGCAGGATAAGCACGCCCCGAACGCGCATGCGCGTCGGAGCAACACACAAAAGAAGCATATGCACATTGTGCAGATATCTGTGTACTTATACACTTGTGTGGATGTTCATGTGTAACACATGCATGCATGTATGTACATACGTGACCTGAGCCTGCAATGCCTCGGCAAGAGTTCCTCAACCCTGCCCGTTCAAGGGACGTTTGCAATTCCTCGGACGAGAAGGGCGACAGATTCCTGCCGGAGGAGGGAACTTCGGGGGACTTGGGAAGGCGGTGTTTTTGGTTTAGGCTCAGGGCGTATAGTTTCAGCACTGGCTCAGCCAAACTTCTGCAACCGGCGGGACTCGAGGCAGGCATGCCATCCCTACCATACGCCCCTAAACGGTAAGCCCAAAACTCTACGACTCCTAAATTCAGCCCGCAGGAGCTGCCACAAAACCCTCAATCTGGATTGTGGTTCTTCATGTGTAGGGAAGTCTGAGCCGCCGAGTTCCGCGTCGGAGGTATGTGCATACGTGTGCATGTGAGACTGTACCTGGCCTTCCATGCGCCTACTCACTCTCTCATGCACCTTAATCTGCGTGGATCTTGTCTGGAGAGCTCCCAGCCCCCTTGCATCATCCTAACCAAACCCCGAATGAAATGTGCCACCGCTTGAAATTTCACTTTGGCAACTTCGGGCATACCCCCCCCCCCCCGCCCCCGCCCTCGCGTGAGGATTTGGTGGATGCTGACACTGCAGGCACGTCAGTCGTACACAGCAGAAACTGTAAGCCCCAAACCCTCATGATCGGTTCAGCAGCTTCGGATGAGTCCTCGCTTCTTTGGGCTTCGAAAAAAACGGACCACGCCCCCAACCCCGTCAAACATAACGGAAGCCGAAACCACAAGCAACCTTTGGTTTTCCTTTCGTCGCCGTGCTGTGTTCGATGGTGCGTAGCTGTTGTCCTGTACTGGTGCCTTTGGTTGACACTGGGATGTCTGGAGTGCAAGGGATAGTTTGCCGAGATTAAACTGAAGTGCACGCTTGGCCCCACTGTAGATGATGTCGATCCCAGAATGAGGTGTGAGGCGCGCCCTTCAACAACAGGATCTGGAATTAGTCTTCGTGGCACTCCCTAACCCCTAAACCCCTAAACCCCAAAACCCTAAACCCTAAACCCTATACCCATGAACAGAACAAAACTAAACCCCTCAGTCCGACTGATCCAAGGCCTTGGCTCCGTTCGCGAGCTTCCTGCTGCAATGGAGTGCCTCAGCCAAATGTAGGGCCTCTGGGATTGTTGTATGCTTACTTTTAAGCGGGGGGAAGCCTGGCCTGTCCCCAGAACTGAGTGCCCATAGGATTCCGATTTCTCCGAGAGGAGTCAGATGCTTGGAATTTGAGTTTATGCAGCATCTTGAGCCAGTGGATTTTCCCAACGACACTCTCAAGCGCTGCCAGACCGCAGGAGAACGCCCTTTAGGCTCCAAGCTTAAAATATAGGGTATACAAGGGTTATAATGGTGCCCTTTCCAGGACCCATATTCAGGGACCATGTCACCGCCCTAAGAAACCAAGCGGGCATTCTCAAGCCACTGCGCAAAACCAAGCAGCAGAAGTGCCTCGGTAACCCGCCGAAGAGAAGCGTTGACAAGCACCCACCCCGAAGAACAAGCAATGCAGAACGCAAACTCCCCAAGCCAAAGACTCAGCATCCCGGAAGATCTCGCAAAGGCATGTGCAGTGGACCAAAGCGGCTCGCCGGAGGCGCAGGTCTTCCATGCACCTCTGGCGGCGGCGCACCCAGGCGGCGGAGTTCATCCAGGCGTGAAGGAGCGTCTTTTTCACTGAGTGGCGTAGCTGCGGTACCATGAGCACTTTTACCGTCCACGGGTCGTCGAACCACCGAATCTTGCGACGGCGACAGGCGATGTACCGCCAGCGCGTGCAGCAGCGCAGAGACGAGGCCGGCCGTCCACAGTCTGTTGTGCTGTTGTCAGTTCTCAGTTTTTGTGCAAAGACCTGTTGGTCTTTCTGCTCGCCAAAGGCGACGTAGAACGGAGAGAGGTCGAACTTCCAGACCTGCGTGCGGGGGGCCCTCAAAAGCAGCATATTGGACTCCGAAATGAGCAATGAGCCATTTTCTGGCACCGCCGCACAATCGTTTGGAAGTCTGCTCAACTCCATATTGACCAACTCGCCTGCTGCCGACCTGTCAATCCTTCCAACTCTCGCTAACCATCTGACAACAATCATAGTCCAAGTGTTGAACATCGACCGAGCCGACAGGCCAGCAGCAGGAAAGCATCCGATCAAAGTGAAGGGTGCTCTGAGCAAAAGAGGCAGCGCGTGTTTCGGTGAGCAGTTCAGCCTCCATGAGCAGTTCAACCTCCATGCGTGTCACGCGAGTTGCAGGTTTAACTCAGAATCACTGAGCTGAAACCCCGTCTTCCTATGCAGGGGCCCACAGAGTTTTTGAGTCTGCTCCGCTGCTTTGGCTCAGTTTGTGACATGTTTCGCTTGGGGTTAGGCTTAGCTTGTGCTCAAGACCTTTCACAGACAAGTGGACAAGTTTAGCTGCGCGTGGTCGAGACAGCTTCTGCTTCAGTGCGGATGGTTTCTGCGGCGCCTGCTGCCAGGATGCTGATCTTGCAACTCGGCGGCTCCCGCGTTGCTGTTCGATGTGTTACGACCAGCGCCGCTCCAAATCCAAAGTACCACATCGGCGCTGAGGCCATCGTTGGGCTTTATCTTGGACGATGGCGGCCGCATTGCGGAGGCAGTTTGCCTATTGATTGCCTGCGCCCAAATGCTTTCTGCGCACATGGCGCGGCACATGGCTTAAAAGAGCAGCCTGTATCTACGTTGTGAGCAGGTCACCTGCGCAGGAGTTGTCTGCGCCTGAGTGCATGAGAATACACACAAATTGTTCTTGCGTATGCTGGCACGCCTCTGCCGCCTCCAGTCCCAACTCTCGCTGGAGCCCAGCCGCCCTGACGCAGGTGAGAGCGGGGGGTGGACCAACAAGCTTCTCGGCACGAGGTGCGGCCTTCCAGGGCAGCCAAAGCCGCCTCAAGCCCAACGCCTCAACTTTCACCTGCAGGCACCCGCAAGGTCAGTTTGAGTGCAAGACCGAGAGGCCTCCATCCTGTTCCGAAGCTCCAAGACTTAACCTTTGACTCCTCCACACAGCGCCCTACCACGGGCAAGCCCGCAACTCCCAGCCCGAAGCAATCAAAAGTTCTCGACACCCTAAACCCTGAACCTTAAGCCCCTTTGCAGGATCCTTGCCAACCACCAAGCCGGCCCAGAAGACCGCGGTTCCCGTGTCAAGTAGCAGGACGGATCGCATGGGGAGGTTTCGAGTGCTATCGGCTAGTCTCACACCGCTCCGAACCCTCGCCTGCCGTCCCCTTCTTTCTTTAGAGGTCTTGTGTTGCTAAACCCGAGTGACCTCGTGCCGGTGTTGGGGGGTTCTGGGTTTCACGATCCCAAGCTTCAAAAGCACGACGAAACTCAAGGAACACGATATGGCAAATCGGAAGCATGGCTCTTCTGTCTGCATTGTCTCTTCTGTTACTTTTTGTTCTTTGATTGACAACTGCTCTTGTGCGTAAAATTTGCACACTTTCACAGTGTCCGACTATCTCTGTTTCTCTATTTTCTACATATCCTCATGATTGTCCTCATTATTCAGTTCATCATACTTGCCCTGTTCGCTCATGTCATCGGGCAGCCTCGGCCGCAAGGAACACAAAAGTTCCAGCATTAGGATCACCAAAACCTTCGCTACCCAAGGACTCTAAACCCACAAATCCTCTAAATGCAGGGGGGGGGGGGTAGGATTTATGCGGGCCTGGGTTTTGTTGGTTTGTTTTGGGGTCTTGGGTTCATGGGTTTTGCGGTTCGAGGTTTAAGCCCCAAAGCCCCCAAACCACTAGACCCCAAATTTCTACAACTTTAAACCATAGATCCCAAAGTCCAAAACAGGCGAAGCTCAGCACTTGGGCATCCCGCACTCCTCCCGCAGAAGGGCGATGCGGTGAGACTGGTGTGGAGCTTAGGGCGAGGCTTGAGATAGGGTTGAGGTTTTAAGGCTTCAAATAACGGACCCTCTTCTGAAGATCACGTGACGATGAAGCGGGTCCTTGTTTCTTGGGGTTGGGGTAAACCCTAAACCCTAAACCCCAAACCCCAAACCCTAAACCCTAAAGCCGAAAACGTGGTCCGTCCTTGTGATCCCACGCGAGCCATGGCCCGCCGTAGCCCCTAGAAAGTGTCAAGAAGACGCCTTGGGCTGGGAGATGCTGGGTGTTTATGGGTTGCCATACAGTAGGATCAGAAGTCGGGCAATTGTTGCAGATTGTGACTGGTTACAACATGTTACAACACTATTTGTGGAAGAGTTCTCCCTACGAATGACATCGAAAGGCAAACTGCCCATGAGCCTCCAGGTACGGTTTCCCCCCTCTCAAACCCAAACTCCACAATGCTAAACCCGAAAAAGCCCCGAAGCCCAAAGCCTAAACCTTGAACCTTAACCCTAAACCCTGACCCCCAAACCCTGAGTGAAAGGATCTACTCCTCCACTGCCCTTATTTAAGGGCTAGGTCCCTCATTCCCTACCCTATGTCCCCTATGACTGCAACCAAGATTCCGGATTTGGGGTTTAGGAACGCTCCAGGTGCCGGGAGTCCACGAGGAGGACCAGATCAGCACCTGCCTGAAGGTGGCTGCGGAGGCCGCGGGCGGAAGGGTGCTTGGGCGGTGTGGGCTATGGTGGTTTTTTGTTTGTTATTTTTTCCCTTGGGGTTTCGGAATAAGTGTGTGGCATGGTGTGGGCGTTGTGGGTGGGTGACCTTTTCAAGTATTGCAATGGGCGGCGGGGGGAAGCGGGGGGGTCTGCCGCACAAGTGCGGGTGCTGGGTGGAAAGGTGAGGGTTTGGGTTCGTGCTGAGCCCTTAAAGATTAAAGGAAAAGCAGACAAAAACCCAGAAGATTGATCCTGAAGTAATCCAAAGGGGTGGCGCGGAGGTGAAAGCGTGGGTGCTGGGCTGGGGGTGCTGCGGCTGGTGTGGGCGGTGTGGAAAGGAGGGGGAGGGTTCTGTGGGTGGTTGAGCGCAGACTTTCGCCAAATTTTCTTGGCAATATTACGGATGATTCGGGCGAGGCGGGTGCGACGGGCGCGGCGGGGCCCCATGCAATGTACGCGTTACTCTACTGCCTTCCGCTCATCAATATGGTGTTCAAATTTCGACATCCATTTAACAGTTGCACTGTCCGGCAGTGTCGAACATACCCGTATGTGGGGGGGGTTTGGGGGCGGGGGGGGGGGGGGTGTTTGTTTTTGAAAGAGCTTTGGGGGGGGGGGGGGGGTGGGGGGGGTGGGGGGGGTGGGGGGGGATGCACGATGCACTCGAAATGGTGTGCTGACCGGCCGCTTCCTTTAGCTAGTCCACTTGCCGACTCGGCTCCCGGTCCTGCGGAAGTCCACAGCAAATTCCGTTGTCCCGCCTGCCAAATTAATCTCAAGGCCGATCGGGTGCAGCCTCCGCTCGGAGTGACACCCGGTGCTGTTGTGGATCTTGTATCGTTAAGTCTTTAAGCAAGCCGGGAGCTCTCGCAGAAACCGAAGCTCTGTAGCCATGACGGTCCACACTACTGTGCGCAGAGCCTGGTAGAGACTGCCACATCCTTCCAGGATTCAAATCTACAAGGCTTCGCTATTTTCAGTGTCTACGACTTCGAAAGCTTGGAGTCTGTGCGTTCGGACTCTTTTGAACCTTTAAGACGTGACTCTCATGTCTATTCGTTTGCATGAGCGCTTACTGAGTCTGTACTCCCACAAGACATTAGTGGAAGAGACAATGATTTTTGATTCGAACATCATGGGGAAAGTTCGAAATCTCTAGAGGAGGCAACTCGACAGTTTTCCATGATGTTCAACTTTCTTTGGCCCGTCCCTTCAAGACCTGTTCAGGCCTGCCGAAGGACCTGGCAAAGGCGCTGCAGAGCAGGGTGCCCAGATGTGCCCAGTTGGGAGAGTCGCACGTCCGACACGTTTACACAGGGCGGGGGCAAGCCTCTTCCCTTGCTTGCATGCAAGATAGACCACAGGTGAGATTCTTGTCCGAGCTTGACAAAAGGGGTGTCCAAGTGGAATGCGTCACCTGACAGGTCGCGAAGCAGGAAGCCGACAACTCTGAAGGCAGGACAGCGATTGACAAAGGAAGAGCTTTCCTGCTTTACAACACTCCTAGAACCCGGCCTCGCCAGTGATGCAACGCGTGCCCCTCCACGCTGGTGTGAGCATGCCAAGCGGGAAGAGTCCCACCTTCACGAATTCCTACCCTCCCTTCAGAGGGGCACTGCAGAAAGAGCTTCTTGAAGAGGATCGCGCGAAGATTGTGGAGGAGGCCAAACCGAGGGATCGGACTGTCGTGCTTTGTTCCGCGATTGTTTGGTTTTACTGGACGCAAATAGCGTGACTCATGTCGCTTTTGTATCCTGGTTCCGATAGTGCAGCAAACAAGCAAGGCATTGCAGGTGTCTTTGGTTTTTCGACTTGCTAGCTTCCACTCCACCGGTCATTGGGGGCCCCGAAACCAGAGCTACTGACCTCTGCCCACCGAGGCTCTAGGACAGAGATGGAGATGCCCCAGCCGAACATGCGCATGTACACCTCTACTCGTCTACAGCCACCTCTGCATTAGGCCCCACAAGCAGCCTCAAGTTGGACATTGCTCTGGTGGGTTTTGGAAGATGTTCAAAAGCTGTCAAAAGCAACTTTGTCAGGACAATTGGCGGCTGCTTGAAATGAGCCGCCGCAAGCAGTCCTTGAGAGGCAGGGCCCCATAGGCAATGATCCTTCCAAGTCAGTTTGCAGGGATGCTTTGGGGCCTCAGGCTTCAAGGCGGCCGGTGTCCTGGAGTTCCATCGATCTTCCCCTGGGCGTGCGTCCGTGTCGATGTGTCTCCTTAACCAGCCTTAAACCCCAAGCAACAAACCCTAAATCCGAACCCTGAACCCCAACAAATCCAGGGTAGAGCCCGGAAAAGCCCAAAAGCCACGGGCAGGCCAATGCCAGCTTCTCAAGGCGCTTCTCCGATCTCTGCCCTCTTATGGACGGTTTAGGGTTTACGGTTTAGAGTTTAGGGTTTAGGGTTTAAAGTGTAGGGAACGTCGAAAGATGTCGTATCTTGGAGTTTGAGAATTTTCACTTCAGGGACTCCAGCCGGTTCGTACTCTTTTGTCTCGCTTCCTCCGGGTCATGCGGATTCGGCACATCAGGCCTGTTGCTTCCGACTCTGGTGGTGTCGGGCCCCCCAGCAGGCTCTAGGGTTTCAGGAAGTTCGCGCCCCAGGATTTCAACATGTCAGTGCGTGGTGCAGGTTTTTCTGGAGTATGGTGGCTTCGGCTTGGAAGTTGGCAGCAATCTGCAGCTTCGGTTTGAGGTGGCTGTGGACACCAAGGCAAAGATGCGGCATGTGCGAGATCCGAACCACACCCCCCACAAGGGAGTCTCGCTGTTTCCGGCTGCCTCAGCCCCTCTGCCTCGAGGTTTGGGCACCGAGCTGCCAGGAGCTGTGTGCGTAGTGTTGAGGCTGAGGAGTCTTTATGATCTGGGCTCACGGCTCAAGTTCGCGGTGCTCCTTTGTTGGGTTAATCTCGGTCGCAACTGGCAGATACAGCTGACGCACCGGTCTCGACGTGCACATCTCGAAGCGCGCGCAGGACTCGATGTGGTGGCGCCCGCGGAGCAGGATGACACCCAGGCCGGAGGGTGCTCTGGACACTCTCGCGGGACCCTCGAAGTTCAATCGCAAGGCATCGAACTGTTTCCATTTTTACCGTTTATCGTTTGGCACAAAAGCATTGGGCCGTTCGAAGAAGCGTGAGGAATCCTGGAACCCTCGGAGTCGACACCGGCCCTTCTGATCTGCAGGCCGTGGACCCCTGCCCGTTAAGCGGGTGCCGCTTCCCGAAGACTGGCGGCATGCTCCGGTTCCAGGCCGACACTGGCCACTGAGAGGTTTTCGGGTTTAGGGCTTACTTAGGCCAGCTTAGGGTTAAGCGTTTAAGTTTTTCTCTCTATACTAACAGTCCTTAGAAGGGACTATAGTACCCTCCATTGGAATCCCTATTAAGGACTGTTAGTACGGGGGTTTAGGGCTGAGAACTCTCCCCTTAAAGAAGGCAAAGAGCGCCCTAAACCCTAAACCCTAAACCCTAAACCCTAAACCCTAAACCCTAAACCCTAAACCCTAAACCCTAAACCCTAAACCCTAAACCCTAAACCCTTTTTTGCCAGGCCCAGCTCTTCCATGGCTTCGCCGAGGCACTCAGCCGACGCGTGGAGCCTGGGCCCCAGAGCTTGGGGTTTAGGGTTTAGGGTTTAGGGTTTAGGGTTTAGGGTTTAGGGTTTAGGGTTTAGGGTTTAGGGTTTATAAAGTTTAGGGTTTAGGGTTTGGGGGCGTTTCATAAAGGGGTCTTGACAGGCAGACTAGAGTTTTTCGGGGGGTTCATATAGTTGTGTTGCATAGATGAAAGAATTCATTAGTAATTCTTCCGACCCCAACATGAGTTTCTTGTGCTTCTTTCTCCCTTCCAAGGGCGTTTTTCACGTTCAGGGCTCAGGGTTTTTGGGGTTCAGGGCTCCCAAGGGTAGAGGGCGTTCGGAGTGTCAGGGCTTGGGGGTCGAACTGGGTTAGGATGCTTCAGTGTAATAAGGTTTGGCTGGCCTCAAGTTTCAAGAGGGTTAGGACACAGCTGGGCTGCAGAGTTTGGGCTTTGAGGGCTCCGGCCCAGAAGGGTTCAGGAAAGACCTACTGTACCTGTTGGTGCTTCTCAACCCCCAAACATGGTCCCAGGGTGTGGGGGGTGCGATCTTTGATGGCCATGCGCAGAGGATGTCGGCTGCTAGTTGCTTGGGATCGGTCTAGCCTTGCAGGTCGAAAGGCAGTGCTCACTTCCATGTCTCCCAAGGCGAGAGGGGGTTTGGGGCGTTGTTTTTTGGAGTTCGGGTTCTGTGCCTGGAGATGGAAATGCTGGAGGTCTGTGCTTCTGTCACGGGCTCCAAACTCCGAAGTCAGTATAGCTCATTGAGTCAAAGGGCCCGGGCTGTCAGAAGATCGGCCCAAACTCTGAAGCTGTATGGCTTTCAGTAAGAGTCTTGGGAGCCTCCCTCAGGCAATCCACGTTCGAAGGCGCTCATGCGGGCGTGCGGATTGTGTTTTTTGTTCGAACTTCGACATCCATTTAGCAGTTGCACTGTCCGGCAGTGTCGAACAAAAGGGGGGTGGGGGGCGCGAAGGGCGGGGAGGGGGCTGCATGCAGCGTAAGCGTGGGTTGGGGGCTCCGGGAGGTGTGGGCGGTGTGGACACTGTCAGTGAGTGGGGGGTAGCGCTGGGGGTGCTGGGGGCGGCGGAGCGCGTAACACAGTTTTTCACTAACGCCTTTTCCCGAGGAGCAGCGGCTCATGCATTAATACGATTACTACCATCGTCTAGCAAGACAACATTGGTTCTTTGCTGCGAGTTCTTGAGTTTTTGCCCAGACTCTTGGAGCGGCAACAGCTTGCAAGTCCACACCGATACTCGTAGCCTCTACTCTACATCTTGCGACCTCTGCCCTGCGCACTTGCGGCGGGGTCTGGGGTTCTTAGGACCCTATACGCTCTAAGCCCTCAAAATGCCAGGAGCGCCTTAGCATGGTGCGGAAGGAGCTCCCGAAGAAGAGGTTGAAAAGACGAGGCAACGCCAGAGCCCCAGGGGAGTTCTGGGTCGGAAGCCAGTCGTGTCTAAACTGAAACCTTGGTTCAGGGTTTAGGCGGTTTAGGGTTTAGAAACCCTTAGCCCCAAACCCGAAACTCTACGTATTTTCTTCCATGAACCCCGCAGTCGAAGCTTGTGCGGCTTGAGATGAAGAGACCGCCGAGGCATCGTCTGAGATCGTTCCTCGGCGTGCTCCCGTGGCATCCCAAGCTGGAGCTTCATGAGTCGGAGCGTGGGCTTTGGAGTTTTAGGCTTTTAGGATTTGTTTGTGGGCTGAGGCCGCAGCATGTGCGCATGGTGTTGCAGCAGGGAAACAAGTTCAAACATGCCCCCACAGATGCTGTCTCTGCTCCAACGTGGACAACTCACAGTAAGTTTTTTGCACAGAACAGCCTGCCAAAAGTGCCAGCGCTTGTCGTTGCCGCAGTTGCTGTACCTGCAAGCATGCACTGAGCGCCGAGTCGCAGAAACCTCCCGCAATCTTTTGAGACCTGCATGGACCAATGTGCAGGTCACGTGTGTTGGTAAATTGAAAATGGCCCTTCTCCTACTCGTACTACTACTCGTCGTTGCTTTACAACGGTAACCATAACAATATCGAAAACAACAACCATAACCATAATAGCAAAAACAATAATACCAATAAGTGGTAGTACGAGTAAGTCGGAATAACAAAGCAGAAGCTAGACAAAAAGAAAAAAAGAACTCATTACAGTTGCCTGAGGGGCCAGCCCCGCCCCCCTTTGAGAACTCCAATGCATGTTGGCTCGGCCCGTACTGGATCAGCCTGAAGAGCTGGAATCCTAAAAGCCCTAGACCCGAATGCCTGAAACCCTCAAACTCTGAAACCCAAAAACCCTAAAACGTAAACCCTGAGCAGGGGTGAAAGATGCATCAGCTGACTCATTTCTAGGACTTGTAGTTGTAGCTCATCCACTCTTGCGTCCATGTTTTCAAGGTTGTGCAATCTGCAGACCATCTCGGGCCAAAACCTGGCCAGCATCTCTGCTCCCACTCTCCAATTGCATTTCCACTCGCCATGAGCCACTTGGACGCGACTATTTCATTGCAATGCCGTTGTTAGTCATTGAGTGGTGGAAAAAGGGCTTGTGTTAGCAAAGGCGGTCCCAAGACGTTCGCCGCCACCTCCACCCATCGGGGGCCACCGGCCGCCATTCCGGAACCACACCTTGAATCGACAGGGGACCTGGCCCTGTCAAGGACGGCTCCGACAAGCATCGCCACCGAGAAGCGCGTCACCGTAACACCAATGCTGGATCTTTTGCGGGAAGCTGTGGAGGCCCATCCAGCGCCTTGGCAGAAGGGGATGCTTCCAAGTTGCCGATAGTTTTGCACTGCTTGCTTTCATGGTCTGTCATCCTTCAGTGTTTGGGGTCTACGCTGGCAACGATATTGTTGATGTGCCTTTCTGGGGTTGTTGATGCAGAGTTTCCGGCCGACAGCTGATGTGACTTCAGCAATTCGGTGTTGCCGGAGGTATGGCGGCATTTTTTTACAAGTGTTGCCGGAGGTATGGCGGCATTTTTTTACAAGTGGCAGCAAAGTGGGTATAGCAAGAATTGAAGAGTTGTTGTTTCGATCCTGGCAGCAGCGACAATCGCATACGGGTTCGTGCCAAGCGTAAAGAGCGACGCTTGTAGCATTGGTTATGAAGTTGCTTGAGGCGATCCAATGGCACGAGAAGATGGCCGAGTTGCTTGGGTGCTGTGGTACCGTGCTGCAGTACGACATCGACGGCGCCGTGCAGGCACGCCGTCTCAACACCTGCGTGCCAAAATTAGAGCAACAGCCGCAGCTCACAAGGGTCGACGGGTTTTGTTTATATACTCGGTGATGAACGCGTTGCAACTGCAGCTTCAACGGGGTCGGCGGATGTACTCGTTCACTGTGCGCAGTCTTGAACAGCCCCTTGGCCTTTTGTTGCTGCAGGTCCAGTTTGTTGGCCCTGTCAGCTGCCGGGCATGGCTTCCTGTTAGCATCTTGGATTGCGAACACAACTGACTTTGACTGACGTTGGCCGCCCGATGAAGGTGGGCACAGTGCTCGTGTTGCTAAGGTACCCTGGACGGCTTTCGGATTGTGAAGGTCGACTCGCGCGGTCTACAGGAGAACTGCGAGGCCTTCCGGGCTCAGGAAGTCGACATGTTGTTTCATGCTTGAGGAGTTCCTCCGTAGCCCGAAGTCCCAGCGCTAATGTTTCGATATGTTTCGCTTTCAGTCAGCGCCCACCTTGTTAGCTAGCAGTTGACACCGCCTGTCTTTGTGACACCGTTTCTGCTCCAGGAAGTCGGGCTGGAATTCCTTGACGCCCTCCTTGACCTAGGCATAGGTCGCGAAATGGTGGTGGACCAGGCGCGTTGGCGTTGGGATTGAGAACTGACCAGACACTGGTGTACTGGCTTTGTGTGTTCTACCATGGCCCATGGCGTGTGGTGCCTCTTCAGGATGATGGCACGACGCAAGTCTACTTCGAGACCGGTGATATGGCGTGGCTGCCGACAGCGTGTCTGGGCTTGAAAGGGTGCAATGTGTAAGGCTTGTAGGTCAAACTTTGGTCAAACTATTCCAACTTTCTCCAGGCTTTTCAGTTTTTGCAAGAATGAAACGTAAGTGATATATGGTGAGCGCTAAGGGATCCTTCTTTTAGGGACCAGATGAGTAGACGCGCAGGTGCCTTAAATCATTTCGGTGACATGCTGGTGAACTCCGCTTCGGAGCGGCGTGCTGCTTTGTTTGCGACAGATGTGGGTTTTGATTATATACTTGGTGACAAACCCCACATAGACAGCTCCTAAAGCATGCTTTGTCAAAGAGAGCACGTTTGGCTTTGACAGATAGTTGCAACTTGAGCTGTGGGAATTCAGATGCTGTCGAACACCTTTGGCTTTGAGTACAAGTTCCCGATCAGAAGCCGGCGATGAAAAGATAATGTAGAATGTCACGTCGAGATGCTCAACAGCCCGTGATTGCATTACAACAGCGACCGCAAGAATCGTATGAGTTATATTCACGTTGTTGTTTGGAACTTGGAAAGTTGATTTGATGTCGATTTGCACCAGTCTGTGTGACTCCATTCCATGTTGTTGTGGATTGTGTTCGCAATAGTTGTGAAAGCGTGATGTTGGAGGAGCGTGGGGTTCCATGAAGTCTGCGCTAGGTTCGGGGCTCCGAACCTGTGCAGCTTGCGTCGACCACACGCAGTAGTTATTTGTCAGTTGCTGCGACTCATGCCTGTGGCAGGGCTCGATATGCACAAGGTTAGCGACCGTTGCAAGCTTTAGCTCTGCATGGGGGGGGGGGAGGGGGGTTGCATGTTCGCTCACTGCTGGAGCTTGCTGTTTGCCGAATCGGGAATTGTGCCCAGGAATGTATACTCCGATGAGTCTCATTGATCCACGTGGAGTGCCGCCGCGCAGCGACAGGTCAGCCCCGTTTAGAAGATCCTTTAGGATGGAGTTGGACCAAGCTCGGCCGCGCGTGTCTGTGTGTGTGTGTGGGTGTGGTCGGTCAGTATGCCTTTCTTTTTTTCGAGATCGGGATGCTGTGGGATGCACTTTTGTAATGGTTTGAAATGTAGTTCGCATCCGGGGGGCTGTGGCAGTGCACTTTCTGTTGATTTTTAATGTTTTTTGAGGTTTTTTGAGGTTTGTTACATTCCACAATTCAATAGTGTATATAAACCACCTAACATTCTAGTCAATGTGTAGAACCCAGCAGGCTTAGACTACTATGCTTCCAAGTCTTACTTATTGGCTGGTGAGTACTGATTCCAAGTCTTGCTTATTGGGGGATGAATGCGTTATGAGGGTGACTAATATGATTCCAAGTCTTGCTTATCGGGATGGCGAATGTGGATATCATGTCTTGCTTATTGGCGGACGAATATAAGTTCCAAGTCTTGCTTATCGGGGGGTGAGTGCGTCATTACGGGAGTAATATAGCATCCTCGTAAGTTTGCTTATTGCAATGCACCAGTTGCAACTTTTCCAGCACTGCTTCTTGGAGGGAGGTTGAACACATGACTGGCGGATGAATACTGCATCAGTATGGCTTTTGTGATTCGAAGACTTCGCAAAGAAACGCTTGCCGTGGGAAACGCAATGTTCTGTCACAAAGCTAATGCGAACAGTGCACCCCCGCAGGGTCTACGACTGCAGGAGCCTTACCAAACTCCGAAAACGCACTCCCACAACGTCCCGTTTTCTTTCTTAAGCCTTAAACCTTGCACTGCAAGCCACGCTTTCCACTTGCCTAAGGTGCTTTCCGAGAAGGAGGGCAGCGAGGGTCCATGCGCTGGAATGCCCTGGGCTCGCGTGGAGGTCCCTGCGGTGGTAGTTTAGGGTTTAGGGCTTACATAGGCTTATACGCGTCACGCGTCGCAGGTTAAGTTAAGGTTGTAGGATATTTTTACCTCTATTGCAGGTGTAGCGACAAGTTATTCACCTTTTGGTTTGCAAACCAGTTCAGTTTTCAAAGGCGAGGAGGCTGATGTTTCAATATCGTGGGGTTCTAAATGATTACTGTTGTTGTTCGGACTCAGGGTTTTGCGCTCGGCATCGCGCGACTGTGTTTTGCTGCTTGGAGATCCGTTCTGGAGGCTTGGGTCAAGGCACGGCGAGTTGCTGGTTTTTCGGCAGGGCAAGGCATGGTAGGAGTCTTGTCGGGGTTCAGGGTGTAGGGTTCTGTCTTCGGACACAAAGAAAGGTCACGAACCCAAGAACGTTGCGTTTACAGGCAGGCAAGGGTCGCGGATTCGACTTGGCGCGATTAAGTTTCGCGGGACGGTTTGGTTGTAGGGTTGTATTTGTACGGGTCAGGATTGCCTGTCAGAGGGTTTGATGAGGTTGTATGGATTTTCATTCAGCGCGCTGGCGGTCTTACTCTCTCCCGAAAACCGTCACCGCGAAGTCTCGAAGCTCCCTTTCCAACACAGGCTCAAGGCATCTTGGAAGCCGAATTGGCCACTCAGTGGCACTTGTGGTGGGCATTCCAGCAGGGCTTTTACGAGAATCAATCTTGATGCTGAAGGCTCTTGGATGTACGATTCGATGCTAGTGTTGCAGTCGCTGGCTACGTCAGCGTTTATGACCATGAGTGAGATGGCGTTTTGTTACTTTTACTACTGGGAATTTGATGAATTTGATCACGGGCTTTTATCTCGTCAATCAGGCTCCTCATTCAGATGCACAGGTAGGTTCGCCTTCAGGTATGATCCTTGCGCAGGGAAAGTTACTGGCGCAGAGAGCCATTGTGACCCTACCCCACCCGCTTGCATGCACAGCGCAAACGTGCGCACACCCTTTAAAACCCAAACAGAGAAGCTGAACCCTGCCTACGTCGCTTTGCACTTAAGGTGGCGCGCACTTAAGGTGGCGCTGATCGCCGTCCAGTTCCGGCTGTAACTCCGGATCTCCATCTGAACTTGCATGCAGCCTGAGGCAGTGCGAATTTTTCAAGGTCAAAGGCTTGGCATGGGTGCGGCATTCGGCAGCTCCAAAGTAAAACCTAGAACTGGCAGCTCACAGGCTCTGCCCCTCTATTTTCGCAAGCCCCCACTTGGCAGTAATGAAACCCCAAAGCCACCACCGAAAGATGGGACTCTCAAAGCAAGGAGCGGCTTAATTCGGTGACGAGATCATCGGCAGCTGACTTTTCAAGAGGCCAGTCAATCGATTGACTTCGTGCAGCAAGAACGTTGCGTTTACAGGCAGGCAAGGGTCGCGGATTCGACTTGGCGTGATTAAGTTTCGCGGGACGGTTTGGTTGTAGGGTTGTATTTGTACGGGTCAGGATTGCCTGTCAGAGGGTTTGATGAGGTTGTATGGATTTTCATTCAGCGCGCTGGCGGTCTTACTCTCTCCCGAAAACCGTCACCGCGAAGTCTCGAAGCTCCCTTTCCAACACAGGCTCAAGGCATCTTGGAAGCCGAATTGGCCACTCAGTGGCACTTGTGGTGGGCATTCCAGCAGGGCTTTTACGAGAATCAATCTTGATGCTGAAGGCTCTTGGATGTACGATTCGATGCTAGTGTTGCAGTCGCTGGCTACGTCAGCGTTTATGACCATGAGTGAGATGGCGTTTTGTTACTTTTACTACTGGGAATTTGATGAATTTGATCACGGTCTTTTTATCTCGTCAATCAGGCTCCTCATTCAGATGCACAGGTAGGTTCGCCTTCAGGTATGATCCTTGCGCAGGGAAAGTTACTGGCGCAGAGAGCCATTGTGACCCTACCCCACCCGCTTGCATGCACAGCGCAAACGTGCGCACACCCTTTAAAACCCAAACAGAGAAGCTGAACCCTGCCTACGTCGCTTTGCACTTAAGGTGGCGCGCACTTAAGGTGGCGCTGATCGCCGTCCAGTTCCGGCTGTAACTCCGGATCTCCATCTGAACTTGCATGCAGCCTGAGGCAGTGCGAATTTTTCAAGGTCAAAGGCTTGGCATGGGTGCGGCATTCGGCAGCTCCAAAGTAAAACCTAGAACTGGCAGCTCACAGGCTCTGCCCCTCTATTTTCGCAAACCCCCACTTGGCAGTAATGAAACCCCAAAGCCACCACCGAAAGATGGGACTCTCAAAGCAAGGAGCGGCTTAATTCGGTGACGAGATCATCGGCAGCTGACTTTTCAAGAGGCCAGTCAATCGATTGACTTCGTGCAGCAAGAACGTTGCGTTTACAGGCAGGCAAGGGTCGCGGATTCGACTTGGCGTGATTAAGTTTCGCGGGACGGTTTGGTTGTAGGGTTGTATTTGTACGGGTCAGGATTGCCTGTCAGAGGGTTTGATGAGGTTGTATGGATTTTCATTCAGCGCGCTGGCGGTCTTACTCTCTCCCGAAAACCGTCACCGCGAAGTCTCGAAGCTCCCTTTCCAACACAGGCTCAAGGCATCTTGGAAGCCGAATTGGCCACTCAGTGGCACTTGTGGTGGGCATTCCAGCAGGGCTTTTACGAGAATCAATCTTGATGCTGAAGGCTCTTGGATGTACGATTCGATGCTAGTGTTGCAGTCGCTGGCTACGTCAGCGTTTATGACCATGAGTGAGATGGCGTTTTGTTACTTTTACTACTGGGAATTTGATGAATTTGATCACGGGCTTTTATCTCGTCAATCAGGCTCCTCATTCAGATGCACAGGTAGGTTCGCCTTCAGGTATGATCCTTGCGCAGGGAAAGTTACTGGCGCAGAGAGCCATTGTGACCCTACCCCACCCGCTTGCATGCACAGCGCAAACGTGCGCACACCCTTTAAAACCCAAACAGAGAAGCTGAACCCTGCCTACGTCGCTTTGCACTTAAGGTGGCACGCACTTAAGGTGGCGCTGATCGCCGTCCAGTTCCGGCTGTAACTCCGGATCTCCAGCTGAACTTGCATGCAGCCTGAGGCAGTGCGAATTTTTCAAGGTCAAAGGCTTGGCATGGGTGCGGCATTCGGCAGCTCCAAAGTAAAACCTAGAACTGGCAGCTCACAGGCTCTGCCCCTCTATTTTCGCAAACCCCCACTTGGCAGTAATGAAACCCCAGAAAGATTGGACTCTCAAAGCAAGGAGCGGCTTAATTCGGTGACGAGATCTTTGGCAGCTGACTTTGCAAGAGGCCAGTCAATCGATTGACGTCGTGCAGCAAGGCCTAAGGCCTGGCAGGTGACCCGTCCGAGTGCCGAAGAGTTGCCTCCCTGGCTGAAGGTCGAGCGGTATTTGTGATTCTTCAGCTACCCCGCACAGCCCTTGATGTTTATGGTTCAGGGTTCAGGGTTTGGCGCTTGGGGCTTTGATTTTGAGGTGTACTGTTTTGGGTTCCAGGTCCAGGTTCAGAGCCACATCCTGCACCCTGAGCACTGAACCCTGAACCTTGCAGCATACTCCTCACGCCCCGACTCGGGCCCTACGCCCGAAATCCGCGAACTTCGGGCTCAAGACCTAGCTACCAAATTTACGAAAAGCAAGCTGAAACCTCATCAAGCCCACCGAAACCAACCGCAACACGCCTCAGCCCTTTCTAAATTTGTAGCATTTTGTAGCATGTGGGAGCCATTTCGCAAACGAGGCCTCGTATGTCTCGTTTAACTCAGAACCGCTGAGCCGAATCCCAGATTCCTATGAGACGCTAAGCTCAGGGGTCCGACAGAGCTTTCGAGTCTGCTGCGCTGCTCTGGCTCAGTTTGCGACAGGCTGTGGGACAGGCTTCGCTGGGGGTTAGGCTTCGCATCTCCTCAGCAGCCTTCACAGACAAGTGTTTACAAGTCTAGAACATACATGGAAGCCCAAAACCCAATCCGCAAACCCGAGGTCATCAAGCCTGAGCACCAAACCTCAAACCCTAAACCCGAATTCCTAAACCGTCAACGTGCTTGGCATGTCAGTGCCTCAAAAGATCTTGCGCCGCATGCCTCTAGGGTTGAGGTGCGTATAGCGGTTTAGGGTGGTGGTTTGAGGTTTTTAGTTCAAAGTGTAGGATTTGGCGTATTTTGTAATATAGTATAGGGTTGAGGAACGTGCTTGCGGCCATGAAGAAGACACTGGTGCGTCGCGCTGCCGTCGCGCAGAAGACAGTGAAAAAGCTCGAGCTTTTCCCAGTGTCTCGGCCGCAGTGAGGCCCGCGTCATGAGTGTGGGAAGCAGACGCCAGGGGTGTGCCGCTGTGTGAGGTTCCATGGCTCGGGGTTGCTGTCGCGTCCCCCGCCTTCCATCAATCATGCATGGGGTTTATTCTCTCGTCCCATCATTCCGCCGCGCAAGATACCATTCAAACGACTAGGGGTATCCCACTGTGGGCCACTGTTGCGCGTGCTTTCATGTTATCACCAATGCAGCACTCTTCTACAGAGCACACTGAGACCTCGCACTTCAGACCGAGCAGATTGTAATATTCTGTGAGTGTGAGGTGAGGCAGCCGCAGGCATAATGTGCAAACAGGTGATATATGGTGTCAAATTCCGGTGCCGCTAAGGAAACAAGCACAGAACCTTCCGACGACGGTGACTGGGACGGCTTCAGTTTCTCTGAGATCGCCGTGGTGGCGTCGTTGGAGGATGCGGAGGCCCCCCGGTTTCTCAATTCAGTATCAGTGTAGCTCTCTATGTCCATCTACAGCTTCCACAATTCGTAACCTGCTCTTGGCCACTCGAAGCCACTCAGGGCAGGTGCAGGGATTCAGGCACCGATTCAAGGGTCGTTGAGCCGAAAGGCCAGAAAGGGAAGAAGGGTAAGTCCGAACAAGACATTGACAGACGAGACGGAGATGAGGAAGTGAGGCATAGCAGATCAAGCAAGAACGAGTTTCGGTAGCTGAAATCAAAAGTCTTTTCGCCGGGATGTGGCATATGGCAAAATAGCAGGATACGTCCAGCTGGCTCAGATGGCTGTCGTGGAGCAGCGTGCCTGGGGCAGCAAGGTTGGCAAGTTGAAAGCAGACTCAAATTGAAGGTGTTTTCCTGGTCAGGCGGTTGGTTCTCTATGGTCTGGGGTTCAGACAGCTTCTAAGTAGCTGTGAAGTTGGTGTACCGATCCATTCTAAGCCTTTGTGTGACCCTGGAGTTTGAGGCTTGATCTTCCTGCAAGTGTCCCGCTTTTTATAGGAGTGGTAGGTTTAGGATTTGGCTCTTTTGCGCCACCGGCGTGACTAGCAACGTGGAACGCTGTGTGATTTACGAAGGCCGTGCGTGAACATGTGCAAAGAAGAGAAGGGGGACAGCGGAAGCAGAAGTGTGGCTTGCGTTGCAAGGACGAAACGTTGCTTTACTGCGACTCCATGGAGAAGGAGACCGAGGCCGCATGCCTTGGGGTTGTGGTTGAGGAAATATTGGCAAGTGCAAACATGTGAGGGACATGCGAAAGTGTCAGCGCAAGCTGCTTCAGGAAACCTGGAGCATTGTCAGCGTCCTGCTTTGCTGCTTCTCGTCCGGCAGGACGCTGGGTGCCGATGCTTCCATGTCTACACTATGACTGATCGCATGGATCACGGACTACGCGACAACCGCTTGTAGACCCCAGCAGTTGCACGTCCGAAACCCGAGATCCTGCTCTGAACTTTGACCATGTGCAGGAAGGGCTTCGCTGCGTGATTGTTCTTGCTGGAGGTGGGTCTCTCGGCTCCTATGAACATTCATGGGGTCTTGCGGGTTTTTTAGAGGGTCTAAAGGTTTCTGAGGACGTCTTTCTTCACAGGGTCAACATCTTACAAGACTTTTGGATTCTCTTACTTGAGCTCCGGTGCGAAGCTTCAACAAAGCATCGGCGTCTGAGATTCTTATTTGTGCTTGATCCGACAGGGTAACATCTGGTAACTACTCGGGTTTTCAATCCAGTGCTTTTTGCTGTGCCGCAGACCGTGCAAGACCCCGCCCGAACCCTGCAAAACCCTTTGCGTCTGCGCCTCAACTTCACAAAGCCCTCAGGAGCTCGGCCGCAACTTCGACTTCGAGTATCACTCCGCGCAGCTCCTTGGGCGGCAAGAGAGGCCCAGAGAGTTGTTCGAGGCTCGCCGTGGTTTCCATCCGAGCAGCCAACCCGAAAAGCCTTGTTTAAGCCCTGCTTTTGGTGCTAAAAAGAAATGTAGAGCTTCCGGAAGAAACCCTCTGCTCAACCCTCTGCTCCCGGCCTCAGGCTGAGCATTGACACGGCGCCCCTCACCAAGGGCTGCTCGGCGATGTGCTGCTTGGGCTTCAACATTTTGGGCAAAGCAGCAAATCGGCAGCTTTTTTTGCATGTGTTTTGTCTTCTTTATCTCTCTCTGTCTCGCTCTCTCTCTCAGTTCCTCTCGCTCTCACACTCTTCCTCCCTCTCTGATTCTCTCTCTTTGAACTTTGCAGGGGAACCCAAAGATTCGGCTTTGATTGTTCGAGGGATTTGATGTTGCCATCATGGTTGCCATTTGCCAGGAGCCCTAAACCGCCCCAAGCCCAAAACTCTTGACCCTTTCCATCCTTTTTGCATTCCTTTGCGCCGTTTCCCCACCCGTCTGAGGCACCTTCGTGAATGACTTTGCAGGCGGGCGCCGAAACTGTGATGGGTCACGTTCCGCTGATTCTCAGACTTCAAGACACTCTGCTTTCTGGAGCTGCGCCGCAAATCGCCTTAGTTCCGCCTGTTTTGCTAGCGCACGCTTCTCAGCGCTTTCCTCCATTTGTCGCCCCATTTTTGCTCTCCATTCTTGCTTGGGCAGGGGAAGATGTTCTCAAGGCCTTAGCTGAGGAGCGCGCTGAAGCCTTGAAGCCTGAAGTCTCAAGCAGAGCGAGCACCGAGGCTTGAAAGTCCCCTCTAAAACCTTGAGCCCCGCCCCCACGGTGAGAATGTGCGGGAAGACTGGGACACTTCCCTATGCTGTCCCTTAAAATACATGTGCCTTACTGAGAGCACTTCATGCGGCACGGCGAGGAGGGTGTGAAGCTCATTGCCCTGCGACGTGCGGGCTTCGACCGTGTGGATCTCCGGGCGGCAAAGGCGCGTGCACCGGCCTTCGGCTTTCGAGTCACGGTGCGCTGTTTGCTGGTCATGACCAGAAAGAGCAAACGGAGCATACATGTATGCATGTAAATGTCGGTAATTTATCTCGGCGTGTTGACATTTTTCTTTGCGTCTCAACGCTGACCCAGCGATCCTGACGCCCCTGAACCTCATGCGAACTCGCGCTTGTTTCGCAGGACGCCGGGATCACGGCGTCCCTTCTCCCTGCCTACAGCAACGCGGACACAATGGATGAGGGTCTGAGGGACATTGGCTTTAGAGGAGGGCTGTCGGGGCCGACAAAACAAAACTGGCGTACATGTGTGTGCATCTGGTGCGGTGTTCACAGGCTTCCGAGTACGATGGTCAACATGAACGGAATGTGCCATGGCTAGGCCCCCCAAGCCCCCATCATTCCCTATATTTCCGACAAACATTCCCGTGTGTTGCTTCCTGGACCGAGGCCCCTACGCTGTCGGGAAGCACGCCGTGGCGCTGATGTTATCACTGCCGCCCGAGCCTGCACAAGTCAACGGAAGTCGACCCGTAGCCAAACCAAACGAGATCGCACCGGAAGTTTAACTTGCCATGTCGTATAGGGGAAGAAAGCGCCACTTTGTTATGGCAGATTCTCCTTCAAGAAGTGCTCGTGCCGGAAATTTTTCTTTCCATGTCGTATATGGGCAAAAGGGACAAAGCGCCACTTTGCTACGGCCAGGTTACGGCAGGTTTTCCTTCAAGAAGTGCGCGCGCGGGAAATTTATCTTGCCATGTCGTATAGGGAAAAAAGCGCCACTTTGTTACGGCAGATTTTCCTTCAAGAAGTGCTCGTGCCGGAAATTTTTCTTTCCATGTCGTATATGGGCAAAAGGGAAAAAGCGCCACTTTGTTACGGCAGGTTTTCCTTTAAGAAGTGCGCGCGCCGGAAATGTATCTTGCCATGTCGTATATGGGCAAAAGGGAAAAAGCGCCACTTTGTTACGGCAGATTATCCTTCAAGAAGTGCTCGTGCCGGAAACTTCTCTTTCCATGTCGTATATGGGCAAAGGGGAAAAAGCGCCACTTTGTTACGGCAGGTTTTCCTTCAAGAAGTGCGCGCGCCGGAAATTTATTTTGCCATGTCGTATTGGGAAAGAAAGCGCCACTTTGTTACGGCAGATTTTCCTTCAAGAAGTGCTCGTGCCGGAAATTTTTCTTTCCATGTCGTATATGGGCAAAAGGGACAAAGCGCCACTTTGTTACGGCAGGTTTTCCTTCAAGAAGTGCGCGCGCCGGAAATGTATCTTGCCATGTCGTATAGGGAAAAAAGCGCCACTTTGTTACGGCAGATTTTCCTTCAAGAAGTGCTCGTGCCGGAAAGTTTTTTTAACCATGTCGTATATGGGCAAAAGGGAAAAAGCGCCACTTTGTTACGGCAGGTTTTCCTTCAAGAAGTGCGCGCGCCGGAAATGTATCTTGCCGTGTCGTATACGGAAACAAAGCGCCACTTTGTTACGGCAGATTTTTCTTCAAGAAGTGCTCGTGCCGGAAAGTTTTTTTAACCATGTCGTATACCTGGAAAGCCTAGTGATTGAAACAAGTGTCAACTATTGAAAGTGACGGTTTTGGTGGCTAAAAGCAAGCACTGCAAAGTTGTTGGTTTTGGGCATAGGATTCCTACGCTTTTTTACGCCACTTTACGCTTCTTTATGCCACTTTACGCCTTCGTGCTCCCAATACTGCCAGTCAGGTTGGGTCGGTGACCGATTTTTGTGTCACTTCTGCCTAGTGACTAGAATTCCTGTCACTTGCGATAGTTGTAGTTGCTGTAAAGAATAGTCAACTACGGCGTTCCAGGTATGGGCAAAAGGGAAAAAGCGCCACTTTGTTACGGCAGATTTTTCTTCAAGAAGTGCTCGCGCCGGAAAGTTTTTTTAACCATGTCGTATATGGGCAAAAGGGAAAATGCGCCACTTTGTTACGGCAGGTTTTCCTTCAAGAAGTGCTCGTGCCGGAAATTTTCCTTTCCATGTCGTATATGGGCAAAAGGGAAAAAGCGCCACTTTGTTACAGCAGATTTTCCTTCAAGAAGTGCTCGTGCCGGAAATTTTCCTTTCCATGTCGTATATGGGCAAAAGGGAAAAAGCGCCACTTTGTTACGGCAGGTTTTCCTTTAAGAAGTGCGCGCGCCGGAAATGTATCTTGCCATGTCGTATATGGGCAAAAGGGAAAAAGCGCCACTTTGTTACGGCAGATTTTCCTTCAAAAAGTGCTCGTGCCGGAGATTTTTCTTTGCATGTCGTATATGGGCAAAAGGGAAAAGCGCCCCTTTGTTACGGCAGGTTTTCCTTTAAGAAGTGCGCGCGCCGGAAATTTATCTTGCCATGTCGTATAGGGAAAAAAGCGCCACTTTGTTACGGCAGATTTTCCTTTAAGAAGCGCTCGTGCTGGAAAGTTTTTTTAACCATGTCGTATATGGGCAAAAGGGAAAAGCGCCACTTTGTTACGGCAGGTTTTCCTTCAAGAAGTGCGCGCGCCGGAAATGTATCTTGCCATGTCGTATAGGGAAAAAAGAAGCGCCACTTTGTTACGGCAGATTGTCCTTTAAGAAGTGCTCGTGCCCATGTCGTATATGGGCAAAAGGGAAAAAGCGCCACTTTGTTACGGCAGGTTTTCCTTCAAGAAGTGCGCGTGCCGGAAATTTTTCTTTCCATGTCGTATATGGGCAAAAGGGAAAAAGCGCCACTTTGTTACGGCAGGTTTTCCTTTAAGAAGTGCGCGCGCCGGAAATGTATCTTGCCATGTCGTATATGGGCAAAAGGGAAAAAGCGCCACTTTGTTACGGCAGATTATCCTTCAAGAAGTGCTCGTGCCGGAAACTTCTCTTTCCATGTCGTATATGGGCAAAGGGGAAAAAGCGCCACTTTGTTACGGCAGGTTTTCCTTCAAGAAGTGCGCGCGCCGGAAATTTATCTTGCCATGTCGTATTGGGAAAGAAAGCGCCACTTTGTTACGGCAGATTTTCCTTCAAGAAGTGCTCGTGCCGGAAATTTTTCTTTCCATGTCGTATATGGGCAAAAGGGACAAAGCGCCACTTTGTTACGGCAGGTTTTCCTTCAAGAAGTGCGCGCGCCGGAAATGTATCTTGCCATGTCGTATAGGGAAAAAAGCGCCACTTTGTTACGGCAGATTTTCCTTCAAGAAGTGCTCGTGCCGGAAAGTTTTTTTAACCATGTCGTATATGGGCAAAAGGGAAAAAGCGCCACTTTGTTACGGCAGGTTTTCCTTCAAGAAGTGCGCGCGCCGGAAATGTATCTTGCCGTGTCGTATACGGAAACAAAGCGCCACTTTGTTACGGCAGATTTTTCTTCAAGAAGTGCTCGTGCCGGAAAGTTTTTTTAACCATGTATATGGGCAAAAGGGAAAAAGCGCCACTTTGTTACGGCAGATTTTTCTTCAAGAAGTGCTCGCGCCGGAAAGTTTTTTTAACCATGTCGTATATGGGCAAAAGGGAAAAAGCGCCACTTTGTTACGGCAGGTTTTCCTTCAAGAAGTGCTCGTGCCGGAAATTTTCCTTTCCATGTCGTATATGGGCAAAAGGGAAAAAGCGCCACTTTGTTACAGCAGATTTTCCTTCAAGAAGTGCTCGTGCCGGAAATTTTCCTTTCCATGTCGTATATGGGCAAAAGGGAAAAAGCGCCACTTTGTTACGGCAGGTTTTCCTTTAAGAAGTGCGCGCGCCGGAAATGTATCTTGCCATGTCGTATATGGGCAAAAGGGAAAAAGCGCCACTTTGTTACGGCAGATTTTCCTTCAAAAAGTGCTCGTGCCGGAGATTTTTCTTTGCATGTCGTATATGGGCAAAAGGGAAAAGCGCCCCTTTGTTACGGCAGGTTTTCCTTTAAGAAGTGCGCGCGCCGGAAGTTTATCTTGCCATGTCGTATAGGGAAAAAAAGCGCCACTTTGTTACGGCAGATTTTCCTTTAAGAAGCGCTCGTGCTGGAAAGTTTTTTTAACCATGTCGTATATGGGCAAAAGGGAAAAGCGCCACTTTGTTACGGCAGGTTTTCCTTCAAGAAGTGCGCGCGCCGGAAATGTATCTTGCCATGTCGTATAGGGAAAAAAGAAGCGCCACTTTGTTACGGCAGATTGTCCTTTAAGAAGTGCTCGTGCCCATGTCGTATATGGGCAAAAGGGAAAAAGCGCCACTTTGTTACGGCAGGTTTTCCTTCAAGAAGTGCGCGTGCCGGAAAGTTATCTTGCCTTGTCGTATATGGGCTATAGGGAAACAGCGCCACTTTGTTACGGCAGGGTTTCCTTCCATATGTGCTCTCTCCGGAAATTTATCTTGCCATGTCGTATAGGGAAAAACTGTCACGGCAGGTTTTTTTTGAGAAGTGCCCGCGTCGGGAAATTTTTCTTGCCATGTCGCATATGGGCTATAGGGAAAAAGCGCAACTTTGTTACGGCAGGTTTTCCTTCCTCATGTGCTCGCTCATGTCGTATAGGAAAACAAACGTGCTCCCAACGGGGGGTTTGCGTTTCGGTTGCGGGGCTTCTTTTACAATGAAGGTTGCGTGGGATGAGTCTGCTAGTCTTCGTGCTGCTGGAAGAAGGTGGGGCGTGTTGCCACAAGATCTGCATAGTCCTGAGCAGTAGGCATTTCTGAAGAGACTTCGCATTCAAACAGGTCCTGAGCCTTAGTTTCACTGGAAACCTCCTGTACTAGGGCAACCCTTGCAAGGGGAGCTCTATGAGCACCCCACAAACCCTATACAAACCCTAAACTCTAAGCCCTAAACCCTAAACTGCAGCTTGGCATCCTGTCATCAGGAGCGGAACCATCGCTGCAACGGTGTCGAAGAAGAGCTTCGAGTGCGACGTGGTGGCCTACGATGTCTTCCCGATGCCTGGCAAAATGTGTTTAAGGCCCTCACCATAACAAAGCCTCAAACTCAAGACCTAAGTTCTGCAAGGATCTCCTGCAGAGTAAAGACCCAGGAACGAAGCCGAGCACGATCAGGATCCGCATCACACTGCAGCCTGTGCAAGGTTCTTGGAGACACACATCCGGACGCTGCCGTGCAAGTCGCAGCACGTCTACTGCCAAGACTGCTGGCGGTGCCCGGGCTATGCAGTAGCCATGCGTCATGTCTGGCTCGCTTAACGGAGTGAGCCGCACCCGGCGACATGCACAAAGAGCGGGTCATCTCAGCTATCTCAGAGTATCTGCCTCAGTGCGGGTTCAAATGAAGGATGGTGATCTTAGGAAGTGGGTCTTGATGCAGCTGGTGCCGCGCTGCTACCGTTGCCTGGATGAGTCCGGCTTGGTGACGATGCCACAGGCTTCCTGGCTGATACAACAACATACTGATACAACACACACACATAGTGCACCGCTAGGTAGGCCCTTGGGACATTTTATATTTTCCCTTGTTGGGTGTAAGAGGATCATATGCAGGAATATTTTTCAGAGTGGTGTAAGGGCCATCCTACGCTGGTTCTCTCAACTCCTGAACATCTTGAGCCAGGCTCCAGGCTGATGATCAGAGGAAGATTCCTAACCCTACAGTAAGGCCCATCTCTAGGTCATGTATCTAGGGCTGATGGCTTGGCGTCTGATCCCGCCAGGGTCGGTCAGAAGCATGGTATGCCGTGGTCCCATTGGGTTTAGGGTTTAGGGTTTAGGGTTGAACCAAGATGGTTGGGACTGCTAGGTCAGTACGGCTGACGTAGTTATGGTGACTACATGCAGCAGCCCTCAAGTACCCGAAAGAGGATATCGACCGCTTGGAGTGCGTTTGCTGCTTCGACGCCCGCAGCGGTGTTCGGTGCATCATCATCGGCATCCCAGGTGTCCTGGACCATTGGCGAACTTAGAAGGTTCGTGCTGGATCGTCACGCTGACATGCTCCTACTTTCCGGTGCGTAAGAGACTGGGGAAGCGAGTGCATAACAAAACGGGCCTGTAGCTGCAGTAGACCCTCACTGTCACCATGAACCCGTTCCCAAACTAAGCTTCAAATTGCAGCTTCGCTAAGGGCTATAATTAGTTGTAGCTGGGCCTTTCGTAGGGTGGGGCCATCGAGGCTTGCTGGGCGAGCGCTGTGTGGTGGGGCGAGTGGAGACCCTTGGATGAACCATCGAGCACGGTTCCTCGGGAATCGTTGACGGACGGCCCTCTTCCCTCTCTAAGGGTAGTTTCACGGTCCCCTAAGATGGGCCTTGAAACGGGGATCCCTTATATACCCCTTTTCTACCCCCTAAAGCCCCTTCAAGGGAGGCAAGGGACGATATTGAGGGCCCCTGTGACTACCCTTAGACCCTCGGCCCAGCCGTCTTTTCGGTGTTCATGGTTCCTTGGGAATCCCTGCAGCCCTTTAGCGCTGAATGGGCTTGGATGTTCGCATGGTTTTGATGCTCAAGTCCTTACATAACCCAGTAGACAGTAACCCATGGAGATCTAGGCCTCACAGAGCTCCCAAATCGGCCGAGCCCCAAACCCCCAATGCTGTCGTTTTGGGTTTCGGGTTTAAGGTTTAGGGTTTCAGCCCTCCTCAGGCAGAACCAGGCAGAAAGTTTCGCCGTGGTCTACGATGCGAAGGGTCTCCGGCGCCAGGTGCAGGTATCGTGCCTGGCGGCAGCTCGCAGCAAACGTAACAGGAAATTGCAGGAGATTCCCACCCTCCCCCCTTCCGCCCTTCCCCCCTGGTCTAGGCTCGTTATGGCTCGTGTAGGTTGTGCGGTTTTCGAGTGAGCCAGGAAGGTACTTTGGGGACGGCCCGGGGCCTCGGCAGATCAAAGCCACCGCATGTTCCCCATCATCCAGTAGGGAGCCACGTCAAGGTCCAGGATCGTAACCGCGCCATGAAGCAACCTTTAGGCTCGGAAGCAGTTACGGGTGGGGTTCTGTCATGGCACGCTGCACCTGCTAACGGAGTAATTGCAGAAAGCCCTAAGACCCTAATTTTTTAGTTTTCCCGTGCAACCCTCAAGCCCTAACCCTAAAGCCTAAACCCTAGCCCTAAACTCAGGGCCTAGGCCGCCCCCCTACGTTGGCGGGCGGCGCTAAAGCCCTTCGACCTCAATGGCGGCCGACCCAAGCGCTCGCCCGCCTCCCACAGCTCGGGGGTCGGTAGCACCCACGATGGGCCCGGTGCCGGACGCGTTCTCCTCGGGACCAGTACTTCCCTTATACCTTGTTGCTGCTTGGGTGCTCAGGGAGCAGGGGGCCTCAGGCCAGCTCAGGCAGGGCGGGTGCTCAAAAAACTCAGTTTTGGTCCGGAGCGTCTCCTGGCCCCCCTGGCCGCCCTGGCCCAAACTGCCTGGGAGACCCGACCCCCTACCATTCCTTTGACTCTCGGACCCAACCCCGGACATCATGAAACTGAATAAGTTTTTAGAAGTGGACTGTTGCCTTGAGTTTAGGCCTAAACCCTAAATGGAATAGGTTTGGGTGGCTTTGCCGCCTCGGACGGCGTGGGGTGGGGGAAAAGTGTTAGATGGCCCTCCACAATCGGGCCAGAGCTGCTCTTCGCACCTCACGAAGCTGTCGAGCTTGTTCCGAAACCTAACCTTCACAGCACCTACGCCCTATCACAGCAAACCCTAAACCCTAAACCCCAAACCCTAACTCCCGTTAGGTAGACGACTGCATCTTCTCTGGCCGTACCTCTCGCGGGGATCCTTGTCCCTTCAAGGCCTGAGAGTGTTAGGCCTTTTTTCAAGCGAGGCTTCAGGCAGGTTTAGGGTTCAGGGTTCAGGGTTCAGGGTTTCGGGTTTCGGGTATAGGGTTTAGGGTTTCGGGTTATGGGAGCTGTCTCATCTCGCCTTCCGTTTCCTGGCATTCAGCCGTCCGGGTTCAAAAGGGCTTAGTAGTGGACAGTGGAGCGGAATGTGGTTGCTATTCCTGTCAGGGGAATCAAGCTTGGACCCCTCAGGATGTACCTCGAAGAGGTTAACTTAATGCACTCCCAAAAGAAGGGCCTTTACCTTCGCGCAGGAATCTTCGAAAAGGGTCCCGCAAAGTCCAAGGGTACAACCCTAAACCCTAAACCCTAAACCCTAAACCCTAAACCCTAAACCCTAAACCCTAAACCCTAAACCCTAAACCCTAAACCCTAGACCTTAAGGGTCCAAGGCTCTACCATCAACGAACTGTCGATGTTGTTCCGCCAGGTTGCAAACGTCGGAGTGATGTTCAGGGGTTTGAACCTACTAGTTGCTTAAGAACCCCCCAAAAAACACAAATTCTTCCTAAAAAGGTAATCCCCTTCTGCAGGGTTGCCGGAAGGGCCAGGAGGGACTCCCTCAACCTTAAAGTCACGTCTAGGGTTCAGGGGTTTGAACAGAAACAGCTCTGTGTTGCGGGCTAGTTGAAAGCCGCTCAACTCGGGCGGCATAGGGCTTGGGTCAATTCGTGCTTAAACCCAAAACCCTAAACCCTAAACCCGAAACCCTAAACCTCTGCAGCCCCGGCAGGGCGAGCGAGTAAGTCTGGGGCTTGGATTGGCATGCTCCCTGGACTGCAGCCCTAAACCCTAAACCCTAAACCCTAAACCCTAAACCCTCAACCCTCAACCCTCAACCCTCAACCCTCAACCCTCAACCCTCAACCCTCAACCCTCAACCCTCAACCCTCAACCCTCAACCCTCAACCCTCGACCTAGCCCCTAAACCCTAAACCCTAAGGCTTGGTTGCTAAGGTGGCCCAGTGTCTTGGGCCTTGTGCCTTAATCTGATCAGAGCGCTCAACTCTAAACCCAGAACTTCCCGATAAGCCCCCCAAAAATCCGATAGATGAAACCTTGCAATGTGCCCGAAAACACTGAAACGTGCTCGACTGCGGTGGCTAGTGGCGGGCATCTGGGAATGAGACTTTTCGGCTTGGCGTGCCAGGGATCGGAAGGTAACTCGGAACCCCGGCATCAGAACAGCTCGACTTCTGACGTCCCGGACTGGAGCTGCGGAACCCTCAGCCAGTCTACACACACACAAAGCTCCGCTCCATAAACCCTACACCCTAAACCCTAAACCCTAAACCCTCAACCCTAAACCCTAAACCCTAAGCCCTAAACCCTAAACCCTAAACTCTAAACCCTAAACTTCTAAACCCTAAACCGAAACCCTGAACTTTAAACCCTAAACCCTAGGTAGGGTGTAAGGGATGTCCCCCAAGCTGTGGCAAGCTCATACCACCCAGGCCTGGGTTGCGCCTGTGCTGCCTGGACGATACTTGAGGGGCGTGTAGGGTTTAGGATTTAGGATTTAGGGTTAGGGTTTAGGGTTTAGGGTTTTGGGTTTAGGGTTTAGGGTTTAGGGTTTAGGGCTTAGGGCTTAGGGTTTAGGGCATTCAGCAAGTCCAGGTGTTCTAAACAGGGGTTTTGGTTTTATTTGTGCTTGCCACATGTCCATATCATGGGAAAGATCCTAAACGGGCTTTGGTTCACCAAAGGACCTTGATTCCCGGACGGTTTCTAAAGGCTGAAAGACAGGATAGAAACCCGAACAAGTGCAGGGTCTAAGCGTCTAGGAAGCGAACGCAGGGTACAGTAGCGTTCTCGTCCCAGTAAAATCATCACCAACAGGCACCCGCAAAACAAGGGGCCCCTGCCCGTGCTAGTGTGAGACTCGAAGACCTACAGTAAACTCCAGAAAGTTGGAACATGGTTTAAGGATGATTAGAGCTGGGATTCCCTTTTGTGTACCTTTTGGGGTATGGGGAGAAGGATGTTCCGACTTTTTGGAGATTAGTATAAGCCCGGTATGCCGGAGATTTGCGTTGCAGATGTCGGTAGGGCCTGTGCGTGGCGGAAGTCCAGGCTTCATCTTTTGGCGGGGAACCCCACTGCCCTCTCACCATTTACAAGATATATATATATATATATACACATATATAAATAAGAAGATACCAAGAAAAACGAGGGCATAGATAGATAGACAGAAAGATAGATAGACAGATATATACACACACCTACGTCTCTGGCCACCTAGGTAGCCCGAGAATAGGATCTACATCGGCCCCACCCCCCCCGCCGCTTCAGTTTGCCTTATAGCACTTTTTTTGAAATGTTCAAGGGCGCCCCTGAACCCAAGCATCACAGGCAGCTCCATAGAGGCGACAGGTCCTGAACTTTGCAGTGGATAAAGCCCAGGTGGGCAAGCAGGCAATGGATGAACTGTTCCTTGGCTGCTTTGGGTGGTGCTGGAGTTTCTCTTGTTCCTTAACCCTAAACCCTAAAAGGCAAGGCCCTAAAACCCTAGAACCCTAAAACCCAAAACCCTAAACCCAAAACCCAACTCCATGAGCCTTTGTTCAGGGTTTTAGTTTTTGGGGTTTTGAGACTGAGAGAGAGAGAGAGAGAGAGAGAGTTAGTTTCGAGGGTAGTATCCAGTACTCACTAGTTTTCCCAACTTGGGGAACCCAAAAACTCTCCGAGCCCCAACCCTAAACACCCATTTCACCGCGACAAGCATTCCGGGCACCAGGCGCTTACCTTTTGAGGCACCCAACGCATTGCAAAGCCCCGAACCGTAAACCCTACATCCTAAATCCTGAGCCCGTATTGAAAAAGCAGGAGACCCCAACTCTAAACGGTGGATAAGTGCCGCAAGCCCAAGACCTTATGCGACGAAACCTATCAAAGCCTAGACCGTAGATCCCCAACCCCATGCCGACCACCCCATTCTGTAAACCCTACAGTAAACCTTAAACCCTCCACCCTAAACCCTCAACCCTCAACCCTCAGCCCTAAGCCCTAAACCTATACCCTAAACCCAAAACCCTGCATACACACTATACCCCAAATCTCAGGCTCCATTGCTTTTCCCACACAGTTGCTGCAGAAGTCGCACGAGCAGCTGAAGGCCGGATCTTTCTCCCAGAGGTTTTGGGATTTAGGGATGGGGCTTATCTTATGGTTTAGGACTTAGGATTCAGGGCTCAAGGCTTGCAGGGTTGAGGGTTTTGGTTTTAGGGTTAGGATCATTAGCGGAGGTGAAGTTTACGGGAGTTCAAGGCGTGTGAAGGCTCTGAAGTTTCGATGTGTTGGAGGTTTCACGCTGCCTTCAGGGCTACAGGGCGGTGGATGTTTCGAATCTTTGTCAGGGCGGGCTGTGGGGGACCGTGGTGGATGTTTCGAATCTTGCACCGTGCAAGGCCCATCCATCTGGTAGCCTTGGCGCTTGCGGCTCCGCGGCCAAGGCCATCAAGACCATCCCGGAACGTCTGGGTGTCGAATCTCTCTGGGTGCCCAGTGATCGTCCCGTGGATGGCATGGGCACAAAACGCTGTGCGACACAGAGCTGCGCGGGAGTTTTCTTTGGACTTTGGACAGCGACTTCACCAACTGGCAGCAATGCGCAATGGCAGGGCCGCCTGGACCCGCGGCCACTCTCCATGGAGCGGCTCATCGGCCTACCAGTCGACGTAAAGCCGTGGGCGGGGTGATGATGTGGTTAAAGTTCGAAGTCTCTGCAATACTGGCGCGGCCACGTGACACATCGATCAACCATCTGCTGGTGCTGCCCTGGCATCACGCCTTTGATGGCGTCCGTGCTGTCGGCTCAATACGTGGCCGCGTGCGGTCCTGATAGCGGCCGGTGTCAGGCTGGAGAACAGCTGGAACCGCAGCTGACTTTGCAAGCGGGCAGTTAATCTATTGACTTCTTGCAGCAAGGCCTGGCAGGTGACCTGTCCGAGTGCCGAAGAGTTGCTTTCTTGGCTGAAGGTCGAGAGGTATCTGTGATTCCTCAGCTACCCCGCACAGCCCTTGATGTTTATGGTTCAGGGTTCATTGTTTGGCACTTGGGGGTTTTGGGTTCCAGGTTCAGGGCTTTTGGTTCCGAGCCACATCCTGCACCCTGAACACTGAACCCTGAACCTTGCAGCATACTCCTCACGCCCCGACTCAGGCCCTACGACCGAAAGCCGCGAACAAACCCCATCAAGCCCACGCAACCCGCCTCAGCCCTTCCTAAACTTGTAACATGTGGGATCCATTTCGCAAACGAGGCCTCGTATGTCTCGCTTAACTCAGCGCCGCTGAGCCGAATCCCAGATTCCTATGAGACGCTAAGCTCAGGGGTCCGACAGAGCTTTCGAGTCTGCTGCGCTGCTCTGGCTCAGTTTGCGACAGGCTGTGGGACAGGCTTCGCTTGGGGTTAGGCTTCGCATCTCCTCAGCAGCCTTCACAGACAACTACTATTTGCTTAAGAGCCCCAATAGAAAGAATAGTAACCCCTATATTACCCTTAATAAGGAAGAATGTTTTTTGTTCTTCTGGGTTCTTAAGCAATTAATGGACAAGTGTTCTCAATATCTATTTTTTCTACTTTATGCTAAAAAGCCCATATGGCAAACTTTCTATGTTATTTATGTAATACCTTTTATTATCGTAACTGCTTAGGGCTTGTTTTGTTTGTTTTATGCTATATATCTGATGATTTTTTGAACGTATGCTGTTAAATGATACGCTGTTATCTATACATTCATTGTTTAAGGTGTCTTCGTATCTTTTATAATTGAATTCTTTCTTAACTTTATGTTTTACTATGCCTTTGCTTTTCTTTTCTTCCTTCTGTTCATTATATATCTTGAACGCATAAGATTTAGGCTTTAATCCTATGAAGCTTGTTATTATTTTTCCTGCACATTCATCCTTAAACTTTCCTAATACCTTCTTGTTTTTTGGGTCATAGCATTTATGATTTTTATCATAGCCGCTAAAGTCCATGTGATTACTTATTTCTTGGAAGTCTTCATATATATATCATCTGTTTTAGTATGTATAACGAAGCTGTCAGTATCAGTATATATTAATCTTATGTTGTCTTCATATTTCGTTTTGAGAACATCATAATAAAACGAATACATATGTAACTTAGATAAGTCTAAGATACACATACCCGCATATATAGGCTTATTTAATAATACTGTGTGTTTTAGCTTTTCAACTCCTACGAGATTTTCATTAATTATATGTCTATGTTTAAATGTAGGACTATTAACGCATTTTTGATAACGTTGAGGTGTATTAACTAATTCAAAATCTATATGTTCTCTTACATTTTCCATCGTCTTACCGTATACTGCATTATTCATTAATTTATACATATCCTTTTCAAAATCTGATGTTGCTTGTTTTCTTTTGTTAGTTTTAAAATCAGTCCATGGTTTTAACCAAGCCTTTTGTTTAAAAGATATTGTTCTCCAAACACGCTTTATTTTCAAGCTTTGTTTCAGATAATACTGTAAAATCTTAACATGACACATATAATTTTGTTTATCATATACATTTAAGATTAACTTGTTTGTTTTTTCATCTGTAGGGATTATAAGATTTATATATTTCCTTCTGTGTTTCCGATAACATGTCTGCCGTAACATTCATTATTTGCGGTGCTAATGGGTAGTCCTTATGTTTTTCATGGACTTCATCGGGATATTCTAAATCAACATCTACAAAGTCAGCACCTGGGCGAGACCGCTTGTGCGCTCGTGCGAATGGTTTCTGCGGCACCTGCTGCCACGACGCTGATCCTGCAACTCGGCTGCGGCTCCCCGCGTTGCTGTTCGAATTTTTCCCCACTAAGGACCAGCACTCCGAAGTAGGCATGCGTGGCTGCCAGATGACTGGGCTGAGGCCATCACTGGGCTTCATCTTGGATGATGGCGGCCGCATTGCGGAGGCAGCTTTCCGTGTTGGCCCGTGCCGAATAGCTTGAGGCACGCATGGCAGCCTGTAGCTACACTCTGCGCAGGTCACCTGCGCAGGAGTCGTCCGGGCCTGAGTGCATCTCTGCAGACCGGGGCCCTGCAGATGCTGGCACACCTCTCCCGCCCCGAGTCCCAAATCCCGCTGGATCCTTAGCTATCCCGGCCGCCTTGAGGTGGGAGCGGGAGGTGGACCAACAAGCTTCTCGGCACGAGGTACGGCCCAGTGCAGTCAGGGCTCACGAGCCCCGGACGTTTCAACTTTCACACGCAGGGACCCCCGCAAGGTTCATGTGAGGCAAGACCGAAAGGCTTCCATCCTGCTTCCGTAGCCCCACTGCCCTCGCAGCAGCCCTCTCAAATTTCCCCCTCCCCCGAAGCAAGCAGAAACCTTCACTTTCCAGCCCCTTTTGCAGGATCCTTGCCGGCCGCCAAGACGGCCAGGAAGACCGTGGTCCCAGTATCAAGTAGCAGGACGGATCGCGTCTGGGGAGGTTTCGGAAATCAGGTAAGGGTATCGGCTAGTCCCGGAGTGACCTCGTGTCAGTGCTGGGGGGTGCTGGGTTTAGCTTGGGTCAGTGCGGAATGGTACACCTTGCGCACTGACATTTAAACACCAAAGCCTCAGATCCTTCATAGGGACCCCCCTACATATCCCAAGTTTAATTTTCTGGGCTGAGGATCCTGAAACCCCCCTCCCGTCTGCTAGGCCCCGACCCCCACTGACCCACCTTGCACCGACCGAACCCCCTAAACCCTAAACCCTAAACCCTAAACCCTAAACCCTAAACCCTAAACCCTAAACCCTAAACCCAAAACCCAAAACCCGAAACCCTAAGAAGATTTCTGACTTGAGTTTCGGCCGAGACCCGGAATGGATGAGGGTGGCTTTGCCGCCTTGGACGGCGTGGGGTGGGAAGAAAGGTGTTGGATGGCACCTGACGAAGCCTTCGAGCCTCTTCTGCATCGTAACCTTGAACCCTAAACCCTAAACCCTAAACACTAAACCCTAAACCCTAAACCCCAAAAACCTAAAAAACCCCAAACCCTAAACCCTAAACCCTAAACCCTAAACCCTAAAAAACCTAAAACCCTAAACAGGTCCACCTCCAAGGGCAAGAGCAACTCCAAGTCCCGAGTTGGAGGTGGATGCTTCTGGGATTCCGGGTTTAGGGTTTAGGGTTTAGGGTTTAGGGTTTAAGGTTTACTGAGAGAAGCTCTTTTGATTTAGTACGTCTACTTAGTATCCCTTAGAACCCCTATTGCAACCCCCATAGCCCTACTTACTAAGTCAAAAGGGCTTCCAAGCAGGGTTTGTGGTTGAGGGTTTGTGGGGTTGAGGGTTTGAGGGTTTAGGCCCTAAACCCTAAGGCCTATAAACCCTAAACCCTCAACCCTCAACCCTAAACCCTAAACCCTAAACCCTAAACCCTAGACTGTAGAGGCTTACTGGGTTTAGGATTCATGCGGGCCTGGGTTTACGATGGTTTGTCTTGGGGTCTTGGTTCAGGGGATTCGAGCGTTTAGGGCTTAGATCGGTTTGGGGTTGCGGGCTTCGTAAGCTCAGGGGGTTTGGGTCTTTAGATGGCTTGGGATGTCCCCGAAACCCAAACCCTAAACCCCAAGACCCCAACACCCGAAACCCTAAAACCCCAAAACCCCAAAACCCCAAAACCCCTAAACCCCTAAACCCCAAGAACCCCAAGAACCCCAAAAACCCCAAAAAATCCAAGAACCCCAGAACCCCAAAAATACCCTTAAACTTAAACCCAAAAGCCCTTCACAGGCGAAGCTCAGCACTTGGGCATCCCGCACTCCTCCCGGCTGCACCCCGTTCTTCTGGAGAAGGGCGATGCCGTGAGCTTGCAGGCAGGGTTCGGGGGGTTTAGGGGGGGCTTAGGGGGGGGCTTAGCGGGCTTGGGGGTTTAGGGTTTAGGGGGTTTAGGGTTGAGGGGGTTTAGGGTTTAGGGTTTCGGGTTTAGGGTTTAGGGGGTCTCATATATACGGCCCCTGCCAGGAATCCCGCAGGAGCCGTAACCCCTAGAAAGTGTCAAGAAGATGCCTTGGACAGGGAGATGCTGGGAGCTTATGCTTATGGGGAGCCATACAGTGGGATCAGAAGTCGGGCCACCCGTTGCACCAGGTAGAACTGGTTGCAGCTCTATTTGAATTATCGTTAACCCTACGAAAGAACATCGAAAGGCCAGCTGCCCATTAGCCTCCAGGTACGATTTCCCCCCTAAACCCTAACCCCCAAAATCCTAAAGCCTAAGCCCGAAATTTTGCCTGGGGGGATGAGGTACCTTTTTGTCCTCCAATAACCTTTCAGGGATTATGTAACTATGCGTATTGCCTAGTTCCCCCATTCCCTACTCAGAGCCAGTAAGCCTGTGGCCGCTACAACCAGGGTTCCGGGATTTGGGGGTTTGGGAACGCTCCAGGTGCAAGGAGTCAACGAGGAGGACCAGATCAGCACCTGCCTGAAGGTGGCTGCCGAGGCTGCGGGCGGTCTTAGGGGCTTAGGGTTTAGGGTTCAGGGTTTAGGGTTTAGGGTTCAGGGTTCAGGGTTTCGGGTATAAGGTTTTTAGGGTTTAGGGGTGCTTTCAGGGTGCAGGGCTTCCCTCCATGGGGCTTGCAATAGGGTTGGGTATTCACAAGAGCACCCCCCTCAAAGAGAGTTCCTTTTGGCTCTTAGGCATTACAAGGCTGAAGGCTAGGCATGTTGGTACAGAAATCGAAAAAGAATGTTGAGTCGTGATTTGCTGAAGTGTTCGACTTCTTGTCCATCCACTTGGCACTTCCATTACTTGTGTCTTTTAATTCTCAGAATTATATAGTTTGACTCAAGCATCCTCTCTTAAGGGCCAGAAGGCTTACACCCTAAAACCAACCCCAAAAGCCTAAAACCCTAACCCCAAAACTTAACCCCAAAAAACACCCAAACCGCCTACAGCCCCAAAACCCGAACCCCAAAACCCCGACAACCGCTAAAACTCCCTAAAGGCCTCAACCAACAAAGCCCCAGAAGCCCCAAAGTCGGCGTCCCAAACCCCCCAAATCAGCCGGGAACCCTCAGCCCTAAAATCCTCAACCCCACTAAAGCCCAACACCCCGCTAAAACCCCTAAAGCCCGAACCTCAAAGCCCCAAAAGCCCTAAAACTTCTCAACCCTAACGACTCCCAAGAAACCCTCCCACATCGGCCCCACCAAAACCCCACAAAAACCCCAGCTCACGCACCGCTCCCAACCCTAAACCCTAAACCCTAAACCCTAAACCCTAAACCCTAAACCCTAAACCCTAAACCCTAAACCCTAAAACCCTAAAACCCTAAACCCTAAACCCTAAACCCTAAACCCTAAACCCTAGAGCCTAGACCCTAAATCGTAAACCCTAGACCCCAAACTCTAAACCCCGAACCCTAAACCCTAAACGCTAATCGTCACGGGGTGGTGCCTTCAGCTTTAGGCATTGCTCCATCGCACCAAGGGGTATTTTTTGTGACGTGTCCAGCGTATGGGGTTTCGGCGAGCTGTGCCGTTTGCCCTTGTTTGCTGGCGGTGCGTGAGTGCGTGCGTGTGGGACGACCCTGTAGGGTCTTTTAATTTAATTGTAGCTCTAGTTATGCCCCTTCTTCAAGTTTGCATCCCTTGCTTAGTACCTCCATGAGGCATCATGGTGGCAAGAGCTTTGGGTCTTTTAAGTGGGCTGTCTTGCCAAGTGATCCATCCAACCCTCGCCAGCTTGAGTGTAGCTTCCTCTTGCTTGGGGGGGGGGGCGCGCTCATGGAGACTCAGGTGTTGCAAGTGTGCTTGAATGTGGGGCCCACGGGTAGTTACTTAAGCCTTCTGGCCACACACACACCCTAAACCCTAAACCCTAAACCCTAAACCCTAATTAAACCCTAAACCCTAAACCCTAAACCCTAAACCCTGAACCCTGAACCCTGAACCCTAAACCCTAAACCCTAAACCCTAAAACCTAAACCCTCCTCCAAAATCTTGGCGAGGCCGAGTGCTCGCGGGTGAAGATGGCCTTCCAGCAGATGCGGCTGGGCTTAAGAATTATTCTTACAATTTTTGATTGTTTTTAGCTTAAGAATTATTCTTACAATTTTTTGATTGTCTTTATCATTATGTTTAGTTTATGATCATGATTATTTTCTAAAATCATTCTTGCTAGAGCATTGTTGTTGTCGCAGTTAATTGTTCTCACTATCATCATTCTTTTCACTATTATTCTTATTCTTGTCCGTATTCTTATTCTTATTCTTATTCTTATTCTTATTCTTATTCTTATTCTTATTCTTATTCTTATTCTTATTCTTATATTATTATTATCATCATTGTTCTCACTACTACCATTATTCTTTTTTTTATTATTACTATTATGATGATTATTATCATTGTTATTGTTTTTTTCTTACTATTGTTGCTGTTATTATTATTGTTATGATTATCACTATTACTATTATCAGTATTCTTATAAATTCTTCTTCTTCTTCTTCATGACTCTCACTGTTGTTATGTTTATTCTGCTTTTCTTCTTGTCATCACCAATAAGAGTATTAGTATCGTATATTGTTGTGGTTATTTGTAATGTTGTTGTGTGTTTGTGCTTCTTATTCATCACTTTGTGTTTTCTTCTATATGTTTTCCTGCCCATTGTAAAGTCATGTCCTCTCTGGTTGCTTGTTGCTTCTGGCTTTCAATGTGTTCTCAACCAGTCATGATGTATTTACATGTTTCGGGGAATGATTTCGTGATCTTCGGCATGGCTCTAAGACAGTTTCGCCCGCTTCTGTTTCATCGGCTGTCGTGACTCTTGTGTTTTAGTTGTTTATCTCCAGATACTTCATTGGTTTCAAATTACATCCAACTATTACTTGGTAACATGTATTTTTTACTGCTACTAATACGCTTGCCTAATCTTTCGGGTTTAGGGTTTCGGGCCCGGAACCCTAAACCCTAAACCCTAAACCCTAAACCCTAAACCCTAAACCCCAAACCCTAAACCCTAAACCCTCAAACCCTCAAACCCTCAAGAACCTAGACCTCTCGAGGTGCCCCTACTTCGCCACTCTCAAGGCAGGGTCCCTGGTTCTCGAGGCCCGACTTGTGCAGCTCAGAGGGCGGACAGGGGGTTCAGGGTTTAGGGTTTAGGGGTTGGGGTTTTAGGGTTTAGGGTTTGAGGGTTTATGTGCATTTTATGTCTTTCTGGGAGGTTGGGGTGAGCAGTTTTAGGGAGTTTAGGGGGTTGAGCATTTGGGGTTGACGGTTTCAGGATTTCGTTTTGGGGGTGTTGGGGTTGTAGGATTGAGGGTGGAGGGGTTTAGGGTTCAGGGTTTAGGGGCTCCGGGGTTTAGGGTTTAGGGTAGGGTTTAGGGTTTAGGGGGGTTTTGGGTGCGGTGTTAACCCTGAACCTTAAACCCTTGTGAAATCCATCTTGATTTGTCTTGTCTGTAAAGGACCGAGTCCGTGCGACCCTGGTTGTGTTACCCTGGCCTGTAGGACCCAATACGCGACCCCTATTCTTTTTCACGTTTAACACTTCTCACTTTTCCATTCCCCAAAATAAGGCCATCGCATTCGCTCCGCAGATGTCTTGAACTCCCCCCTAAACCCTAAACCCTAAACCCGAAACCCTAAACCCTAAACCCTAAACCCCAAACCTTGTGAGCTTTCCATCCCCAGTGGCCCTACGGGCGCCCTACGGGCGCCCTGGGCAGGTTGGCTCCCGATCCGGGGACGTGACCCTCATGTTTGCCGAGCGCTTTCCGGACCCGAGCTGGGGTTTAGGGTTCAGGGGTTTAGGGTTTGGCAGCTTAGGGATTTGGGGGTTTAGGGGTTTAGGGGTTTAGGGGTTTAGGGTTTAGGGTTTAGGGTTTAGGGTTTGGGATGTAGTACTTAGAGTTTAGGGTTGAGGGTTGAGGGTATAGAGCTTGGTGTTTAGGGTTGAAGGTTTAGAGTTTGCTGCGGAGGGTTGAGGGTTTAGGGTTGCAGGTGTTTAACAGGAGTCAAGAAAGCCAAGCTCTCGTTATCTGGCGATGCCTCATTTCCCCCTCAGCCTCCAGAACCCTGAAGATCATCGTTAAGGGTTTAGGGTTTAGGGTTTAGGGCTTAGGGTTCCTCAACTTCTGGTACAGGCAGTGCAAAGAGTAGGGTACCGTACCTGCAAGGCTACGTGACTACCGACAGGCGACCCTCGAATGCCCTAAGCCCAAGATGCTAACCACCCCAAGGCAGTGCTGCGGACATGTGGCAGGTTTGTTTTCCTGGTAACGCCTCCAGTGGTGGAGAGCGACCCAGATCCAAATTCTAAACCCTGAACCCTAAACCCTAAACCCTAAACCCTAAACCCTAAACCCACTAATAAGTTTTGTGAGGACCTGTACATTCAGCCCACCGAGGGAACGGGAGAAGCATCCCCGGGCCTGTTCATGCTCCTGCAGGCCTGGGACTCAAGGGTTTAGGGTTTGGGGTTTATGTAACAGTTTAGGGTTCAGAGTTTAGGGTTTAGGGTTTGGGTTTAGAAAGAAAAAAACACACCATGATGATAGCAAAAATAGTACTCATATATGAGAACTAGTTCATGATTAGCTGCTTAGCTCATATAAGTCGAAGAAGAAACGCTCCTTGATTACTTGGGATGTTCCCCCATATACTAACAGGCCTTAGTAGGGAGTACAATCGCGGGTGCCAGAATCCCCATGGGAGTTGTGAGCTTCGCTTCCGTGACAGTCACCTGCTCGTTGCCTCTACATGTTGCGACCTCTGCCCCGCGCACTCGGCAGGTTCAACATGGTTTGGGGTTTAGGGTTTAGGGTTTAGGGTTTAGGGTTTCGGGTTTAGGGTTTCGGGTTTAGGGTTTCGGGCTTAGCGTTGAGTTGAACCCTCCAATTACACTCGAAGCCCTCAAAACGCGAGGAGCGCCTCAGCATGGTGAGGAAGGAGCTCCCGAAGAAGAGGTTGAAAAGACGAGGCAACGCCAGAGCCCCAGGGGAGTTCGGATTGAACATTAACATCGGTTTAGGGTTTAGGGTTTAGGGTTTAGGGTTTAGGGTTTGGGGTTTAGGGAACTCTGAGCTCTCAAACCCTGAGCTCGAAGTATAGAATCTCTTCCATCACGAACCCCGCTGTTTGAAACCTCCTGCGGCTGAGATGAAGAGACCGAGGCCTCGTCTGAGAATGTCCCTCGAAGTCGCGTGCTCCCGTGGCATCCCAAGTTGGAGCTGCATGGGTTGAGGGTTTAGGGTTGAGGGTTTAGGGTTCAGGGTTTAGGGTTTAGGGTTCAGGGTTTAGGGTTCAAGGTTTAGGGTTTATCTCGGACTGATCACCTCGCATCTCTTTGAACTGATGGCTGCAGTGCAGTGACCCCGGCACATGGATCTGGAAAGGGCAAGAAAACCCACGAAACCACCGGGCGCCCTATCGCATGCCGCCATCTACAACTACAACTACGCCTACAACTAGAACAAGAATTACAACGACAACCACATCTGCAATCACAACCAACAACGACGACTACTGCTACTGCTACTGCTCCTGCTCCTGCTCATGTCCCATTCTTACACCCCCCACAACTATTCGACCCATCATTTTTCGGGCTTTCTGAGCAGCTGCTGAGGCCTCGGTTCTTGGATGGCGGACAGCAGAAAGGCTTGGCTCTTTGAAGGATCTTCCAACTCCCAACGTCCTTAGCACCCCCAAACCAGAGAGCCCAATACACTCAACTAAGGAGAGTGTCCTAAAATCAACCTAAGGGTCTATAGTTTGAAGTGTGAAGTATATCCTATAGGCTCAATGAAGGAGAATGCCCTTAAATCAACCTAAGGGCCTTTATAGTTTGAAGTATATCCTATAGGCTCTCAGGGTGCGCCACACCGCCAGGCTGGCGCTCGAAGATCTCGGGCCAGGACATCAACTGCATCTTCTGCGTGAATGCCTGGGGCTTGGATCCAGGAGAGTGGGTCCTGGGAGGAGATTCGGGGGCGCTGCGGGGTTTCGGGGTGTGGCGTGATGTAGCTGGTGTTTCGGGGCTTCCAGTGTAGGTCTTCGGCGTCTTCTGGCCTTGCAATCAGGGGCTCTCAGCATCTGTCGATTGGCAGCATCGGCAGGTGCTACACTACGTGTCGCCGCAGGGCCGGGCACCTGCCAGGGTTTAGGGCTTAAGGCAGGTTGAGGCAGTTTCGGTGTTGGTTGTGGTTACACATGTGCGCGACATGTGTTGGTGTCAAACTTGCAAAGTATTGGAGCCTAGCATGCGCCATATACATCTACAGGAGCCAAAGAACTCAGAAGCATTCTCCTGATCCGCCGATCCCCTCAACCCTCAATCCTTAAACTCTCCGAAAAATCTGCAGGCCTAGAGAACTTCATGCAGGGCTGCAGTGACCATCTGCCTGTGGGAGGCCGCTATTTGGGCAGAGAATTCGATTCCCTAAACCCTAAACCCTAAACTCCAAACCCTTTTCTATTTTGGTCGCAGGGTAGGATCGCAAGAAGACGAGTTGCACCAGCTTTGGGCACGCGGTTGGGTTGGGGAAAGTTTTGGTGACCCCAAGCCCGGAGCCGTGCCTAAGACCCTAAAGCCTCAACCCTAGACCCTAAACCCTGATTCCTAAACCCTAAACCCTGTGAAACGAAAGGCACGCTCCTTGTATGCGGGCCATTCTTCAACAATGGCGAGGTGCAAAACCCAGAACGGTCAGCGCGGCTGAAAGGCAACTTTGTTCTGGGCTCTGGGGCTTGAATCCAACTTTTTTTAATAGTTTGGACGTGTTTTTGGAGGGTTTAGGGTTTAGGGTTTAGGGTTGAGGGTGGTTTAGGTTGAGGGGTTTCGGCTTGCGGGTAATGCGCTTCAGGTTTTGCGGGTTTGGCGGTACGGCCCTTGTCGATGCAGGGGTGCGTGCTTGCCCGTGCGACAGAGGCCGGTGTTTGAACGCAGGGTTGAGGGTTTAGAGTTTAGGGTTTAGCTTTCAAGCACTCCATAGACCTCTGAAACGTAAACGCTCCAACGCCGCCACCCTGCCTCTCCCAAGAGTACAAGCCGTGCGTTCACCAGGCGCCAAAACCCTCAAACCCTAAACCCCAAACCCTCAACCCTGAACCCTCAAACCCTAAACCCCTAAACCCTAAACCCTCAACCCTCAAACCCTCAACCCTCAACCCTAAACCCTGAAACCCTAAAACCCTAAATCTAAAAACGCCCTGACAGCTCCAGTCGCTGCGGCTCTGGGATCCCCCACGGACCGCCGAGGCGGCGGAGACGCTGCTGGTCTACGACGCGGCTCTCAGGGCCTTTGGGGAGACCTCAGACAGGCGCTGGAGAGGGTTCTGCTGGGTCCGGCAAACCCCAAGCCTTAAGCACTAAGCCCCCAAACCCTAAACCCCAAGCCCTAAGCCCTGAGCACTTGGAGTTTGGAGTTGTTGGGGGGGTTCGGGGCTTAGACTTTGGGGTGTGGGCTCGGGGGTGTAGAAGGTTTAGGATATGGGGTTCGGGGTTGCGGGTGTGTGGTGGGACAGCTCGCCGGCGCAGACAGCAACCGTGCTGCTCGCTTGCACCGCCGTAGTGTTCCCACTCCAGCCAACTACTAATTGCTTAAGAACCCCCACAAAAATATTCTTTTATTAAGGGTAATATCGAGATTGTTGTTTTTATTCTTTTGGGGTTCTTAAGCAAATAGTAGCCAAAGAATTCTCATTGTGGGCAGGGACGGCTGTGCTCTTCTCACAAGGGGTGCTGACTATTCTGGCCTCCTATACCCCCCTGGCCTCGGCTCCTTCGGAGCCTAGAAGACGGCCCTTGGGGGCCCTGCGGGCTTCGCGCAAAACCCTGGTGGGCAAACTCTTTGCGGCCAGGCCGCCGACCTGCCACCATCCAGCAAATCCACACGTCGAGGGTGTGTTCGGCGTAGGTGAAAGAGGCCTCAAAGAGAGGCCTTTCCTTCTTGTGCCCCGGCAACGGGCCAGGGCATAGCCCAGGCCGCTATGCTCGAGCGCCCATGCTTGTGGTCAAGGGCACTTTCGCAAGTTTAGGCATTTTTTGGGGGCTGTTTTTGATTTTGGATTGCTTTGGGTTTACAGGGTAGGTTTCCAGGGCCATATTTTTCCCGGTTTGTAGGACTATCGGTTGTCGGGCGCGGATTTGGAGTTTCGAGCTGTCGGGTGTTTGTGGCGTTTAGTGCCTGGGACCCGGAACCCTAAACCCTAAACCCTAAGGAGGTCCCTAAACTCTAAGGAGGCATTGAGACCAACCTCTAAACATCCTTCAAGGGACCGTCGCCCCGACGTTTTATCTTGACTTGGTTGCCGGAATCCATCTTAAAGCAATTCAGGTTTGGGTTGTTTTGGGTCAGAGTTTTTCTGATTTAGGTTTGGGGTTGTTTTGGGTTCAGAGTTTTTACCGGTTTGGGCTTTGGGCTTGCGGTTGAGGGGTCCTGCCGAGCCTCTGGACGTCCTGAGGCGTCTTGGGACTGAGGCAAGTGGGTAGAACATGGAAACAGTGGGTATTCGTGGCCCAGTACTTTAAACGCCCTAGGCCCTAGATCAAAGCAACGCTGCCAATGTCAGGAAGCTCCAGTGGGGTGGGCCTGTCGGAGTCTTTCGGGAATGGGCTGTGACGTTGACGACAGGGTCCCTCTAAACCTCCTTCGAGGGGGTTTTCCCCCTCTTAGTCTTCCCTTTTAGTTTAGCCCCTGCATTCTTAGATTCTTGGTGGCTGGGGTTTGAAGTCTGAACCCTACAGTATAAACCCGAAAACCGTAAACCCTAAACCCAAAAGGTCACCCTTTCGGGGGCGGTTGTGGTCCTCAAGCGTTGGAGGGAAACGTGGGCCCATGCTGCCGAAGCTCGAAAGCTTTCCTCATCTCAGGCCCTGAGGGCCCCGCCTGCAACCCCTCAACCGAAAAATCTGAACCCCCAAACCTCTCATTGCTAGACCCTAAACCCGAAGCCCATCCAAACCCTTGCGTAGCCCTATATTGATTAACCCCAAACACACAAAACACCGCAAACAAAACCCAACAATTAGAAAAAACAAACATCCAAAACAACCAAAAACTTCCCCAAACCCCAAAAACCCAAAACCCCAAACTCCAAACCCTGTCTTTGGCCATCCTTCGACCTCGGTGCCTCTGTGCCAGGCTGCCACGACGTGGTGCACCTGAAGACGATGGGTGCCCAGGCCTTGAGTGGGTTTGGGGCCGTTTGGGGGTTCAGGGTTTAGGGTTTAGGGTTTAGGGTTAGTGACTGGATTTGGGGTATAGTTTGGGTCTAAGGTCTCATGTACAGTTGTTTCACACCGACGTTACTTTTGGCTCAAGTGTGCGGTTGCTAAAATAGCGTTTCATGGTAGCGGAGCACCTTGTTGATGGTGCTGACGCTTCTCTTGCGTGCCGCTTGTGGTAGAAGGGCACGACCTCGTGTGGAGGGGAGAAGGTTCACTCACGATCCAGAACGCGCACAGAGGAATTGGGTTCGGCTTCTGGCCAAGCTGCGGAAGGTACAAAAGTACCAGAGGTTGTTCCACAACCTGGGGCTGAGGCTTCAGGACTTCCCGAGGGGACTGCTTGATAGGGTCTCGAGGATCCTGAGTGGCGTCGTTCGTCGGCGCACACGACTCTTTGGAAGGTAAGACCCGGTTCGGGACTTGCCTAGGAAAGAAAGGCAATGGCGGGAGAAGCTGGAACAGGAGAGCAGCTCTTGATGAGGCTGCTGCAGACGCAGCAAGAGCAAATGGGGCAGATCCAGAGATTGCTGGAACAGAACCAGAGGCCACGAGGAACTGTGGTGGACACTAAGGCCATAGGCCGGCCCGAGAAGCTAGGAGGAACACTGGAGGACGCCTCACGTGCATGGCGCCAGTGGAACTATCGGTTGGAACTTTGGCTCACGAGCCAGTTTCCGGAGACCCGGTCGATCCTAACTTGGGCTCGGACCCAGGATGAGGAGATCACCGTTGCCAAGCTAAGTGGACAGCTGGTGGAGGGAGTGACTCCAGAAAAGGTTCAAGAGTTCAATCGGCAGTTGGAGGTGGTCCTGGGTACTTTGACTATGGACACTCCAGGGGACATCACGATGAACTCGAGTCCAGGGTCTGGTCTGGATATGTATCGGCGGCTCCACGGGAGATTGGACCCCACCGATATGGTGACCAGCTTCCGTTGGCTGCGGCAGCTTATGTCAACGAGGCCTGTGACAGAAGTGGGCGACCTGATCGCTGCAGTGGAGGGATGGGAAGACCAGCATCGTAGATATGCTGCCCGTCGGGACTGCACGGCGCTGACGGAACGCCAGAGAATGGTATCGTTGCTGGGGCTAGTGCCCTCTGAGCTGCAGTCACACCTCGAGCTAAACCTCCCACGGCTCAACACGTACGATCTTCTGAGAAGAGAGATCGTGACCTTCGCCGAAAACAGGCGGGCTTTTACAGTGGACGATTCAGGAGCGATCCCGATGGAGGTCGACTACGCTAAGGGGAAAGGGCAAGCAAAGGGCAAAGGCAAGGAGAAGGAGACCCGCAAATGCCACAAGTGCGGCAAAGCGGGACACCTTGTCAAGGACTGCTGGAGCACGACTGACATCAGGAAGAACAAGGATGCAGGAGGTTCTAGTGGTTCCGGTGGTAACCCCAAGACCCCCACCCCAGGAGGCCGAGGTAGAGGGAACCCGCCGAAGGGTAGGGCTCAAGGTAGGGGCTGCGGCGGGAAAGGCAACCGGGGCGGACACGCTCGCGAACTCGAAGGCGAGGAAGAGGAGCCTGAAAACGAGGAGCCCGAGCAGGAGGAAGAGTACGAAGCCGAGGTGGGCTTCATAGGAATGCTCGAAGGTGAAGGAGAGGACCCGGGAGAGGGAGACGGCGAGCCGAAGAAGACCGAAGGGAAAAAGGAGAAGAAGAAGAAAGAAAAGAAAAAGGAAGGAGCCCACGAGGGCACGGACGACGAGTCCTGGGGCGGCTGGCAGCCCGACTCTGGCGCGGGATCGTCTCGAGACCCGCCAGAGGGAGGGCGAGCAAGAGCCAGCGCTAAAGCAAAGGCAGCCGGTGGTACACCTTCTATGACAGGAGTTGGGCTGCGCTTGCTTGAGGGCAACCTTTTGGCCGAGCTGCAAGGGCGACAAGCAGAGCTCAACCGGGCCCTTGCGAACACCACAGACACCGAAGAAAGGTCCGACCTGGAAGCTCAACTGGAGGTGGTAACCCGCCAGTTGAAGGAGCTTGTGGCCAAGAGGAGAGCTGCCCGTGCCAGTCCTGCTGGGAGCTGGCGTACGTCTTCCCGCTTCTTGGCGGACATCCGTTCGGGGCGAAAGGCGTCTTTGGCAAAGAGAAAAGAGCTCAGCCGCCAGCGAGCGGCCAGGCACAGGCAAGCCTCCCGTGAGGGGAGAGCTCGCCAGAGAGTTGCGCTCGATGGGGAATGGCACCGCAGGTACAATTGCCCACTGAAGGGGGACGATGGGAAGCGCGATGCCTATCCTCTGATGCCGGAGAGCACCGAGCGCGAAGCCAGACCCCTTAGCCGAAAGGCAAGGGAGAACCTTCGCCAGGAAGGTGCTGGGGACGACGTCCCGGAGGAGCACATCAGGAGTTGGCGAGAGAAGCCGAAAACTCCAGGGGAGCGCGAGGGCAAGCGCCGCATGGAAGCGGCAAGGAAGAAAAGGAAGGCCGAACAGGCCGCAGCTGCGAGCGGCAGTGCAGGACCCGCTTCGGGACCTGCCAGGGCCAAGGCCGCAGCAAAGCCCAAGGAGCCACCTGGGCCGAGGGGCAAGGAAGTGAAGGGCACCGATCGGCCTGCAGAGCCGTCGGGGGAGCCTCCGCGGAGGCGATCCAGGCCCAAGCACTCTGCCAAGGTAGCCGAGGCTATCCGGACAGCGCCGTGGCGCAACAATGGCAAGCTGCCCAAGGAACAGGAGAAAGGTGGAAAGAAAGGTGGCAAGGAGGGCGATGGTGGGACCTCGTCTCGAGACCCACCAAGGAGCCCGGAGGGAGGGCCAGCGGCCCAAGGTTCGGGAAAGAGCCCAGGAGAAACTCCGGGACGGAGGCCAGAAATGGGCCGGAGCAAGATCCTAGGGGCAGCGTTGGCTGGAGCACTGAGGGCCCAGTCAAAGAGGATGCCCCGTGACAGGATCATTAAGAGGAGCCAGGTGAAGCGCCTGGTGGAAGCCCACAAGGGCACAGATCGCTTTCGACAGCGACAAGGGCTGAGGAGGGCCCTGGTAAAGAAGCTCCCAAAGGGAACGGTCGGAGCGGCAGTTGAGCGCAAGTTGTTGGACAGCGACTGCGAGAGCTGCACCTCGAGGCGAGGAAAAGCTACGAAGGCTGCCGCAAGAGCTTACGCCGAGAAGATCCTTTCGAGGAGAGAGAGGATGAAGCATCTACCGCTCCTTCCGAAGGATGAGGAAGAGGACGAAGAAGAAGAAGAAGTCGAGTTGGAGGAGGAAGACCCCGACGCTGACCACGAACCACTGGGGCGAAGAGGTCCAGAAGACCCGCCCGATGGAGAAGGCGGCGTGGAAGGCCGCGTGGGAACCGTGTTTTCCTTGGCTGGAAACGGGGCCGGGAATGGAGCCGCTTCGGCACCTTCCCGGAACCAGAAGCATCCATCTATGGAGGTAATCCTGGACAGTGGTGCGAGCCACAACGTGATCCCCGACAAGGTGTTCCGGCGGCTTTTCGAGGAAGGCCGAGCCACTGCTCTGAAGAAGGTGAGCTCGCCGCTGAAGTTCTCCACCGCGAGTGGGGAGAGCCTGCCCAACCTGGGGACGACAGAGGTGTATCTGAGTGGCCCGTCGCCAGATGGATCGGCCACCCGGTGCAGATGCATCTTCAACGTGGCAGCCGTTCAGCGTTGCCTGCTGTCGACTGGGCGTGCCATGGACCGTGGCAACGCTTTGGTGTTTGCGGGAAAGAGCGCGACGCTTACCTTCCTGATGGAAAGGCCCTGCTCTTCCCGGTGCGTGGAAGCCCCCGCGCAACGTTTCGCGTGCTTCCTGTGCACCCTCACCGGCAGCAAGCAGCGTAAGGCCGGCTCCAGAAGGCTTCAAGCCGACAGTGGCGTTTTTAAGGGCCCTGAAAGGGCTAAGCATCCCGGAGGGATGCGCTTCGTTGCACTCGTTGGGGAAAGACCTTGCAGGTAGGAGCCGTAGCTGTAGAGCCGTTTCGTTTCACCCTGAACAGAGCCATTTTGGCACGGTAGAGAAGAAAAGGGCCGGAAGTGCCTGTAGGGTAGGAGTGTCTGAGACCCTAACCCCGGTTGGTTTAGGTGGTTGGGTTGAAGGAAAGGATAGGAAGGAAAAGAAGGAAGGAAAAGAGGAGAAGAACGCAGCAGGCGCTGCAGTGGAATACTACAACCTCTTTCCTGAGCCGGAGGTTTTCCCGATCCACTCGGATGGTGAAGAGGACGAGGCCCAACCGCTTGGGGATGAAGACCCAAGCCAGGTGGAACCCGGCTCGGGATCCGCCCAGCCAAAAACCGAGGCACAGCGTGCGAGACCGCTTCGGGCTCCACCAGTGCCAACGCCTCAAATGGTTGCAGAGCATGAGGTAACGCATATCCCTTACAGGGCGTGGTGCCCAGCCTGCGTCGCTGGACGAGGGAGAGCCTACTCTCACCGCCACGAGGGCCGCGAGTCCGCAGTGCCCGTAGTGTCAGCCGACTACCTGTACTTCTCTGAAAAGGGAGTACCAGGGAAGAGCCTGCCAACTGTTGTCTTGAGGGACCGTGCCTCCAAGGCAATCTTCTCTCACTTGCTGCCAACCAAAGGGACAGTTGGTTCGACCTATCCCGAAAAGGCAGTGCTTCGAGATTTGAATTGGTTGGGGTACAAGCGCCTGGTCTTGAAAACGGACCAAGAAAACCCAATCAAAGCACTGGGGGCTGCAGTCAAGGCTGGTTTCTCAGAGGAGTTGACTCTGGAAGAATCGCCCAAGGGCGACGCTCACGGGCAGAGCAACGGAGCAGCTGAAAATGCGGTGCAGCGTGTGCAGGGACAAGTGCGCACAATGAAGTATGCCCTGGAAAAGAGTGCTGGAGGCGAACTGCCCAAAGACTCGGTTATCTTCCCTTGGATGATCGAGTATGCCGGGGTACTCCACACCCTGTTCTCCCAGGAGGACAGCGAGGGCATGACACCGTTCCAAAAGCTGAAAGGCCGGACTTGGCAGATAGCTCTACCAAGTTTCGGTGAGATCGTGGACTATCGCCGACGGGCGAAAAGCAAGCTAGATGCCAGATGGCAGGAAGGAGTCTACCTGGGACTGCGGCTGACAAGCTCGGAGAAGATTATCGGGACACCTTCGGGTATCCTGGTGGCGCAATCAATCCGAAGAAAGCCAGCAGACAAGCAGTTCGATCTCGAGATGCTGAAGGCTGTGAAGGGAACTCCTTGGCAGCCGAATCCCGAGAAGAGTCCAGGAGCGGACGCCGATGGAGCCAGTGGTTGCGCCAGCAGAGCTGCCGCCACCACCGGGCCAAGCAGAGCGGTTGCCTACGTATCGGAGGATGTACATCCGACAAAGTGACCTGGAGCAGTTTGGCTACACCGGGGGCTGCGAGGCCTGTGCCGCAATTCGCGAAGGAAGAGAACGCCAGGGCATCAACCACAACGAGACGTGTAGGAAGAGGATCCAAGAGGCGCTGAAGGATACCTCTCGGGGCCAAGCCCGCCTGGAGCGAGAGACTCAGCGCGAGACCGAGTACTTCACGAAGGTCCACGAGGCAGAAGAAAAGAAAAGGAAAGGTGAGAAGGAAAAGGAGAAAGAAGAAGGGCCGGAGCCAGGAGGCGCAGGGGCGAGCGAGCCTAGCCAGCCTAGCAGGCTACCGAGCCAAGCTGCGAAAACAGTGGAGAAAAGGAAACCGTCCAAAGCAGAGCCCGCTTCCGCTGCGCGAGAAAGCAAGAAGCCAGCAGTTGCCGCTTCGGGAACTGCTTCGGCTGGCAAGCGGAAAAGCGAGGACCCTGGGGACCAAGAGAGGTCCGAGCTTAGGCCTGCAAATGACCGAGCAGAAGCCTCCAAGCGCAAGGCTGAAGACGTCGAGGGAATGATTGAGACCCTTATCGCTGACGAGCGAAAGGCGTGGACTAAATCCCTGGAAAGAATCGAGCAGCCGACTTGCGACCTGGTTGATGGTTTAGTAGAGGAGGTCTTAGCCGAGACTTTCTACGACGACCTTACCGGGAAGGAGCTTCCCGCAGAAGGTGTTCGGGCCGCGCGAGCAGAGGAATGGAGCGTCATACGGCAGATGGGAGTGTGGGAAACCATACCACGTCCTGCCAACGAAAAGGTGATCGGCGCAAGGTGGGTGGATGTCAACAAGGGAGACAGTGCCCGGCTTAAGCTGAGATCCCGGTTAGTCGCTCAAGAACTCAAACGTGCTCGAGGACCACAACAGCCAGAAGATCAGTCTACATGGAGCGACTTCTTCGCTGCCATGCCACCGCTGAGTTCGCTGCGGGCGCTATTCGCTCTAGCGTCGACACGCCAAGTACCCAACGCTCGGGGAAAGTTGTCACCCGTAGGATCCGGTGGAGAAGTCTGCCTTATGTTTCTGGATGTGAAGAAGGCACATTTTTGGAGCCCTGTGCGCCGAAGATTGCTGGTTGAACTTCCGCCAGAAGCTGGAGAAGGGCGAGACAAGGTCGGACTCTTGAAACGTTCCTTATATGGAACACGAGATGCACCCTCCAATTGGGAAAAAGCCATCAAGGATGCTCTAGAAGGTTTGAGCTTCAGGCAAGGCCGGAGCAATCCCTGCCTTTACTTCCACGAAGAAAGATCCTTGCGACTAAATGTCCATGGCGATGACTTCACTGTGGTTGGGAGTTACGAAGAGCTCAAGTGGCTAGAAGCTGAGCTGGGCAAGGTTTGGACAGTAGAAACAAGAGGCATCCTGGCAAGACCCGGTTCGGAGCTGCCAGGCGTGATTCATCAGATATCTGTCTTGAACCGCCTAGTGACGTGGACCCATGAGGGAATCGAGATGGAAGCCGACCCTCGGCATGTGGACTTGGTTCTGGAACAGTTAGGTCTGGAGAAAAGCCTCTCTGTGACCACTCCACTGGTCAAAACCAAAGAAGAGGACATGGACAAGACACCACTTGGAACTGCTGAAGCAGCTCTGTACCGTTCCATAGCTATGCAAATTGGTTACCTGTCTATGGACAGACCCGACCTGCTGAGAACCGTTCGCGAGTTAGCAAAGGGACTGAAGGAACCCCAACAACACCACTGGGGTCTCCTGAAGAGAGCTGCGAGGTACCTCCGAGGCGCTCCTAGATTGGTGCAACTGATTCCATATCAGGAGCACTTCACCAGCATCAATGCATGGTCAGACAGCGATCACGCTGGATGCATAAAGTCTAGAAAAAGCACGACTGGAACAGTGATCCAGCTCGGAGAGTCAACGGTGAAGGCAGCAGCCAAGGGGCAAGCTGTGATAGCTTTGTCCACAGGAGAAGCAGAGTACTATGGCTTGATCTCAACTGCATCTACCGCCTTGGGCGAGCAAGCGATGATGGCAGATTGGGGCATCAAGCTCTCCGTCAACATAGCTATGGATGCCAGTGCAGGCATATCCATCGGCTCGAGACGAGGGCTGGGAAAAGTCAAACACATTGACACCTGCTATCTATGGGTCCAGGAAATAGTGGACCAAGGGAGAATCCGTCTGAAGAAGGTCAGTACGCAAGACATGCTTGCGGATCTCATGACGAAGCCACTGGACGGCCAAACTGCGTCTAAGCTACTTGGTCGAATGGGCTACAACGTAAGGTCCGGAAAGCACGAGCTGGCCTTGGGAAAGGCGTGAAGACTACCCCAAAGGCTCGCAGGGAAAGCAAAGCGTGATCCCTACTTGGGAGGCGTGACTGGATTTGGGGTATAGTTTGGGTCTAAGGTCTCATGTACAGTTGTTTCACACCGACGTTACTTTTGGCTCAAGTGTGCGGTTGCTAAAATAGCGTTTCAGTTAGGGTTTAGGGTTTAGGGAAAGGGACGTGACGCGGTGCTGCAGAGGGGGTTTGGGTATTCAGGGGTCTTGAAGAGAGCCTCGTTGGTTGGGGATCCCCCGCAGCCTCAGACCCTGAAGCTTAAACCCCTAAACCCTAAACCCCAAACACTAAACCCCAACCCTCAACCCTAAACCCTAAGCCCTAAGCCCTAAGCCCTAAACCCTAAACCCCAGACCCCAAGACCCTGAGCCCCCGAAGCCTGGGGCCCTGGGCGCTGGCAGGTCGGCCTTAGCTTCGTCGCGCAGGCGGAGACGGACGGCGCCCTCTCCCCGGCCCTGCGATGTTCAATGTATATATATATATATATATGTATGTATGTATGTCTGTCTGTACATGTATATGTATATGTATATGTATATGTATATGTATATGTATATGTATATGTATATGTATATGCATATGCATATGGATATGTATATGTATATGTATATGTATATGTATATACATATGTGTATACATATTTATTTGTTGATATATATATATATATACATACATACATAGTAAACAAAAATGTACTACACACATAAGCTCAACTCCCTTTTAAAGCTTTACGGCATGTTTCGGCAGAGCAGAGTTTGGGAATTGCGGGTCCAGGGTTTAGGGTTCAGGGCTTGGTGTTTGGGGTTTAGGGTGCAGGGCTTGGTGCTTTGGGTTTGGGTTGAGCTGTTTGTTTAGCCTTTGGGGGGGGGGGAAGTGTGTGGGGGGGGCTCTTGGGCCTTGGATTGTGATGAAAGGTTGGGGTTTCACTTGGGTCTTGGGGTTCAGAGCTGGTCAATGGCCTTGGGGTTCAGAGCTGGTCAAGGAGGGTGAAGAGTGGCCGTGTTAAGGGTTAGAAGAGCAGTTGTTGCTGCCGCTTTTCGGAAGCAGTTGTGCACACTGCAATCTCTCCCAGAATTTGCTCTGGCAACAGGTGTTGCAGCAGATAGAACCGGCTCTGTTTATGTTCCAGTCTTGAAGGCTTGCACAGCCTGTGCTCCCCCATGCAAAGCCGCACGCACACACCCATGTACATCCCCCGGCCTGCCCTGCCACTCTGAACCCTATGCCTATGCTACCATCCTATACCCTGCACCTATGACCCTAAACCCTAAACCCTAAACCCCCGAAACCCTAAACCCCTAAACCCCTAAACCCCTAAACACCTAAACCCCTAAACCCCTAAACCCCTAAACCCCTAAACCCCTAAATCCCTGAATCCCTAAACCCCTAAACCCCTAAACCCCTAAATCCCTAAACCCGAAAAACCCCAAAAACTCATGCTCAGTGGAGCGTGGAACCAGGTCGGGGGGCATTGCTGGATCCTCCTCGTCTTCTGCAAGGAAAGACGCCTGGGCCCCGGCGGTTTTTCTTGCGTGGTTGTGCCAAAAAGAGGATCTGGTTGGTTAAAGAGAGTCGTACCAAACTTAAGCCCTACACCCTAAACACTGAGCAACCTAAACCCAAACCCTAAACCGTAACGCAAGAGTCGACCTGAAGCAGGCTCGCAACTGGCACCCCTGATTCACTAGCCCCGGTGCCCCCCCGCGGGGTGTGGTTGCATGGGTTTAGGGCCACCATTCGGGGTCGCCATAAATGTATTTTGGCTAATAGGTGAGACTTTCGGGTTATAGGACGTGCGCTTCTCCCCCAACAAAGATCCTCATGCCTGCGTCCCGGACTGACTGGAACCTCTGAACCCCGAAGCCCAAAGCCCTGAACCCCAAAACCCCCAAACCCCAAGCCCTAAGCCCTATACCCTAAACCCCGAAACCCAAACCCCAAACCCTAAGCCCCTGAACCCCTGAACCCAAGAAACCAAAAAGAATCCACGCCCTGTGGCCCCGTCAAGGCTTACTCCTGGAAGCATCCCGGCGGCGGAGGTCCTCCACCGTGCAAGCCGCTGGGCTGCGTTGAGAGAAAAAGGTTTTTCGTTTAGAGCCCTAAACCCTAAACCCTAAACCCTAAACGCTAAACGCTAAACGCTAAGCCCTAAGCCCTAAGCCCTAAGCCCTAAGCCCTAAGCCCTAAGCCCTAAGCCCTAAGCCCTAAGCCCTAAGCCCTAAGCCCTAAGCCCTAAACCCTAAACCCTGAACCCTACTGTAAACCCTTAACCCTAAACCCTACACCCTAAACCCTAAATCGGGGTTTGGGGTCGTGGGGGTGGGGCTCGGGGCCTGGTCGTGGAGGGTTTAGGCTTTCGTCAGTTCATAGGGGGCCCAGGGGGCGCAAGGGCTGTCTATAGGGTTGGGGTGCAGGCTTTAGGGGAGGGTTTAGGGTTTAGGGTTTGGGGTTTACGGTTTAGGGTTTAGGGTTTGGGTACTTGGGCCTTCGGGCTTATTTTGTTAAGCTGTGGGGCTTTCGGATCTGACCAGGGGTGGAGTGTTAGACCCTAAACCCCAAACCCTAAACTAGGCCCTAAACCTTAAACCCCAAACCCTAAACCCCAAACCCCAAACCCTAAACCCCAAATCCTAGACCCTAAACTAGGCCCTAAACCTTCAACCCCAAACCCTAAACCCCAAACCCCAAACCCTAAACCCCAAATCCTAAACCCAAAACCCTCTTTTGGGGTCTACCCTAAAGCACCTTCCGCAGCTCAGTCTGGCCTCTTCACCACTGGCTGATGAAAGGTGCCAGCCGCAACTAGGCCACCCCGAGAACCGAAGCTTTAGGGTTTAGGGTTTAGGATTTAGGGTTTAGGGTTTAGGGTTTAGGGTTCAGGGTTTAGGGTTTAGGGTTTAGGGTTTTCGACACGAGTCGAGAGACTTCGCAGTGCAGAGCCTTGTCCGGTGTATTGTGCGTGTGCCAGCTGGGTGTGTGTAGTCTTGGGCTGCGCAGTCTGCGAATAACAGCATTCCGGTGATGAACAATCTCTTCGCAGCAATTCTTTGAGGTGGCCCACATGTCTTTGTACTACAAGTTGCTTAGGAACCTCAAAAAAGCACAATGATAATGCCTACATTGCCCTTATCATTTTTGATTTTGTGGGGGTTCTTAAGCAAGTAGTAGCATGCGTGCTAACGAAGCCAGACGCGAGTCTGGAGCTGCGCTTGCAGCCCGCGCTGGGGCTAACACAGCCTCGGCGCGCGATAACGCCCCTCCCACCGCAAAATATACGGTTTTGTGGGAGCCAAACACTGGCAGCGATGACGACTTCAGCCACAGCCTGGGCAAAAAGAGGCGCGCTGCAGGACAGAACCGGTTCACCGTATAATTCAGCCCCTTATAAAATGCTAACGCCCAGGTTCCGGTTCATGACAGGCGAAAGTGGAGTGCAAGGGAGAGAGTTTGTGTAGCAACAAACTGGCGTCATCTGGGCACAGCGCCAAAGCATGACAAGCAAAGCACGTCTCTTGTTGCCGACTGGGCTCCCGAACAAAAGTGTGTGCTTGATGTGGGTACATGCGGTGTGAGATGGTAGCAGATTAGCACGTGAAACCCCCATAAGAGTGACCCGCCCGCGACCTTTCACAGCCAACCCCTTTACCCTAAACCCTAAACCCTAAACCCTTTACCCCACTTCAGGACATGCAAGAAGCCACCTCGAATTTGATGTAATCGCCCGCCATGGCCTGGGTGACCAAGGCTGACAGGCCCGCCACTCACTTCGGGGGGGGCCCACAAAGACCACACAAACACAAGGATCCTACAAGCAGGGTTTTGCGGAATCCCCCTTTAATGCGGGTCTAATACCCCAATAGTAGGATCCTTGTGTTTATGTGGTTTTTTGGGGCCCCTCACTTCGGGGTTTCGGCTGCATGGCGTCACGTTCGGCCGAGGTCCCTGCTTGAACCAGAGCCCGAAACGCGCAAGCCATATGAGACCCTAAACCCTAACCCCTAAACCCTAAACCCTAAACCCTAAACTCTAAACCCTAAACCCTAAACCCCAAACCCCAAACCCCAAACCCTAAACCCTAAACCCTAAACCCTAAACCTAAACCCTAAACCCTAAACCCTAAACCCTAAAACCTAAACCCTAAACCCCAAACCCTAAACCCTAAACCCTAAACCCAAATCCTAACCCCCCTAAACCCTAAACCCCAAACCCTAAACCCTAAACGCTAAACCCTAAACCCTAAACCCCAAACCCTAAACCCCAAACCCTAAACCCCAAACCCCAAACCCTAAACCCTAAAACCTAAACCCTAAACCGTAAACCCTAAACCCTAACCCTAAACCCCAAACCCTAAACCCTAAACCCTAAACCCGAAACCCTAAACCCCAAACCCCAAACCCTAAACCCCCAAACCCTAAACCCCAAACCCCAAACCCCAAACCCTAAACCCTAAACCCTAAACCCTAAACCCTAAACCTTAAACCCTAAACCCTAAACCCTAAACCCTAAACCCTAAACCCTAAACCCTAAACCCTAAACCCTAGACCATCCTGAAAGCTGTGAACTCTGAACTCTCTGCGCTGAGGTTTAACTGGGAGAGGGCCAAGCTGGTCGAAGACCCAAAAGACCAAGTCGGCGCTGCCCCGAGCCGGGATGTAGGGTTTTAGGGTTTTGAGGGTTTTAGGGTTGTAGGGTTTCAGGGTTTTAGGGTTTTAGGGTTTTGGGGTTTTGGGGTTTTGGGGTTTTGGGGTTTTGGGGTTTTAGGGTTTTAGGTTTTTAGGGTTTTAGGGTTGTAGGGTTTTGGGGTTTTAGGGTTTTAGGGTTTTGGGGTTTTAGGGTTTTAGGGTTTAGAATTAAGGGGGGGTTTGGAGTTGGGGGGTTCGGGGTTTGTCCAAACGCGCCTTTGAACATCATCCAGTCCTGCTACGTCTCCTTCGGATAGGCCGAGGCAATGATTGCCCAACGCGACCCTAAACCTTAAACCCTAAACCCTAAACCCTAAACCCTAAACTCTAAACCCTAACCCCGAAGCCCTAACCCTATATAAACCCAAAACCGCGCCTGAACCCTAAGGCCGTAACCCTAAGCCCTGAAGACCGTTGTAAATAGAAATTTAATGTCTTCACGGTTTCGCCCACAAGACTCAAAGGAGCAGGTGTCACGAACAAAAGATAGAGAACTCAAAGCAGGAGGTGTCACAAGGCCCCCAAAGCAACAGGTGTCGCGGCGAGCGAAAGAAAAACTCAAGGCAGCAGGCGTCGCGAGACAAGGAACAACCCAGAGCAGCAGTTGTCGGTTCAACCCTAAACCCTAAGCCCTAAACCCGAAACCCTAAACCCTAAACCCTAGCTCCTGGTCTTAGCAGCTCTTCGCACCTTTTGTGCTTACTGTAGATAGAGTCTTGGCTTTAGGGTACCCCAAGCCCTCAACCCAAAGCCCTCGCTCTTTGGAAACGCAACCCACCAGGGTTGAGGGGGTTTAGGGTTTGGGGCTTCGGGGCTTAGTGCCTAGGAAGCCCGTCACCATAAACCCTAAACCTTCAACCCTCAACCCTCAACCCTAAACCCCAACTCAGCAAGGCCCCGGGCAGTATGGTGCACCGACCTCCTTCAAGGAGGCCACACAAGCGCTGCCGAACCCTACCCAAACCCCAGGTTTTTCTGCATTGTTCGATGTTTTGAGTCTGGCCCTAGGCGCCTTCAACCCTAGACTGGGCACAGAAAGTAGCTTCCTTTACTCCTTGCAGGGCCACGGTAGGACTTCTTTATCCTGGGAAGACCTGTCCTCAAAGTGGGGCCATGTTCTTGGGGAATTACCGGGTCCATCCCTTCGGGAGAGGTGGGGACGGCAGTGGGTTGCAACATGGCCACGGCTTTTTGAACATTTTGGAAGTGACATCCAAAAACCTGCAAAGAGGTCCTAGAACTCCAACTCCCGAAGCCCCCATGAACCCCAACAAACCCTGTAAACCAAAGCCTGAACCCTACAGGCCCTACATACCCTGCAAACCCCACGAACCTTGGAGTTTGGGGTTTAGGGTTTAGGGTTTATAGGGTTTAGGGGCAAGAAGCGCTCGCGAGCCTGTGAGCTCACAACGACCTTTGCGAGGCCCCGCGGCCCTCCTACGCGCCGTTCAACTCCTCCGGGGGCGACGCGCAGGCGGAAAAGGTGTAGGATTTCGGGCTTCGCGGTTTAGGGGTTTAAATTTAGGGGTTAAGGATAAAGGTTTTTGGGATTTAGGGTGGGTTTAAGGTTTCTAGGGTTTAGATTTGGATCCTCTGAGCTGTTTCCTGAAGCCTCGGAGATTTGAAAAGCAAAATCAGGCTCGGGGTCGCAGCGATCTTTGGCATTCCTTCACGCCTTCGGTTCCTTCTAGTTCCCTTTCGCACTGCGCAGCGCCGCCACGCATCGGCGCGAGTTCTCAGAAAGCGAGACTTTCTTGCGAGTCGTATACTTGAGAGGGAGGCTTTCTATGAGCCTCCGGCCCTAAGAGCGCGCAGCCTCCGTCGAGCAGCAGCCATGACGCTCTCCTCCCAGATCCTGGTCCTGAAGGTGGGCACCTCCACGATCATGCGCTCGGACGAGCGGGGCCAGCGCGTGAACGTGGCCAACCTCTCCCGCCTCGTGGAGGTGATCAGCGACCTCGGCCACCAGGGCTACAAGGTGGTCCTGGTCTCTAAATGAGGGTCCCTTTTTAAGGATCCCTCTTAAAGGGTGCCGCCTTATAAGGGACCCTAAATTAGGAAACTACCCAGGTGGTCCTGGTGTCCTCCGGGGCCGTGGGCATGGGCTGCAGGGAGCTGGGCTTGGCAAAGAAGCCGACGGATCCCCAGATGAAGCGCGCCGTGGCGGGCGTGGGCCAGAGCCGGATCATGCGGATGTACTCGGAGCTCTTCGAGACGGTCGGGCTGAAGATCGCGCAGCTCCTGGTGAGCCAGAGGGACTTCTTGGAGCAGCAGCGCTGGGCAGAGATCCGGGACACCATTGCCGCGTGCCTCGATGCCGGAGTTGTTCCGATCATCAACGAGAGCCTGAGCTTGAACAGCTTGAGCTGTCGAGGTCCCCCCCCCCACCCCCCCCTCGGTTTAGGGTTAGGGAGGCCCCCCCCAAAAAGAAGTACATAAATCGATCCAAGCGAAACCCAAACCCAACACGGGCGGTCCTGAAGGAATCTCTGAGAGCCAGAGCCGCCCCCAGGAATGACACCACCAACACCGACGGCGTCCGCTTTGGGGACAACGACAACTTGGCTGCCCTCACGGTCCTGCGGCTGCTGTAGGGTTTAGGGTTTAGGGTTTAGGGTTTAGGGTTTAGGCTTTGGGTTCAGGGGTTCATGCTGATGGTATCCCCCCAAGCCCGAACTCAAAATTTCGAGAGCCATTCTTCTCCTGGTGTGAGTGGCCCCTTTTGGAAACCTGCATATGACCGCCTGACGAAATTGCCTGGTATTTTGCGGGAGACGCACACGAGATTCGTCATGGCAATCTTAGTGACCCTAGTAGGTCCTGTTAGTGTTGAAGGGAAGAATATTAGTAATTATTCTGACCGCTAGAAAACAGCCCACTCGATTCCCTGTTCTTTTGCATCCTCGAAAACAAGGCCGTCCAGCTAGAGGCCGAGGGGGTCTTCCTCTTCACGGATGTCGACTACCTCTACACGGCCCGCTGGATCGAAAATAACTCGGGTACAGGGTTCAAGCTTGAGGGGTATAGGGTGTGGGGTGTAGGGTGTAGTAGATGGAGGTCACTCAATATAAGGGTCCGCGCATACGTTACCCACAAGGGGAGGCCGCTGTAGGCCCACCCCAAATGTTGTGCGTGGTCTCTGTCAATGTTGGTCTGGCTCATCACCGTAATCGTGACGCACTATGAGCAAGGCTTCCCAAAAGGACCCCTGGCACTAAACCGCGTTCGGGCAATTTCTTGCTGAGCCTCTGCCTCCTGCTCCGTGTACTTTGCCCGGGTTTCTCGCTTTGAGCTTGAAAGACCTGCGAGGCTTGCAGGCTCTTGTAGTTCCTAAGCCACAATTCTGCTTCGGCATGATGCTCTTGCAGCAGACTCAGGTTTTGTTTTGTTACATGCGTATATCATGAGAGGGCTCTCGTAAACCCTAAACCCTAAACCCTAAACCCTAAACCCTAAATCCTAAATCCCCTAAACCCTAAACTTGGAAGTTCTGCTCAGCCCGAGGCCAACCCGAACGTGGACCCCTCGGCAGAGCCCATGCGCGTGGTCAGCGAGGCGTGTTTCCGAGAATGTTTAGGGTTTAGGGTTTAGGGTTTAGGGTTTAGGGTTTCCGAGAATTCGGGGATTTTGCAGGATGGAGGGTTTGGGGTCCTCAGCTGTCCTGGATGCTTGTTCTAGCTCCATGGTGCCGGGCTTAGCCGGAACGGAAGGCTTATTGAACCCTAAGCTCTAATCCCGCAACCCTAAACTCTACACGGCCTACACCCCAAACCCTGAAACCCCAAACCCCAAACCCTAAACCCCAACCCTGAACCCTAAACCCTAAACCCCAAACCCCAAACCCTGAACCCCAAACCCTGAAACCCTAAACCCCAAACCCCCAAACCCTAAAGCCTGAAGTCCCAAAGCCCTTTTCGCGCCAGGCTTTCGAGCTGAACGTCGACACGCGCGAGCCGGGCTCCTCCCTGGGAACTGGCGGCATGTCAACAAAGGTGGCCTTGGGCAGAGGGTTCTTTAGAGTACTACTACTTGGGATGTCCCCCTTATACTACCAGTCCTTGATAGGGATCCCCAAAAAAAGACATTTTAGGGGGGCACATGCCAAACTACGACTTCCACTCGTACTTCTACTTTCATTGCACTGCTACGACTTTTTAGGTACTCTTAGTCTTATGGCAACTGCACTGCCTACTAAACCCCTAAACCCCTAAACCCCTAAACCCCTAAACCCCTAAACCCCTAAACCCTTAAACCCCTAAACCCCTAAACCCCTAAACCCCTAAACCCCTAAACCCCTAAACCCCTAAACCCCTAAACCCCTAAACCCCTAAACCCCTAAACCCTGAACCCTAAACCCTAAACCCCAAACCCTCGACAATGATTGTTTCTCACTACTGGCATCCGCAGGTGGCCGCCGCTCGGACGGCCCACTGCGCCGGCATCCCGTGCGGCATCTTGCATGGCAACTCTGAAGCAAAAAAGCTGCGGTCCATCACGCCGGTTCCACTCTTTGTAGGGTTTAGGGTTTAGGGTTTAGGGTTTAGGGTTTAGGGTTTAGGGTTTAGGGTTTAGGGTTTCGGGCATGTAAGGACCCTAAACCTTAAACCCTAGTAAGTCCCTTACGCAAGGCAAGCACCCGGAGCGCATCTTCAGCTTCCTCTCCCATGACGAGACTGCCCCTGGCACTGCAGGTGAGAACTTGCTTTCAGAAGTTGGGGTTTAGGGTTTAGGGTTTAGGGTTTAGGGTTTAAGGTGCTTGCAATTACGATTACTGTCACTGTTACTATTACATGTATTATCACTATCACTAGTGCTACTACGATTACTGTTGCTTTGCGCCTACGGTTGCGAATGCTGTTAGCTCGTTCTTTTGCTTCGAGCGGCCGAGGCTTCTACGCACAGTGGCCGGAGCCCACTGGAGTCGGACACCCTCAGCGACCAGGAGTTGGTGCTGAACCCCAAACCCTAAACCCTAAACCCTAAGCCCTAAGCCCTAAACCCTAAACCCTAAACCCTAAACCCTAAACCCGAAGCCCTAAACCCTAAACCCTAAACCCTAAACCCTAAACCCCGAACCCTAATCAACGCCCCCTCGGTGCCCCAGGAGTTGGTGGAGACCGAGCCGGAAGGCACCCTCTTTGCGGCCGAGGAGGGCGAGCAACTGTCGGAGGCCGAGCGGTGGATCCTGAGCCTGCCCGTGGTCGGAGACCGGGCTCGTTCAGGGTTTAGGGTTTAGGGTTTAGGGTTTAGGGTGTAGGGTGTAGGGTGTAGGGTGTAGGGTTTAGGGCTCAGATTCATCTGGTGGTTTACGAACATCAGGGGACCCCTACAATAGCCCGCCCAAATCGTAGCGTAAGCTTCTCCTGGTAGCCGGCTTCAAGTTCCGGGGCAAGAGTCGACCCAGGAGATGTGGACCTCTCCGACCCCAACTCGCAGAACGCCGACCTGCGGGACTTCGTCCCCTAAAGCCTAAACCCTAAACCCTAAACCCGAAACCACAAACCCCAAACCCTAAACCCTAAACCCTAAACCCTAAACCCTAAACCACAAACCCCAAACCCTAAACCCTAAACCCTAAACCCTAAACCCTAAACCCTAAACCCTAAACCCTAAACCCCTTTAAGGGATTACATAGGGCCCTCCTTCCCTCATCCCCTACCAAGAGCCAGGACTTCGTCCTGGATGCCGTGCAGGGCGGCCTCGGCGGCCTAAAGAGCCTGTCGGGCACCGCGCACCACGGGGGGGTGCGGGTCTTCAACCGCAACTTGGCTCTTGGGACTTTAGCTTTTTGGGTTTTTGGTAGAAACTACAAAAAGGAGCCTAAGAGTTAAACTTTTAGGGTCTTCAACCGCAACTTGGCTCTCTTGTTGGTTGGTTTTTTGGGACTTTATAACCTTTTTGGGTTTTTTGGTAGAGACTACAAGAAGGATCCCTAAAGGTAAACTTCTAGGAGGGGTTCAGAAGTCAGCCAAGGCAACGTGGAGATCGCCCGGGCCCGCGTCAGTTTTGATGAGGACGGGGCCTGCACCCTGCCCAGCCTCCTTCCGGAGGAGAGTGTGGTGCTGACGCCTGTGGCAGAGCAGCACCACTGAAGCCCAAGGGGCGTATGATTGCGAAGTAATATAGGGGTCGGAAGAATGACTGATGGAATTCCCATAAGGTCCCTTCATATAATTCTACTAGAGTAACCCCCCCCCCCCCCCGCAAAAAAAAAAACAAACCTATTTTTCAGGCCCCTATAGTATTCCCTGCGGTGGCTTGTTGTAGGGATTGGAATCCCGATTCTCTTGGACCAGCTTGGATGCTGGCGACATGCCGCCCTGCCTAAGTTGAGGCAGCAATCTGGTTTTTATGTACAGGGGCACTTTTGCGAGCGAGTGTGGCGGGATGGTCATGCTCCGCCGCGGGAATTTAGTAAGGCCTTGCGTGAAGCTGCTACGCCCATCAATCCCTCCTGTTCTGTACAGCTTCCATGGGTGTGCAGACCACGCAGCCTGCAGCTGCCAGAAAGTTTTGGGCAGCTTTGCCAGTCAACCTGGGATGGTTACCTATAACTCTTCGGGGCTGGGTAGTTAACCTTTAACCTTGTTTGGTTATATATATATATATTTACACATAATTCTAGTACAAATTAAGCGGTTAACCTTCTTTGGGGTCTAGGGTCTTCAGCCCCGAAGAAATACATGCACGGAGACGCGCTCGGAACCTTCCGAGGGCCTTGGCACCTGCCCTCCATGGCTCAGGGAGGGCGGAGGCTGGAAATAAAGGTGCAGCTGCAGCTGCGGGGTGCCAGGGACTTGACTCGCAGACGGGGGGGGGGGGTTGTAGGGGTTTACGGTTTAGGGCTTAGGGCTTAGGGTTTAGTGTTAGGAAACCGTAGTTTCAAGCAACCCCCGCATCACAACCTCAACCCTAAACCCTAATCCCGAAACCCTAAACCCTAAACGCTAAACCCTAAACCCTAAACCCTAAACCCTAGACACGCTGTCGTGCAGGGTCTCTTCGAAGGGAAGAAGGACAATTCGCCAGGACCCCAGACCTCTCGAGACTCGACGCGCTGTGCCCTCTGTGTTCTTGAAGTACCAGCTGCCATGCTGTCCCTTTTGGGATGTAACTATATCGTGTAAAATTCACACATATACATGTATACTTATACACTATGTAGGCCGAACAGCCTGGAGCCTTAAACCCCGCAAGCCCGACGGCCCTAAATCAAAAAGTCTCCCTAAACCCTGAACCCTACGCCCTAAACCCTACGCACGTTAAAGCCTCCCTAAACCCTACACCCCAAACCCTAAACCCTAAACCCTAAACCCTCAACCCTAAACCCTAAACCCTTAACCCTAAACCCTAAAGTCTCTCCCCCCAAAAGACCAAACCTCCCTCCATCCCTTGCTCTGCGGCAGCCTGGGCCTCGATCCGGCGCGCTACGACCCGAAGGTCCCCAAAGGCCTGGGGGGAATCTCTGTTTAGGGTTTAGGGTTCAGGGTTCAGGGTTAAGGGTTAAGGGTTTTCGGGTTTAGGGTTTAGGGTTTTGGGGTAGGGTTTAGGGTTTAGGGTTGAGGGTTTAGGGTTCAGGGTAGGGAGTTTAGGGTGGAGGGTTGAGGGTTTAGGGTTTTTGCCTAGCGTGTCTGAAGCCCTAAGCCCAAGCCCCCAAACCCTTCAACCCCAAAACCACTGTCCAGCCTACGACCACGGCCTGCCGAAGAAGCATGTGCCGTTCACCTGCGGGTCGTCCCGCTTCGACCACCAGGGCAAGAAGGCAGGGTTTAGGGTTTAGGGTTTAGGGTTTAGAGTTTAGGGTTTACGGTTTAGGGTTTAGGGTTTAGGGTTTCGGGGAAAGGGGAAAGGGTTAGGGATGGGTTAGGGTTTTGTTGAGGGTTTGTAGGCTTTACGGTTTATTGGCCATATGGGGTTGATAAGGTTTATATAGAGGGTTTGTAGGGCTTACAGGGCTTTTCGGTTTCCACAGGGTTTGTAGGGCCTACAGGGCTTGTAGGGTATGGGGTTTACGTCTTCTCCGCAGGCTCCCCCAAAGACCCGAAGCTTCAAGCAGCCCAAGCAGAGGGTTTAGGGTTTAGGGTTTATGGTTTAGGGTTTAGGGTGGAACTTTGTTTGGCTTTGAAGTCCTGCGGGCCCTGGTCGGCCCTGACCCGTGGAAGCTACAATGCTACAGGGACCGAGCCCAAAGCCTGAAAGCCGCAGGACTATCGCCCCGGCCCTGGCGACTACAACGCCGCGAAGCAGACGCTGGCGGGCGCCCTGACCGTGTCCGCGGCGAAGACGATGGGGGTGGCGCCTGCCAGAGAGCCCGGCTATGTGGGTGTAGGGCTTTTGGGGTTGTAAGTCAAGGGTTTGGGGTTTAGGGTCGGAGTGTAGGGCTTGGGATGTTCTCCCCTTTGTACTGTTTTTTTGTCAGAGTTAAGGGGTTTAGGGTTTAGGGTTTAGGGTCTAGGATTCTGCTTTCTCAATGTGCTCCTATCGTTTAGTTAGCAGCACATGCTACAGCTGCAAGAAGTCATGTCACGTGGCAACAGCAGGCAGAGGGCTCCATACCCCTATGTTCAGGAGACATGGAAAAAGGGCTCCAGGGTTCAGGGATTGGGTTGATAAGGGGTTTAGGGTTTAGGGTTTAGGGTTCGGAATAACGAATCTCACAACATCTGTTGGCCGTTCCGGGGTGGTTTGGGGGGTTTTGACGATAGCTTGATTTAGCCACTTTTTTTTTTGCTTTCATGCACCTAAAGCCCGAAGCCTGTCAAGCCCGGAAGAGCCCCAGACCTCTGAAGCCTCAAATAACCCCAAAGCCCCAAAGCCCCGAAATCCCTGAACCCTAAACCCTAAACCCTAAACCCTAAACCCTAAGCCCTAAGCCCTAAACCCTAAACCCTAAACCCTAAGCCCCTTATCAACCCAATCCCTGAACCCTGGAGCCGTTTTCCCCTTTTTCCTTCGATTTGCCTCTGAGGCCGAGCAGCGCTTGCTCTTCAAGTCGACGAGGTCTTGGGGGCCCCTGTTTGGGGTTTGAAGGGTTTAGGGTTGGTTTAGGGTTTAGGGTTTGGGTTTAGGGTTTAGGGTTTAGGGTTTAGGGTTTAGGGTTTAGGGTTTAGGGTTTGGGGTTTAGGGTTTAGGGTTTAGGGTTTACGGTTTAGGGTTTAAGGTTTTCGGGTGTCGGGTTTATTAGGGTTAGTGTTTAGGGCTTTCAGGGTTTAGGGTTTTAGGGTCTTCGGGATGTTTGGGGTTTCGGGGTTTCAAGATTCAGGGACTAGGATTCAGCAGTGTGGGGGTGTAGTTTTTTACCCTTTCAGACAAGCGAGGTTGGTAGAGTTTAAGGACCAAGTGGCACGTGTGTGAAGTGACGCGCTCAGGACAGCAGGCAGCACAGCTCCCAGACAGAACAACATTCAGGGCAAAAGGCGGGCAACTGTACCAGAGTGTGAGCCCAGGCTTCCACCGTGGTTGTAATAAGCAGGCCAGCGGGTCGGGCGCGCAACTGTCCCGGAATGTTGCTTTCAGCCGCAGGCCTCGGAGGCTGAGACAGGCACCCGACTGCGAGCTGGAGGAAGGGGCCTTACAGTCTCAGTGCACGCGGATGAGCAGCCCAGCCGGTCACAACTGAGGACCGTGGGAGACAAGGAGGCGGGAGCCCGGTCTCCGAAATCGGAACACTCGGAACACTCTTGAGGGCCTGGGGTGACACTTGTTGGCTGCACCCCTGCCGCCACTTTTCCTTGGGTGACCTCGACTCCAGAGCGGGTCGGTGAGGAGCCGTTGGTATGCCTGCCTGCGCTGAAGCAACAACAAAAAAAAACCCCAAATCGCTGCAGTTGGGGTTTTAGGGGCAAGGTGGGGGGATTTTTCGAAGCGCTGTTTTTCCTCAGGTTCTCGGGGTGGAGCTTGCGATATTCGGGGTTTAGACTCTTGGAGTTGAGGGGCCTGAAGCCGAAGTCCGCGGGTGATCAGGGCCCTAAACCCTAAGCCCTAAACCCTGAACCCTATACCCTGAACCATAAACCCTAAACTCTAAACTCTAAACCCTAAACCCTAAACCCTAAACCCTAAACCCTAAACCCTAAACCCTAAACCCTAAACCCTAAAGGGCTGTCTGGTGCTGTGCCCTGCCCAGTGCGCCCTCCATCCCTCGAGACCACCAGTGCTTCGGCTACGACGAGGCTTTGCTCAGACTGTGGGAAGAGCAGGGTTTCGGGGTTTACGGGTTCAGAGCGCAGAGCTAGGGTAAGAAAAGGTGTTAAGCCGCGTAGGGATGTGTAGGGTTTACGTTCGAAAGTTTGGCGACAGGTGTGCAGGCTTGGGATTTAGGCGGGTGGAGGGTGTTTAGCATGTCACTTGAACACTTAAGCCTAGAATCCCCCGAGCCCGAAACCCTGAACCCTGAACCCAGAGCTTCCTGAAGCCTAAGCCCCAAACCCTAAACCCTAAACCTTAATCCCCAAGCCCCAAACCCTAAACCTAAACCCCAAACCCCAAACCCCAAACCCTGAACTGAGCTCTGCCGTGTTTCGGAAGGCTGGAGACGGCCGGCTGATCCGACAGGGTCGCAAGGATGGCATACAAGAGCTGTCTGGTGCCGGGGCCCAGCTGGTTGATGCTCGGGAGCCGGGCTTCTTAAGAATATGCTTCTATTTATATACAGCCCAAGGGAATAAGTTAAACTCAATGTTCATAGAGGTTCTAAGGGGGTATCGCTCAGATTGTCAGGCAACAGCCTTGGCTTCGAGGGGCAATGCTCAGGATTTTTTTGGCAATAACCACTTCGCACGCCGAACTTCAAAATTTTGAATCTCGGTAGGAGGGCAACCACAAAGGGACCTTGGTTCAGGGAACCTATGCACTGTCCTGGAACCCCTCAACCCTAATTCTGAATCCTGAATACTATTGAGCACTGAAATCCTGAACTCTGATTCCATCCTTGGGCCATGCAAGCCGCTTACGTTCATATGAAGCAGGGTTTATATGACTGTTCTTGGTGAGTGTATATATGGTTCCTTTTTAATATTGGTGAGTGTATATACCTGGTGCCCTTTTGGGGGTACAAGAAATATATACCCTGCTTCAGATCTTTTCTGATGAGCTGCTAGAGTAGTTTAGTTGGGGGGGAGCTGGTGTAGGATTTCTAGGCTTAATTCTGTTAGCCGCAGGCCTGGGGGGTTTTCGTCCTTCCATGGAAGAGCCGCAGCACGGATATCAAACTCTTAGTTAAGTTGGGAATGGACACCAGACACCATTCGAACTCTGCATCCGTCTATGCCGTTCTTTTTAGTGTTGCTAGGATTGCCTTTGGCGCACGAGAGCCTTGTTCATGGCCGGTGCGCGGCATGGCTTTCATGCGCCTCTTGCTCTGCGGCCGAACTCGCGAATACCGCCGGGTTGCGGCGACGGTGGCGCTTCCGGGCCAGTGGCTGGTCGAGTTCGGCTGCCACGAGGGCCTCACGACCTCCCTGCTTGCGGAGCGCGCCCCCGGGCGGGTTCTGGGCCTCGACCGCAGTACGCACGCGGTGCGCGCGGCCTCCAGGCGCTTTCCAGCGCTCCACTTCGGCGTGGCCGATGCGCTGGATCGTAGCCTTCACGCGATGGAGGAGCATCTGAAGGCCCGAGATGCGACAGCTTCCGATGTCAGGGCTTGCTTCTTGGACCTTGGGGGCGACGCTCGCCTAAGCACAGTCTTGTATGCCCTGGCGAACCTGCAGCGGCTGCCTTGCTTGGAGCTGATGGTCGTGAAAAGCGAGGAGCTGGTGTGGCTGAAGAAGAAAACCGACGTGCTGGCTCGCGCGCGGACCAGCTTGGACGAAAACCCGAGCTTTGGGTGACCACGCTGGGGTGATGGGGTGTTCTGTTCGGGATCCCAGCTCCCGAAAAGGTTCCAGCTATTCCAGCTGTGTCGAGCCGCTAAGCCATTGTGAAGAGCATGTCGGTGACGGGTTTTAGGGTTTAGGGTCCATGAGCTCCGGGAGACCTCAGGACAGCAACGACTGGCGCGCTGCTCGTCAAATTGCCACACGCAGATGTTTGCAGCAAGCGTGTGCGTTTGGACTAGGTTGGCTATTGGGATGTCTCATGTTTTCCTGCTTTGGATCCTGTACTTTGACGTAAGGGCCAACCCAGTGGATATGGACATGCTGCATGCCGAGGATCACACTTTGTAGGCCCTATTTCAGGTGAGGAAGGTCCCCTGCATAACGGTTTATGGTTTAGGCTTTAGGCTTTTGGCTTTAGGGCTTAGGGCGAACCCCCAGTTCCCTCTCTAGGAGCCTTCGAGTGAGGTTGCCCGCTCCCCACTGCCGCCGAGGCAAGCCAGGCGACAGCGCCGGTCCTGGCCACTACGATGTTGCCCAGGACTGGAGCTCCAGGGAGGTTTCCGAAATTTGGGGTACCTTTTTGGGTCCTTATTATAAGGGAATCCTATCATTTGGGGTACAGGGGTCCTTTATTGTCGTAAACTCCCATATGGTGGTTTCCGAAAACCATGAGAGGTGCCGTTTTCGGGGGTTTGCAATAGTAAGAGGTCGAGCGCTTTGCAGGGGAAATGCCGATTTGGTCAGTTCTCTCAACTGTTCCGCTTGTGCGGGTGCCCTTAACATTCGGGGGAGGAGTGTTGCAGCAGGGTTTAGGGTTTAGGGTTTGGGTTTGGGTTTGGGGTCTAAGCCCCCCCTCTAATGAACCAACCCGCATGCTCACATAAGTGCAGGCCTTTAGCAAGCTAGGGCTCTCACTGGCCCGCTGTATGATAAGTGCTTGCTTAATTGTAAACGCTTGCGCGCGCCGCCTCGGCAGCCGGGCCGGCCAGGAAAGGACGAAAGAGGGTTTCGCAAAAAAAGGGGAGGGAGGGCAGAGGGGTTAAAGGGAGGGGGGGTGGGGGTGGGGGGGGGGGGGGTAAGAGGGGTGGGGGGGGGGGGGGGGGTGGGGGGGGGGGGGGGGGGGTGGGGGGGGGTGGGGGGGTGGGGTGGTGGGGGGTGGGGGGGGGGGGGGGGGTGGGGGGTGGGGGGTGGGGGGGGGGGGGGTAGGGTGGTGTGGGGGGGGGAGGGTCTTCCAAGCGATTGGGGGGAGGTTCCACAGGGCGGGGGGGGGGAAAGGGTTGGGTTAGGGGGAAGGAGGCCCGATCCGGGTCTGCTTGTTCCAGACGCTTCTCGGCAGGAAGCCGAGGCGAATTTGCTTAATCCGAACCTTGCAATGGCATCATATGGTCAGTTCTCAAAATTACGGTCCCTCTTTGGGTACCCCAAATAAGAGAGGGGGGCCGCCTTTTAATGAGGACCCCAAACAGGACCATCATGTAGGGGCATCACCATATGAAGCAGGGTTTATATTTCTGTTTTTGGTGAGTGTATATACGGTTCCTTTCTAATTTTGGTGAGTGTGTGTACTGGGTGTCCTTTTGGGGAGAGAAGGAATCTAAACCCTAAACCCTAAACCCTAAACCCTAAACCCTAAACCCTAAACCCTAAACCCTAAACCCTAAACCCTAAACCCTAAACCCTAAACTCTAAACCCTAGACCCTAAACCCTAAACTCTAAACCATTGTCTTCTATGTCGGCTCTTGAGCTCGCCGCCTGCGAGCCCTGCCCCAGGCCAGATCCATGGCCAACGCCGCCCGAGGCGGCAGAATCATGCCGCGGGGGCCCCGAAGCCCATCCTCCCTGAGCTCTATACCTAACCCCAAACCCTAAACCAAGCCCCTGGCTAGGCCCTTCTTGGGATATTCGTATCTTCCCTTACCGGGTTCAAGACGATCACCTTCAGGAGCAGTTTTCAGGGCCTTCAAGGGTCCAACCTAGGCCTCGCAACCCTGAAAACTCTTAGGCCTCCGACCCACAAAAAGCAAAGTTCAGGGTTTCGTGTTTAGGGTTAGGGTTTAGGGTTGAGGGTTGAGGGTTGAGGGTTGAGGGTTGAGGGTTGAGGGTTGAGGAGCACAACACTGAACACCTCAGCCCTCAGCCCCTGAACGTGACAGCCCTTAAAGCCCGGGCGCCCCACACCCCGAACCCTAAAGGCCCTAAAGCCTCAGACCCCTAAACCCTAAACCCTAAACCCTAAACCCTAAACCCTAAACCCTAAACCCTAAACCCTAAACCCTAAACCCTAAACCCTAAACCTTAAACCCTAAACCCTAAACCCTAAACCCTCAACCCTAAACCCTAAACCCTAAACCCTAAACCTCTCTTTCATATATAATTTAATTTTTAATGAGTTACTGGGCAAGGTCATTTTTTTACTGGACAAGGTCATTTCTTTACTGGGCAAGGTTATTTTTTTTGCTGGGCAAGGTCATTTGTTTACTGGGCAAGGTCATTACTGGGCAAGGTCATTTTTTTACTGGGCAAGGTCATTCTTTTACTGGGCAAGGTCATTTTTTTTTACTGGGCAAGGTCATTACTGGGCAAGGTCATTTTTTTTTACTGGGCAAGGTCATTACTGGGCAAGGTTATTTTTTTCCTGGGCAAGGTCGTTCCATAAGTGAAAGAATTTCTTAATGTTGTGGGATTCTTTGGGCGGGTGGGTATTTTTCTGGAGTAATTTCTTGACTAGTGAATGCTTGGACTTGAGATGCTGAACCCTAAGCCTTAAACCTTAAACCCTAAACCCTAAACCCTAAACCCTAAACTCTAAACACTAAACCCTAAACCCTAAACCCCAAACCCTAAACCCTAAACCCTAAACCCCAAACCCTAAACCCTAAACCCTAAACCCTACACCCCAAACCCTAAACCCTAAACCCTAAACCCCAAACCCTAAACCCTAAACCCTAGACCTTGGAGCCCCAAGGCCGGCCTACGAAGCCCCGGGCAAGGCTACCGAGACGCCAGGGCCGGGCCACTACGTTGCAAAGGCTCCTCATGTCGGTGGTAGGGTTTAGGGTTTAGAGTTTAGGGTTTAGGGTTTAGGGTTTAGGGTTTAGGGTTTAGGGTTTAGGGCTGAGCGTCAGAGAGTAGGGTGCCGTTGGGGTTGAGGGCTGAGGGTTTAGGCCTTGAGCGCAGGTTGACGGGTTGAAAACCCCGAACACCTACAATAAACCCTAGACCCTAAACCCTGAACTCTGAACCCTCGACCCTAAACCCTGGATCCTTAAGCGCAGGCTTTTGGCAAGGAGAGCGAGAAGCCCATCTACTCGTCCTTCGCCTCGCAGACAGAGCGCGAGCAAGCTCGCCATGCTTTGTGTGGGTGAGGGTTGAGAGTTCAGGGTTTTGGGGTTTAGGTTTAGGAAGTTTTGACCTCCACTTTATTCATTTATTTAGTTATTGGTATGATTGTTTTTTTTTTTTTTTTTTTGGGGGGGGGGGGGGGGGGGGGTTCGTTGTTCTCTACCCTAAACCCTAAACTCTGTATCCACGCAACCCTACAACCCTGTGTACGTAGAACCTGTATGCTCTCCTTGACGGCAGTGCTCGGGCGCCACAGGACATTCAAAGTTAGAAGCAGGCCGTTGTCAGAATCTTTAACCTTTTCAAGTTCTTCATGAACAGCTTAAATGTTAAGCGTTTAGGTATTCTAAGTTTACACAGATTAAAGACCCCTCTAGGGGCAGGTTTGAGAAAGGTTGCACTGGCTTCCAAAAACAAGCACCCCTCTCCACCCCAGTAGGGATCTCAGATGTAAACGTCAAGTAACATAAAGGGTGATCTTCCGGGCCGGCGCTGTTGCAGTTTTTTGCCATACTATATACATACATATACAATAGTAACACAAGTCATAATAACAATAGTAGTAATCATAAACAATAACAGTCATAAAAGTTCAAAATACAATAATAATAACAACAAGAAGAAGAAAAAGCAGAAGAAGAAGAATAATAATATTAATAAGAAGAATAATCACAGAGAGTAAGACGCAAGGCAGGCCCGTCTGTAATAATACTATCAAAAATGAATATGAGTAAATAATAATACATAATAAAAAAAAGAATAATAATGAGATTGATAATAATAGTAGTAGTCATAGTAATGATAATGATAATGAAAATGATAATGATAATGATAGTAATAATGATCATGATAATAGCAATAATAATAATCATCATCGTCGTAATCATAATAATCATCATAAAATCAATACGAACAATAGTAATACTAATACGACTGATCATAATAATCAGCTAAATACATATATATATATATGTATATGTATATATGTATATATGTATATATGTATATATGTATATATGTATATATGTATATATGTATATATGTATATATGTATATATGTATATATGTATATATGGTATACAATGCAGTTTTCGATCTTTTGCTCCTAGAAGGCCAGCAGTTTCAAGGTTGCAACTGTGCCACATATATATATATATATGTATATCTTTGAACATAAGAACCTGCCGAAGCAAGTGGGTTTATAGTCAACAACAGCAAGAGCAAACAGCACGGCAGCAGCAACGACTATGGAAACACTAGGTAGCAACAACAGCAACTACAATGACCGGAACGAACACATCACAAACTTCATATGCGGAAATGCTCCACAAGGCTTGCAAATGAAGAGAAAACCCTTCTGAAACACTCACCCCCTCGAACCCTAAATCCTTAAACCCCTCTCACCTGGACGAACCGATGAAACCGTGGCAGGCCCTGAGCTCGAACCCAACAATAGCTACCCTGAGTTCCGCACCCCCGGGTCGTCGGGCAGTTTGTAACAGGTCTCGCTGAAAGCTCCATGGGGGGAGGGGTTGATCTAGGGGACGGTCCGTTTAGTACCCGAAGTAAACTCAGCCAGGAATACTCTAGTGCCGGAAAGGGTTGGTCATGCCCCCCTCCTAGGGTTTAGGGTTTAGGGTTTAGGGTTTAGGGTTTAGGGTTTAGGGTTTAGGGTCCCCACATCCTGAATCTCCACGCCCGCGACACAAACCTGAGGTTTTAGCACTTGTAGCTGCCACGCTCCTGAAACTGTGGTCATGTTGAGCCCCGGTCACCTTACACCCTAAACCCTAAACCCTAAACCCTAAACCCTAAACCCTAAACCCTAAACCCTAAACCCTAAACCCTAAACATCTGTGCGCCGCTTGCCAGTGCGAAGCCCGAGAAGAAGGGAGTCGAAATGCCTGGGCCGGGGCAGTACTACTCTAGCAGGCGCCCCTGTGTGAGTGGCTCATGCGGCTGTCTGGCTGACATAAGGCTGAGAGTGCTCTCGCGGTCCGAGGAATGCATACTTAGAAGCTCTTTTTAACTTAGTAAGTCTACTCATTATCCCCTGGAATCCCTATGATAAACTGGGATGCAGAAGAGAAGATCGCCCACGGTTTAGGGTTTAGGGTTTAGGGTTTAGGGATGTTGACATTGTGGCCTTGCTTACCCTATAAACGCCTACGTCCGAAAAGCCCAGACACGCAGCACGGCCCTGCAAACTGGCGGGCGACATGTTAACTGTGTAGGCTCATGCTCTAGTCCCAGCACCTTCAGTTCCAAACCATCGGCATGTGGGGCTTCTGGGCTTTTGGGCTTTTGGGTGAAGTTCAGCGCTGTAATTATTTACCCTTGGGCTTATTTCGGCAGGCTGTTGGGCCCAAAAACCCGAAGATAAGAGTCCTTAGATCCAATCAGGGGAGCATGTTTGAGGTAGGCCCCGGCTTAGGGGTTCACGGTTGGGTGCGACGCCAGGCCATTCAAGCGCCCGAATATGCGTGAGATGCATCCGGAGCGATGGCCAAGATGGTTTATGGTTTAGGCTGCTTTTGGTTTCCGGGTCCCGGGTTTTAGGTTGTTGGGATTTGTGGTTTGGGATTTAGGTTTGGCTTCAGGGTGGCTACCTACAAAGCCAGATTGGACACGGCGCAGACTCAACGCAAGAGACAGGCCCAAGGCTGCGAGAAACTTGTCCTGCACATAGGTGCAGGTGATGTTGAATCAAGCCCTAACCTACACCCTTACCCCGCAGTCGCGACGTCCCTACACGATCTGGTGCGTTCGGCAACATGAAGGCCTTGTGACCCCCTGAGCCTCTAAGCCCTTGACCCTAGCCCCCGAACCCATATCACCCTCAATGATTCAGCCCAGAACTATCCCCCAAGCTCTTAAATCCCTTTACTTGTTAAGTGTTGTGCCTTTGTAGTATCTTGTTTCCTACTCATTCATCAGTACCTTTCCGTCATACAGTGTGTCTGATGACTTTCGGAAATGGCACACAAGAGAGAAGAGACTGCCACTCGAGGTTTATCTCTGGGTAGAGTTCCCCACCCCCCCCCCCCCCCCCCCCAAAGGTTTCACCGCAAGGGGTTTTCTACACCCCAAAACCTAAACCTGAAACCCTCTTTACTCCCCCCCAAACCCTAAACCCTGAACGGTAGACTCAGTAGACCCTAGACCCTGAACCCGAAACCGTAAACCCTACCAGCACCACCACCACCCCCCCCCCCCCCCCAAACAAAAACAAAAAGTATATAAAGAACAAACTAACAGAAAAAACAACAGAGATAACAAAACCAAAGCAAACCAACAGAAAAGGAAACAAGAAAAAACCGTCGTGGTCTCATGGCATGGGGTCGCCAGGAGCTGCAATACTTCGGCAGCACCTCCGAGCGCTTCCCCGAGGCGATCTTTGCTGAATGGGCTGCGGGCGTTTGGGCCTTTTTGGGTGCTTGTTTTTTTGGGGGTTTAGGGGCGTTAGGGAGCCTTAGGGCACTTTAGGGGTGTTGCTTTAGGGTTTTAAGGGCTTCAGGGAGTTTTAGGGACTTTGGGGGGTTTGGGGGGCTTTCTAGGGGTTCTTATGGTCCAAGGGCTTCGGGGAGTTCCGGGGCTTTAGGAGGGGGGCTTGTTTTGTAGGGGTTTCAGGGCGTTGGGGAGCGGTGTTCTGGTCCAGCCTTACACACCCCTAGAACCTTAAAGCCCTACGAAAGCCTGGGTTTAGGGTTTAGGGTTTAGGGTTTAGGATTTAGGGGCCCTGAATCACCTCATTTCAACCTCCATGAGGCCCAAGACCTTTCACATAGAGCCTCACCCCAAAAACCCTACCAATGAGGGCCACGGACTCGATGAGCCTGCACAGACCGTCTACACCCTAAACCCTAAACCCTAAACCCTAAACCCTAAACCCCCTAAACCGTAAAGCTTGTAAGCCCTCTAAGCGCTGTAATCCCTCTGAAGCCCCTCCAAAAAACCATACAAGCCCCAGAGCCCCCCCCTGTGCACCCCCTCAAGAAACACCATCAGCACCCGAATTAGGGTTTAGGGCTTAGGGTTTAGGGTTTAGGGTTGAGGTGAACCCTTTCTGTGGCAGGGCGAGGCCGTTATTCTGGCGAGCCAGACCCCGGGGCCGGGTCAGTACGGCCTCGTGGACTACCGGAAGAAGGCCGTGCGGGGTCTGCAGGGCTTGGGGGTTTAGGGTTTAGGGTTTAGGGCTTAGGGTTTAGGGATTAGGGATTTGGGGTTTAGGGTTTAGGGTTTAGGCTTTAGGCTTTAGGGTTGACACTGGGGCTTCCAGGAATTCTGGGGGGTGGTAGCGATGGGCGTGACAACAGGTTGGCCATGGGGGTTTATCATAAAGCTTGCGGGGCTTCTAGTAAAGCAGGTATTGAGGGTTTAAGGGTCTATGTTGGAGGTTTGGAGGGCTGCTCTTTTGATGTAGAATGTCTACTTAGTATCCCCCAGAAACCCCATCATAATCCCCATAACCCGCCTTACTATTTGCTGGTTCAGATTGGGAGAAGAATTGACGAAACCCTAAGCCCTAAAACCCTTAGACCCTAAACCCGAAACCCTAAACCCTAAACCCTAAACCCTAAACCCTAAACCCTAAATGACCCGTTTAGGGGTTGGGTGACCTTGGGGGCGGTCTCAGTCCCCCCTGTTGTCGCGCGCGAGGCTGCGAAGAGCTTCGCCTGGCTGAACGGGAAGCGCTTCCAGGAGAATCCCTTGAACCCACACCTATACCCAGTAGTAGAGTAGGGTTTAGGGTTTAGGGTTTAGGGTTTAGGGTTTAGGGTTTAGGGTTTAGGGTTTAGGGTTTAGGGTTTAGGGTTTAGGGTTTAGGGTTTAGGGTTTAGGGTTTAGGGTTTAGGGTTCAGCATCTCAAGTTCGAGCATTTACTAGGCCAGTAGTGTGTTCAGGCAACGGAAAAAAACCCACCCGCCCAAAGAATCCCATAACATTAAGAAAATATAAGGTTTTCATCCTACCCCAAAGAGTTTTACCTACCCAAGTCAGACACGTTTTCAACTGACCAACACCCGTTGCGGGAGGAAGGGGGCTGGAGGGGCAGGGGGGTTGGGGGGGGGGTGGGGGGGGGGGGGTGGGGGGGGGGGGGGTGGGGAGGGGGGGGGGGGGGGTGGGGAGGGGGGGGTGGGGGGGGGGGGGGGGGGGGGGGGGGGGGGGGGGGGGGGGGGGGGGTGGGGCAAGGACCTTGCCCACTAATTTCGGACCTTGCCCCCTAATTTTCGGACCTTGCCCGCTAATTTTGGACCTTGCCCACTATTTTTTGATTTTCGGACCTTGCCCGCAAATTTTCGGACCTTGCCCGCTAATTTTCGGACCTTGCCCGCTAATTTTTGGATTTTCCTTGCCGCTAATTTTCGGACCTTGCCCGCTAATTCTCGGGCCTTTCCCGGGTCCGAAAATTAGCGGGCAAGGTCCGAAAATTAGCGGGCAAGGTCCGAAAATTAGTGGGCAAGGTCCGAAAATCAGTGGGCAAGGTGGTGGGTCAGCGGGCAAGGTCCGAAAATTAGTGGGCAAGGTCGTGGGGCAGCCAATGGACCTTGCCCACTGATTTTCGGACCTTGCCCGCTGATTTTCGGACCTTGCCCGCTAATTTTCGGACCTTGCCCGCTAATTTTCGGACCTTGCCCACTAATTTTCGGACCCTGCCCGCAAAGCCATTAACATTTATATTATATATGAAAGAGTGGTTTAGGGTTTAGGGTTTAGGGTTTAGGGTTTAGGGTTTAGGGTTCCTCTAACCTTTTCGGGGTAGTAGAATCCCCTTAAAGCCCCAAAGGTTCACCTTCAGTTCCCCCAGGTAACTGGACAATTAAGTATGGCCCCCTAAGGAAGAATTTTTTGTTGATAAGAAGCCCAAGCAGGGACTCAAATGTAGAGAGGGAGACGCCCGCTAACCTAAACCTATAGTATAGCCCCCCGAGGATTTTTTTTCAATTTTTGTTGACATAAAGCCCAAGGGAATATTATGCACATTGTTTCCATTAAGGTCCTAAGGGGAGTATAGAAACTAATGACAACCTGCAGCTGCAAGTGGGGTAGTTCTCGTCGGTAGAAGGGTGCCGCATGATCTAGGGGACCCAAGAAGGGACTCAAATTTAGAGAGTTGTCCAGGTGATCTACGTCAGGCTTTGATTTGGGGATCCTTGTCATACCTTGAACTGGTACCCCCGCCCCCAAACGGCCATCCTCACAAGTCTGCTGTAGGATCCCAAAGTCCCCAAAGTCCCCAGCCCGAAGCCCATATCCTGGAGTGAGAGGACCACGCACAGAACGCGAAGAAAGTCACGAGCCCTGGACCCGGAGCCTACGATCCCACCAGTCCGGGGCTCGGCTGCTGGGGGCTGCCCTTGAGCCCTAAACTTCTGTTGCTCTCCGCACTCGAAGGCTCTTGAAGACATGCGATGCCCAGAGACAGCCTTTCAAAAGACCTAGGAGTTCCGACGAAGTGGCACCCTAAGCCGAAGCCCTAAACCCGCAGGGGATCTGACTCAGGCAGCGATGGGCGGACCAGCGGGAGAACCGGCACGGTGTCTATCCTCGGCAGCACCGGCAGCCTTGCCTTCGGCCCGGCACCGCAGTCTGTGCTTCTTTAGGGTTTAGGGTTTAGGGTTTAGGGTTTAGGTAACAAGATCAATAAGATGGTACATAGTAACCTACGAAGATGACTACTGACAGCCGCAATATTAAAAACGCATCAGAGTGCAGGTCCCTCGAAACCAGAAGCCCTGTAAACCCTGTAAGCCCTATAAATTAGCTCATGCGCAGCCCTCGACCCACCGAGGTAGCATGGAGGCCCGGCGAGGTATCGCAGACACGAAGAAGGGGCAGGAGAAGCTGCCTTTTTTGGGGTTTTGGCTTTGCAGCTTAATTGGGGCCGGGGTTTAGGGTTCAGGGTTTAGGGGGGTTTAGGGTTTAGGGTTTAGGGTTTAGGGTTTAGGGTTTAGGGTTTAGGGCTTAGGGCTTAGGGCTTAGGGTCACGGTTCAAAGGTTCAAGTTCTCCAGGCTTCGGTGTGGTCGCGGAGCAGCTGCTTGGAATCATGTCGGGGCGCTGTTTTTCTTAAAGTCCTCGGTTCCCTGGGTTTGGTTAAAATCCTGATATCCCAAGGGTTCTTATGTCCTCGGTGCCCTGGGTTTGGTGAAATCCTGATATGCCGGGTTTTTTTAGCGTTAAAAATCCCATTTAGGGTTTTTTTTTATACGTTGAACAACCCTGAGTTTGTTGAATCTAGATATCCCAAGGCCATGCAACCCGAAGTTCCCACTCTGGTAGCCAATATCTACCCACCCACCCTTTAGTGGATTCCCTGACATGAAGAAAGTCACCTGCCCTAATTACCACCTAAACCCTGAACCTAGGGGCAGCAGGGCAGAGCGTGGTGGCTGATGCGCATGACGCGCGTTCTGTGCCCGTGATGCGAGCCTGGTGGGGTGCTTGCTGTGGGCTGCTCGCCACGTGCCTGGTGGGGTTCTGGTGGTTGATGCCCATGATGCGCCCCTGGTGGGGCCATGTTTGTTTGTGGGTTCTGTGGGGTTGAGGGCCATGGCGTCTGATGCTCATGATGCGCGCCTGGTGGGGTTCTGTGGCTAAGGGCCATGGCTGATGCTGATGATGCGCGCCTGGTGGGGTTCTGTGGCTCAGGGCATGGCGGCTGATGCTCATGATGCGCGCCTGGTGGGGTTCTGTGGCTAAGGGCCATGGCGGCTGATGCTCATGATGCGCGCCTGGTGGGGTTCTGTGGCTAAGGGCCATGGCGGCTGATGCTCACGATGCGCGGCTGGTGGGGTTCTGTGGCTAAGGGCCATGGCGGCTGATGCTCATGATGCGCGCCTGGTGGGGTTCTGTGGCTAAGGGCCATGGCGGCTGATGCTGATGATGCGCGCCTGGTGGGGTTCTGTGGCTAAGGGCCATGGCGGCTGATGCTCATGATGCGCGGCTGGTGGGGTTCTGCGGCTAAGGCCCATGGCGGCTGATGCTCATGATGCGCGCCTGGTGGGGTTCTGTGGCTAAGGGCCATGGCGGCTGATGCTCATGATGCGCGCCTGGTGGGGTTCTGTGGCTAAGGGCCATGGCGCCTGATGCTCATGATGCGCGCTTGGTGGGGTTCTGTGGCTAAGGGCCATGGCGGCTGATGCTCACGATGGGGTTCTGTGGCTAAGGGCCATGGCGGCTGATGCTCATGATGTGCGCCTGGTGGGGTTCTGTGGCTAAGGGCCATGGCGGCTGATGCTCATGATGCGCGCCTGGTGGGGTTCTGTGGCTAAGGCCCATGGCGGCTGATGCTCATGATGCGCGCCTGGTGGGGTTCTGTGGCTAAGGGCCGTGGCGGCTGATGCTCATGATGCGCGCCTGGTGGGGTTCTGAGGCTAAGGGCCATGGCGGCTGATGCTCATGATGCGCGCTTGGTGGGGTTCTGTGGCTAAGGGCCATGGCGGCTGATGCTCATGATGCGCGCCTGGTGAGGTTCTGTGGCTAAGGGCCATGGCGACTGATGCTCATGATGCGCGCCTGGTGGGGTTCTGTGGCTAAGGGCCATGGCGGCTGATGCTCATGATGTGCGGCTGGTGGGGTTCTGTGGCTGATGCTCATGATGCGCGCCTGGTGGGGTTCTGTGGCTAAGGGCCATGGCTGCTCATGATGCGCGCCTGGTGGGGTTCTGTAGCTAAGGGCCATGGCGGCTGATGCTCATGATGCGCGCCTGGTGGGGTTCTGTAGCTAAGGGCCATGGCGGCTGATGCTCATGATGCGCGCCTGGTGGGCTTCTGCGGCTAAGGGCCATGGCGGGTCATGCTCATGATGCGCGCCTGGTGGGGTTCTGTGGCTAAGGGCCATGGTGGCTGCTGCTCATGATGCGCGCCTGGCGAGGTTCTGTGGCTAAGGGCCATGGTGGCTGCTGCTCATGATGCGCGCCTGGCGGGTTCGGTAGCTAAGGGCCATGGCGACTGATGCTCATGATGCGCGCCTGGTGGGGTTCTGTTGCTAAGGGCCATGGCGGCTGATGCTCATGATGCGCGCCTGGTGGGGTTCTGTGGCTAAGGGCCATGGCGGCTGATGCTCATGATGCGCGCCTGGTGGGGTTCTGCGGCTAAGGGCCATGGTGGCTGATGCTCATGATGCGCGGCTGGTGGGGTTTCTGTAGCTAAGGTCCATGGCGGCTGATGCTCATGATGCGCGCCTGGTGGGGTTCTGTAGCTAAGGGCCATGGCGGCTGATGCTCATGATGCGCGCTGGGTGGGGTTCTGTTGCTAAGGGCCATGGCAGCTGATGCTCGTGATGCGGGCTGGCGGGGTTGTGAGGCTGAGGGCCATGACGGCTGATGCTCATGATGCGCGCATGGTGGGTTCTGTGATGCTCATGATGCGCAGTCCTGTGGCTAAGGGCCACGGTGGCTGATGCTCATAATGCGCGGCTGGTCGGGTTCTGTGGCTAAGGGCCATGGCGGCTGATGCTCATGATGCGCGCGTGGTGGGGTTCTGTAGCTAAGGGCCATGGCGGCTGATGCTCATGATGCGCGCCTGGTGAGGTTCTGTGGCTAAGGGCCATGGCGGCTGATGCTCATGATGCGCGCCTGGCGGGGTTCTGTGGCTAAGGGCCATGGCGGCTGATGCTCATGATGCGCGGCTGGTGGGGTTCTGTAGCTAAGGGCCATGGCAGCTGATGCTCATGATGTGCGCCTGGTGGGGGTTCTGCAGCTAAGGGCCATGGTGGCTGCTGGATGCGTTTCTGTGGCTAAGGGCCATGGCGGCTGATGCTCATGATGCGCGCCTGGTGGGGTTCTGTGGCTAAGGGCCATGGCGGCTGATGCTCATGATGCGCGCCTGGCGGGGTTCTGTGGCTAAGGGCCATGGCGGCTGATGCTCATGATGCGCGCCTGGCGGGGTTCTGTGGCTAAGGGTCATGGCGGCTGATGCTCATGATGCGCGGCTGGTGGGGTTCTGCAGCTAAGGGCCATGGTGGCTGCTGCTCATGATGCGCGCCTGGCGGGATTCTGTGGCTAAGGGCCATGGCGGCTGATGCTCATGATGCGCGCCTGGTGGGGTTCTGTAGCTAAGGGCCATGGCGGCTGATGCTCATGATGCGCGCCTGGTGGGGTCGTTTGGCTAAGGGCCCAAAGGCCTGGCCCAAAAACCTGTTTCCTAGGTCCTGAACCCTAAGCCCTAAATCCAGGATTCCTAAAACGCTGAAAACCCCAAGCCCTGAGACCTTGAACGCTAACTTCGAAGGTTTGAACCATGGGGCTAGTGCGGTCTCTTCCCTTTCTTTATAGAGACCCGACGTATGGGCCCTTACTATAGATAGTGTGTATAAGTAAGGGTTGTATGACAAGGGGGCCTATACTTCGGATCCCCCACAACCCCCTGGGCCCCGCACCCTAACTCCTAGACCGCGAGCCCCTCGGGCTTGAACCCTTTAATCTAGGTTTAGGGTTTAGGGTTTAGGGTTTAGGGTTTGGGGTTTAGGGTTTAGGGTTTAGGGTTTAGGGTTCAGGGTTTAGGGTCACTAAACCCCCTAAGCACTGACCCTGCCAGGACCCGGGGCCGGGTGCCTACTACGAGGGCGTCCCGGGCGAGGCCGCCGCCACATCCCGGAAAGCCCCAAAGCCTTAAACGAGCTCAGCCAAAAGAGCTCAGCCCGGTTTAGGGTTTAGGGTTTAGGGTTTAGGTTTAGGGTTTAGGGTTCAGGGTTTAGGGTTTAGGGTTTCGGTTTGCACAGATTGTAGGCGCTTCTTTATCTGGAGCCGCCAGAAACTAGCTAGGCATTCTCAGTTCATCTCAAACTTCTACAACTAAACATGCTACAGTCGAGTGGTCTGTATACCCTAAACCCTAAACTGAGCAAGTGCTTGACGCGTCTTTCGTCCCGAAGTGTTCGTAGTGCGGCTAAAACACTAAACCCCAAACCCCAAATCCCACCCCAAATCCCAAACCCCAAGCCTAAACCCTAAACCCTAAACCCTAAACCCTAAACCCTAAACCCTAAACCCTAAACCCTAAACCCTAAACCCTAGACCCTAAACCCCAAACCCCAAATCCCAAACCCCAAACCCCAAACCCCAAGCCTAAACCCTAAACCCTAAACCCTAATCCCTAATCCCTAAACCCTAAACCCCCAAGCCCGGAAGCCGGCAAGGACTCCAGGGGCAGCGCAGACCAAGGGAGGGAGCCTAGGCTCGATTCCTGGGGTGGGGGGGGATTAGGGTTGAGGGTTGAGGGTTGAGGGTTTAGGGTTTAGGGTTGAGGGTTTAGGGGGTTGGGGGGTGGGAGGGGTTGGGTGGTTTCACTTAGGGTTTTTTTACGCGCTTATGGATGATTACGGGGGTTACCCGCGGGTTGATAGGTTTTTTAAGGGTCATCCGAGCTGATCGCCAAGCCTCTTTGGCAAGATCGTGTTGGCCTGTTGCGGTCTGCCAACCAGTACAGGCCATGGGCATGATTTGGGATGTTCCCCCTTGTAGCAGTCCTTAATAGGGATTCTAGTACCACCTATTATGATCCCTATGACCGTCCTTAGTAGGGATTATATGGTATGCCCGATTATAATCCCCATTACAGTCCTGAATAGGGAGTATAGTGCCATCTATTGTAGTCCCTAATCAGGACTGTTAGTAAAAGGGGAACATGCAAGGCATGATGGTGACCCTGACATGGCTGGTGATCGCCAGCCGGGGATCGGCGCAGGGGTGGGCGGCTTGCCTCGGCAACGTTCCAGAACGTTTAGGGTTTAGGGTTTAGGGTTTAGGGTTTAGGGTGCCGCTGCAGCTCGGTCCGCCGACAAAGGCAGCTGAAATAGCAGAGACCTTGCGTCGAGGTCCATGATGTTTTTGGCACGAGAAACTGCGAACACCGCTGCTTTGGGGAGGTCGCCGCTCTTTGCGGTTATACCTTGGGATGTTCCCCCTTCTTTCGACAGTCCTGAATAGGGATTCTCATGGGGGGGGGGGGGGGTACTAGAATCCCTACTAAGGACGGTTAGTACAAAGTTTCAACTGGGATTGAAGCTGGGTCTATTATTTGTTGGGTTTATTTACTATTGTTGATGATGATTATTATTACTACTACTACTGCTGCTGCTACTGCCACTGCCACTGCCACTGCCACTGCCACTGCCACTGCCACTGCCACTGCTACTGCTACTGCTACTGCTACTGCTACTGCTACTGCTACTGCTACTGCTACTACTACTACTACTACTACTACCACCACTACTACTACTACTACTACTACTACTACTACTACTACTACTACTCCTACTCCTACTCCTACTCCTACTCCTACTCCTCTCTTTATTCTTTGTTTTCATTTCTTTCATGAGTACATTTGTTTGTGGTGTGTGTGTGTGTGGGGAGGCGGATAAGAATTTCTGGTCGGTCAAGATTTGGGCGTTTGGCGGCAGCACTTGGGATGAAAGGCCTCGCATGCATTGGAGCAACTGTAAGATGTTGAGCAAGCTGAAGCCCTGCACCCGAAACCCGAATCCCTATACCTTAAGTCCCACCGCCGAAGCTTCAGCCCCCCCAAGACGCCTCAACTCCAAAGACCCCCATGCACTCCTCTAGTTTTCATCCCTTAAGTGAGGTCTCTCGGGCCATGGACGGAACAGGAAACCCTGACCCCAAACCCGAAACCCTAAGACCTCAACCCTCAACCCTCAACCCTCAACCCTCAACCCTCAGCCCTCAGCCCTCAGCCCTCAGCCCTCAACCCTCAAGCCCTCAGCCCTCAGCCCTCAGCCCTCAACCCTCAACCCTCAACCCTCAACCCTCAACCCTCAACCCTCAACCCTCAACCCTCAGCCCTCCACCCTCAACCCTCAACCCTCAGCCCTCAGGCCTCAGCCCTCAGCCCTCAGCCCTCCACCCCTGAACCCCAAGCCCCCTCAGAACGCCACGTTTCGCAGGAGGCCCCGCAAGGTCTTCCCGCCCAGCTCCTTCTTCCGGTCTACGGTTCCCAAGGACTCGTGGCGGGGCTTGGCGTAAAGGGCAAAACCCTAAACCCCAAACCCTGCACCTTAAACCCTGAACCCTAACCCCTAGACCCTACACCTTAGAACCCGAAACCCTAAACCCTAAACCCTAAACCCTAAATCCTAAACCCTAAACCCTAAACCCTAGACCCTAAACCCTAAACCCTAAACCCTAAACCCTAAACCTAAAGTGTAGCTTTTAGGGTTCTGGAGCTTTGGGCTTCGACCCGCGATGCCTTGTGGGAGTTGAGGGGGTCCGAAGACTCAACAATCCGCTCATCTCTCCGACCCCTTTAAGGGTTTCGGGTTTCGGGTTAGGGTTTAGGGTTTAGGGTTTAGGGTTTAGGGTTTAGGGTTTAGGGTTTAGGGTTTAGGGTTTAGGGTTTAGGGTTTAGGGTTTAGGGTTTAGGGTTTAGGGTTTAGGGTTTAGGGTTTAGGGTTAGGGCTTGGGGAATAGGGCTTAGGGCTTAGGGCATAGGGCTTAGGGCTTAGGGTGTACGGTTTAGGGTTTAGTAGAGAGCAATGTGAGCAAGTGAATGAAAACATGCAATGAGCGCGTGAACATGTGAACGAACCCAGCTATTTACTTTCATAATGTTTTTTCGTACCTTCATAATGTTTTCGTACTTTCAGAAGGTTTTTCGTACTTCGTTCTTTCTCTCATTTCGTTCACTCTTTTTTCTTCGTTCTCTCATTCGTTCAGTCACTTCGTATTTCTATTAATAGTGTGTGAACGAAGAGAACACGCCAAAAGCGGTCTTTTATAATGTGCTTGCATTAGTATTATTACGAAGAGAAAGAGCATATTAGTTTTACAAGCGAGTTTACGAACGAAGTAAAAAACGAATGAAAGTAGTGCGTGTTCGTTCATCTTTCACTCACGCTATTGCAGTAAGTTAGCATGATTATTAGTATTATTCCCGCGCTTACAAGATCATTAATGCTAATATTGCGCGGGATACAAGAATACTAGTAATATTGAGCCCCTATTGAATATGTTGTTTAACCGGGCTCACTTAACGTGGCTCACTACGTTCTTAACATTATTACGTTTCGTGCATTCGTTCATGTCATTTCAACCTCTTAAGCAAAAGAGGGCATCCTTTGTATTCCTAGGTTCCTCTTGGGTCTACTTTTCGTGGCAGGACCTCATGGTTGCCCCGTAGTGCCCTTCTTCCCATTTCTTGGGCGGTTTTAGGTTCCCTTCTAAACGCCTTTCAGCTAAAAAGGGCACCCTAAACCCAAAACCCTAAACCCAAAACCCTAAACCCTAAACCCTAAACCCTAACCCCTAGACCCTAGACCCTAAAACCCTAAACCCTAAACCCGAAACCCTAAACCTTAAACCCTAAACCCTAATCAGGACATCATGGTTGCGCAGTACCAGAAGGATGGCCAGGTGGGCCCTCCACCGGGGGCGTGGGGGCCCTGGACTCGCTCGCTTCGTTTTTTTAGCGCTGTGGGTGAGAGGGGGGGGGGACTTTTGAGGCTTGTCAAGAGATAGGACTCCGGGTTTGGGGTTTAGGGTTTAGGGTTTGGGGTTTGAGGGGTGTTCAGGGTTTGAGGCCTTGCAGAAACCGAGGTACAGTCCTAAGAGCCTCAAAGCCATCGGGAACGTGCAGCACGTGGTGTCCAAGGGCGAGGGTTTCGGCTCTGCTCCCACCTCAGTCTTCACTTGCTATTTCGTTCTCCAGATTAGGGTCCCTTTTGGGGGTCCTTCTAAAGGTGCCTTACTATATAAGGGACCCAAAAAGGGAACCGAATTTGGAGAACTACTCAGGTGACCTTGGGACATTTTATGTTTCCCTGTTCGGGCTTACTCAAAGCCAATGCAGCTACATGGTTATATACTTGTGTTTATACGGGTTGCTAACGTTTGTGCCATGTTGGCAAGGGCATATGTGACTGAGATGGTTGTGGACAACACAAGAAGCACATTAGAGCTGGGCAACATTGCAAGTGCCCGCAGTGCTTGCAGGTGGACAGCATTGCTACACGCACTCTAAGGCGCACGTCACAAAAAGCCGCGCATACTTGGGATGGTATTGCTTTTGTACCCTAAACCCTAAACCCTAAACCCTAAACCCTAAACCCTAAACCCTAAACCCTAAACCCTAAACCCTAAACCCTACAGCTTTGGAGAGCAATCGTGTGCATGGGTGGTGCAGTGGTAGGTGCGCTCGGCTGATTCGGAAGTCAACCGCGAGGAACGGACAGCCTCAATCTACCAATTACCAGAAGTGGTTTAGGGTTTAGGGCTGAGGGTTTGGGGGTTTAGGGTTTAGGGTTAAAGTACCAATTGCTTAAGAACCCCGGAAAAATGTATACTTTTCCTTATTCAGGGTAATACAGGGAATATTGTTTTCTATTCTTTTTGGGGTTCTGAAGCAAATAATAGCAATAAGCAAGCACGAGGGAAGCGACATAGGATAGGGATGTTTTTCTACGGTAGCCCTTGTAATTCACCCGCCAGCGCGTGGCCGCCTTGGCAAAGGCATGGCATCCTGCTAGGCTACTAAACCAGGTCTAAACTCCGAACCCTTCTGATGCCACGTCTCTAAAAAACACGGTCCCTTTCAAGTCCTTGCTATAAGTAGGCGGCCCCTCTTATTTAGGGCACCCAAAAAAGGGACCAGAATTGAGAGCACTGACCATGAGATGCCAGTCCCTACAGCCCCAAACTGCCGAGTCTGCACAGCGCTCCAGCAGCATGCCCCCGGGCTTCACGTCGCCGGGCCCGGGCTGGTGCCCCCCACTTGAGGGGGGTTTTCCGGGTTTTCTCTTAGGGGTCTCCGTGCGGCATGATGCACCAAACTAAAACCCTACACCCTAAACCCCAAACCCTAAACCCTAAGCCCTAAGCCCTAAACCCTAAACCTTAAACCCTAAATCCTGAACCCTGAACCAGTGAACCAGCCCCACGATCCTCCCTCAAGGAGCCCCGGACCCTGAACTCCTGTCAGGTACAAGGTGTCGGACGTCACCGGTGGCAAGGTGAAAGGAACCTTCAATCGGGTTGCGGCCGCTCGGACGGCAGTGTGCGGGTTTAGGAATTCAAACCCCTGGCCCCCCTAGGCTTAAAGGATCCTAATGGGAACCCCAAACAGGGAACCCCAAGAATGTAGTAAGAATATAAAGGGAATAGAAGTTTATGAATGGGGGGTGAGGGTTCCAGCACGCACCAAGCAGCTGCAACGCTTTGCGACGTGGAGGTGTGGATCGAAATTACGGGCCCACTTGGTATCGATAGCTACCTTAGCCCACTTGTATAAATGTGGACTCCCTTGCAATAAAGAAGCAAAGTGAACAGAGCTTGAGCTTGGAAACCCTAAGCCCTAAACTGAGAAAAGGGCCTACCCCCTGAAACCCAAACCATTCTCAAACCATCCATAAACCCTAAACCCTAAACCCTAAACCCTAAACCCTAAACCCTAAACCCTAAACCCCAAATCCTAAACCCTAAACCCTACACCCTAAGCCGTAAGCCCTTGAAGGTCGACGCCTATCCGGCCTCCGGCAAGCCCAAGGCCGTCCGGTTTGGGGTTTAGGGTTTCGGGTTTAGGGTTTAGGGTTTAGGGTTTAGGGTTTAGGGTTTAGGGCTTGAGAGCCGTGGCCCCATTACAGCCCTCAATCCTAACCCGCAAACCCTAAGCCCGCCCAACAAAGGAAGGCCCTGGCAAGCTGTAGCGACCCCAGCGGTACGGTGCCCGATGCCTCTTGAACCCCTGCCGCCCTCCTAGACCAGTCAAAAGGCACAGCGCTTCCCCACACAGGGTTTAGGGTTTAGGGTTGCGGGGGCATTGCCCAAAGAAAGTCCCGGTCAAGGTAAATCCAAAACCGGCCTAGACCTCAAGGCCCATGCCACTGCACCCGGCCTCCCCAAGCCCTAAACCCTAAACCCTAAACCCTAAACCCTAAACCCTAAACCCTAAACCCTAAACCCTAAACCCTAAACCCTAAACCCTAAACCCTAAACCCTAAACCCCCATAAGCCGTGAACCCACAAGCGTCCAGGGCCTGGGCTTCGAGTCCCAGACGCGTCGATTCGGCCCCGCGCGCGGGGAGGAACGTTCTTGAGGGTTCGGGGTTTAGGGTTTAGGGTTTAGGGTTTAGGGTTTAGGGTTTAGGGTTTAGGGTTTAAGGTTTAGTCACCCAGACCCCTAACCCCCCAAAACTAAAAGCCCTAAACCCTCAACACCCTTTCGTAAACCCCCAACATTCTAAACCCTGAGCCCTCAACACGTAAAACTAAACCCTACAACCCTAGGCCCTACAACCCTAAACGCTAGCCCTAGACCCCGAAGGGGTTTGGGCCGCTCGCTGAGGTATACAGTAGTTCCCGAGGCTTGAAGTGGTTCAACCCCACACCCAAAAGTGGCCTGTCATCGCTTGTTTTTGCGGAGGAGATGCCTGGTCCTGGGAGCTACGACACTCGGAAGGACCCGGGGTTTAGGGTTTAGGGTCTAGGGATTACAGAAAATTACAGGGATCGGGCTTCATGGGTCTACCCCGGCTGACAAGGCCCCGGTCATCGGATCCCTTCATAAAGTTCGTCGTCTCCGACTAGGAACCCTTTAAACCCCCCAAACCGTAAACCCTAAACCCTAAACCCTAAACCCCAAACCCTAAACCCTAAACCCTAAACCCCTTCTGCAGAACACTGCAGGACTCGGACTGGATCACCCAGCCCGGAGCCCAGAGTGTGCGGCAACAGCAGGTTTCTGATAGTGGAGTAATATAGGGGCCTGAATAATTGGACTAGGGTTTTGGGGGTTATTATAGTATATTTATAAAAGGGGCCCTAAGGGAATACTACTAGTAATTGTTCCGCCCCCTACATTAGCCAACCAAGAAGAACAGAGAGAGAGGGAGAGAGAGAGAGAGAGAGAGAGTGAGTGAGTGAGTGAGTGAGTGAGAGAGAGAGAGAGAGAGAGAGAGAGAGGGGGATAGAGAGAGCGAGGGAGCAAGAGAGCGAGCGAGCGAGAGAGCGAGAGAGGGAGAGAGCGAGAGAGCGAGAGAGCGGGAGAGCGAGAGAGCGAGAGAGCGAGAGAAACCTGAAACTCTGAACCCTAAACCCTAAACCCTAAACCCTAAACCCTAAACCCTAAACCCTAAACCCTAAACCCTAAACCCTAAACCCTAAACCCTAAACCCTACACCCTAAACCCTAAACCCTAAACCCGGGGGTTGTGGGGGTATCCTGAAGGTGCTTGGGCCCGCAAGAGCGGGGGAGCTTTGGAAGGGTTTGAAAAGAAGCTAAGCGACAAGTCGTCCGAGCCATCAGAACAAGGGTTTGGGGTTTGGAGTTTAGGGTTTAGGGTTTAGGGCTTGGGGTTTAGGGCTTAGGGTTTGGGGTTTCGGGCTTAGGGCTTGGTGTTGAGGGCGTAGCGTTTAGGGTTTAGGTTTCGAGTTTTTGGGAGAGGAGTGTAGCATGGAACGAAGAATCTGGTTTCTGCTGAAGGGTTGAGGGTTGAGGGCTGCGTCGGCCCCTGTGTACCCAGGACGCACAACATCTACTTCGGAGAGTTTGGCTGAGCATGCCGGTCATGGAAAGCACGCGAAGTGTGCTGCCCAACATCGACCCCTCACAAGCAGCTTGCATACGTTTCACATGGTTTCACCCCTCTTTGCATTCGACCTGTGCCCGCCTTCACTGGCTACTGGTTCGGTTAGCTTCTGTGCTCGCATGACTAGTCTCCAACGCAAGGGTTGCCTGCTTTCGACGAAGGTTACGTGCAGTCATTTCACTGCTTTGGTGCCGTGAATGTGGTCACAAGTTGTCAGAAAAGATGTATGTGGGGGGGGGGGGGGGGGGGTAGGGGGTGTTGTTCTGAATCGGGGGCGCTCACACAGACTGCTTGGAATCAGCCGTAGCCCGCCCTTACTTTCAGGGTTTGGGAGTTGAGGGTACGCGGCTTGTAGAAGGAAGGCTATAGGGTTTAGGGTTAAGGGTTTCTTAAAGTACCACCAAGAGCATCAAAACCAGCAAAAGCTGTTGTCAGCTATGTCTACTCATGATCCTCCAAAGTAGGCCTCGTAGTGGCCCGAGACCATCCGAAGCCATCCTCAACCCTAAACCTAAACCCCAAGTCCAAAATCCTAAACCATCCAAGAGCCCTAGCTCGTTGCAGCGTGCTTGGTGACAGCAGCCTTTGCCCTTGCCCTTGGCCCTACCGCCGCCATTTCGGAGAACCATGTTGTGTTAGGACTTAAAGGCCCGGGGGGCTGCTGCGAAAGGGAGAGCCGAAGGGGGTTTAGGGGAGTAGGGGAGTAGGGTTTAGGGGTTTACGAGAGTTGAAGAGCTTATGGGTTCAGAGGTTGAAGAGTTTAGGAGGGGCGTGAGTTGAGGGTTTGCGCGGTTTAGGGTTTAGGGTTTAGGGTTTGAGGTTTAGGGTTTAGGGTTTAGGGCTTAGGGTCGAGGGCCATCGCCCCGCTCCAGGTGCATGGCGATGGCACCGAACCGTCGCTGGGGAGGCACCTGGAGGGGGATCCCAAGCTCCCCTGAAACTCTCTACTTGGAGGTTTAGGGTTTAGGGTTTAGGGTTTAGGGTTTAGGGTTTAGGGTTTAGGGTTTAGGGGAGTAACCCATTCTGACTGTACTGAAAGCCCACTTTTAAGCCCCCTTTAAGTGCCCGATTCTGGTTACAAGTACAGTGATAAGTACTGTCATAATTGGTTCATAAGTACCATGAACCTCCAAGGAGCCTTGCTGGTTCCAAGGCAGGAATGGGGGAATGAGGTACCCTATACCATTCCCAAAGGGCAACCACACATGTGTGTGTATGTATATGTAATATGTACATAGGGGGGATATCGGGTACCCAGTTCCCTCAATCCCAACGAAGAAGCAGCAAGTTAAAAGCAGAGCCCTGAACCCTCCCCCCCCCCGCTAAGCCCCAAACCCTAAACCCTAAACCCTGCACCCCCCAGAACAAAATCTCTGTAGACTTAGCCCTCCTTTAGGGTTTTAGGGTTTCGGACTTGAATAAACGCTGAACCCTAAACCCTAAACCCTAAACCCTAAACCCTAAACCCTAAACCCTAAACCCTAAACCCTAAACCCTAAACCCAAAAAGGGCTAGAATTTGGGGCGGCTAGGGCGAAGAGCCCGGGAGTTGAGTACACCCTAAGGCCTAAACCCGAAACTCCTAAACTCCTAAACCCTAAGCCCTAAACCCTAAACCCTAAACCCTAAACCCTAAGCCCTAAGCCCTAAGCCCTAAGCCCTAAACCCTAAACCCTAAACCTCGAACCCTGAGCGAAAAGAGGCTGCCTTTGGGCGGCCTCCCTGGCGATCTCAGCCACCCTGGTCTCCGCTGGGGTCGGACACCCTGGATTGCACTTTTTTTCAAGGCTTCGGGGTCAGGGTTATAAGTGGGTTACCCTAAACCCTAAACCCTAAACCCTAAACCCTAAACCCTAAACCCTAAACCCTAAACCCTAAACCCTAAACCCTAAACCCTAAACCCTAAACCCTAAACCCTAAACCAGGGTTTCAGGGTTCCAGAGGCTTCGGATTTTGGGTTTGTGGTTTCGCCCGCCTCAGGGTGTGTAGGGTGGGTTTGGAGGGCTTAGGTTTGAGGGTTCATGGTTTCAGGTTTGTTTCGGTTGGGTGTCTTGATTGTGGGGTCCCGGACCCTACACCCTAAACGCCACCCTCCCCCTCCCCC